TGACAATCTTGAAACTCTAGGAAGAGCCTTGCATATACAACGAGTCTCTCTCCTGCTTTCCCTCCCAGTTTTACCTTTGTGTTACGTCTTTGAATCCTTTACTTTTCCAAAACCTTTTCTAAACTCGAGGCACCTCAACTTCAAACAATGTTTTCTAAAGGAACGAGATCATCACAATTTGATGAGTAGCAAGATTTAAAATGCCTTGTGAGAATACAATTATGGTCACTTACGATAAATTTTAATCTTATGTATAGCAGATCAATAGCCCTCCAAAGTTACATAGCGGATCAATAACTCTCTCAAAACCCTACGATTAGTTTTTGAGAGTTTTATATTTTGGTGTAATTCACTAAACCCCGAACTAATGAGTGGTACTTGTTGGGGGTGTTACTAAGATACTCCACGCACAGACTAAGTAATAACGCGTCCAATCGATAACGTATGACGCTCGAAACCCGCTACGAGTATATAAAGGTACGAAACCCTCAAAGGAAGGAGAGGACTTCTCCTCTCTCCTGACTTTCCACTTTTCACTATCTCTCTACGCTTTATCTCTCTACATTGTTCTCTCAACTCTCACCTTAAACATAAACTGACTTGATCGTCGGAGCTTAATCCGGGGGGCATCCCCGACTTTTCATAGGTTTCATCCCTCCCGACGAGATCGGACGATCGGATCGTGAGTCAAGCCCACACAACAACCATTATTGTTCGTATTCGGAGCTAGACGGTACAAACAGTACTAATAAGCACATACAGATCTAGGAGTCCGCCGTCGGGCCACGGCCCAGGCCTCTGCTAAATCCAGAGTCAGTATAATACTTGTAAATTTTCTATTTTAGGTTTTCGTTTCAGTACTCTCCAGGTTAAGGCCCAAACCTTTCCGCCTCTTTTTGAATGTGGCCCAATGATCTTCCTATTATGAATGAAAAAATAACTTAGAATTGCATTTGCAGCCATTGTCAATATCAAACACTTTAGAACTTCAACTTGAAGCAAAGGAAAATGCGAGTTATATCCCTTTCTTATCCCAACTACTAGCTAACACCCTTATCTCCAAACAATGAAACAACTAGTAGTTGAACCTTCTTCTCTTGAATCAAAATAATAGATCATTGGTTGCTTTAGATCCAATTGATCTTCCATCATCATCATGATCAAAGGAAAAAGAAAAAGGTCTTGTTTTTTTTTTCCTTCCATGTTTGACCAAGCCAGGAGGTCAACTCAACATTTGTATGATGTCGTTTTTTGGGGGGTGGGGGTGGGAGAGAGACAAATTGCACGTGCACCTATGCACCACGAAGAGAATTCCATAATTGGTGTTTTCTTTGTGTTTTCATAGGAACACTATTGTGCTCAAGAGATTCTCTCCTCCCATCATAAAAGATGCTTCCATTAATCCATTATCGATCTGAGCTTAACTTCACTCACTTTCTTCACAAGCATGGTTTCCACCTAATCTAGCTTTGGCCACAAGGAGCAACTTAGCTGTAGTTCAATAGTATTATGTCAACATTAGATCGAGTGTTCGAGTTTTAATGATTCTAAATATAAATTATTTATTTTCGATTTCTCTGGTATAAATGTCATAATTACTTTTATCTCCGGATTTAAAAAAACATTTCTCAAATCATTAAACATCTCTTTGCATTTATAGTTGATAAAATGTGAATGTTGACCTTCTTACTAGTGTATAATTCACAAAGTGAGTTTTGTGTATTTTTGTTTATGCCATAGTTCATAGATAACCATGATACAACCCACAAATCTACTCTATCTCTTAAATCAAGTGAGTCGTAACTTGAGTAGTCGTCATGGATAACAATAGTTGGTAGTTTCGTAGTTGAAAAAACAAAGTAATAAAATCGTAAAGATCAAACCATGGGGTGCTCAAAGCCTCAAACCCTAATTTTGTGCATAGGAAAGAAAGGTAATATGTATTGCTTTTCAGTTGAGGCACACAGGAAAAGACTCTCTCAAGACTCAAGAGGGTGAGGTTGCTGTTGGGTGATGGTGGTGACAGCTTTTGCTTTTAAAAGATGGATGCTTTTTCATGGTTTATGGGGACAGTTTGTTCATTGTTGACTGTGGAGTGGAGACAATGGAGAGTGCTGATCAGTATTCTCAGAATCAATAAAACACAAAGTCACAGACAAGTCTTAAGAATACAATTAAAGAACAAGAAAACCCCAGAAAAAGAACAGAACAGAAAACCTCAGAAGAAAGAAAAGAAGCCAATCTCCATGTAGGGGAATAATTAGTATGGTTATGGCACAATATATAAGGAAGGACCCAATTAGCATTTCATCCCTCGAGATTCTCAACCTTTCTAATAATTATTTATCATCCCACAAAGAAGAATTAATTATAAGGGTTGGAAATTGATAGGGATGATATGATTTGAATCAGATGAACTGTCATCGACGGTAAATAACGAAGATTCATGATCTATAGTTAGTATACGTTTATACTTTGTGACAGATTGATAATGTAACCTTATTTTTTACAAGATTAGATTATGTCATTGAAAGGTAATATAAATATTTCTCAAACTTCTTTATAATTTGTAGTCTCCTCAAATATAGTGAAACTGACTCTGTCTCGCCCGCTCGTGGACTAACACACGTTGTGTTAGTGACCACGTAAATCTGTGTGTTCTTTACTTTCTTATTGATCATTATCTTTCTTGTTATTGTCGATTGTTTTGGGTCCACGCATGACATATAATTTTTTTAAAAGAACAGGAAGGTGAATTTCACTTGTACAATTATACCCATCTTATATTGTGATGAAATGATAAATCAATCATTTTTCAATATTATCATTGATAAATGACACTCTAGCATAATCTATTCCAATAATTTATATAATTATTAGAGTTCAATGAGGCGTAATTTCAAGTAAGCCTAGTAGCGCCTAGCCTAGGCGCCAGGCAGTGACAAAATGTTTCAGTTAGGTTTTAGCCAGATGTGATTAATCAAAGTGATGTATAGTGCACTGTCAAACCATGATTAAAACAATGTGTAGCTAATTTTCCCAAAATGAAGTCATCTCTAGCAACCCTATATTCGACGATGCTTCACTCTTCCTTTCTCGATTTGAAATTGCAATAGACAAAGACAAAGATCACAGGAACTGCAATGAATTCTCCTATTCGTTCCATCATTTTTGCCCTCTTCCCTACTTTTTGACGTTGTCGACCGCAAAGCAACCACAACCATGACTTCTTCAATTGTTCTCTAGCTTCGATTGACTCGACACTCTGCCCTATTCTTCACTATTGCCGACTACAAAGCAACCGCAAGCCATAACTTCTATATATGAACTAGACAATTATCCGCACTTCGTTGCGGACTTATGGTTAACAAAATTGCTGGTTGATGATAGAATAGAGAAAATGAAATGTCCAAAGCCCTTTATCTAATTTGAACGAACAAAAAATTAAAATTTCAATCCTAAAAAAGTTCAAAGGATATTCCAACAGCTCCAACCCACGAATAACACACAAATATAATTTCCTTATATGAATATATTTCTTTATGACATTCACATCAATGACTGTTAATTAGGATCCAACGATTGACCTAGTGGCAATTGGGTTAAGGTTTTATAGGTTGAACCAGAAGTAGTGATAGCAATTTAAACTCGACTTACAGAGTATTATCTTACATAATCCGTGTTGAGTAGGACATATGTACTACTTCTGTCCTGCTCTTAACTCATTCTATCTTGCTTTAGTTTGTCTAAATATTTAACTGCTTTCTCCTATTTTTACTTATCTTAAATTATTTTTTCGCCCAATGATACTTTAGTTAAGTGAAAAACTTCATATTTCAACTAATTACACTCATTTAATCTACCTATTCTTTCTTTTTTCTAATTATGAACTATTTTTCCATTATTTTTATCGTAAAAAATCAAGATTTTGTTCAAATTACATATAGGAATGGGTTTGACCTGTCTAGACCTGTATAATGCGAGTACCACTCGACCTTGCTCGCATTTAATGTGGGGCAAATTTGAACATTGAGGTACCCCGCCTCGTCCGCCTCAACGTCATCACTAATCAGGAGCAACTCAATTTACCTGATTTTGAATAGGTATGTTATACAATTATTGAAATTTTAAATGAAATTTTGTGTGCATTTTATAAGGAATAGGTATGTTATACAGTGATTGAAATTTTGAATGAAAAAATGATAATTTATTTTGAGTACTACATAATAAGTTTCACATTAGATAATATTAAAACTCACTCCAAAAATGAAAATATTAAAATAAAAATAAAATAAGACCCTAGGATCTAAATCAATTTTCTTAAATCAAGTAGGGAGAACATATGATAACCGAGTTTTTTTTCTTCATAAGAAGAGGAGGAAGTGCGTCGAGAGAAAATTATTTTTCATGGAAATTACAGTATCTGATTATAGTCCATCGTGGTTGTTAAGTAAAATCCCACAAAAAGTTGAAGTGTATCGCAAGCCAATGAAAATGATTAATCACAACAAAACGACCTTTCTGGTCAAAATTTCAATGATACACTTTGTCTACCAATTAATATATATGGGGGGAGTTCTACGGTACCCAGGGTGAAATCCGGGGTACCGCATACCTTGAGTATGAAAATGCAATCTAGACCTTGAATTGACTGAACTTTCGGACATGATACTATACTCTAACCCTTAAAGATCAAAATCTAGGTCTTAGTTCTCTAAATCTTATACCCCAAGATCAATTTAATTAGAAACAATAATCGACGGTTATGATTCGTCCAAATATAGGCAAAAATTGAATGCACCATCTGTTTATAGTTTATGATTTAGATAATTAGGACCTAGAGTTCACTCATTAAGGGTTAGGGTATAGTATTATGCACAAAAATCCTGCAAATTCGAGGTCTAGATAGCGTTTTCATACTCAGGTATGTAGTACCCCGAATTTCACTCGGGGTACCGTAGAAGCCACCATATATATATAAAGTTTAATAAAAATTCATGATCTATAATCAAAGGTTGGTTTATGGTTTACGTGAGAAAATGAGATTTATTGTTATGGGACATTAAAATAGTGCTACCAAAATCCATGTTAAATGGTACCTCAATAAGTTAATAGCTTTGGGAATAATATTAATTGGTGTGCTTCCATTAGCCTATAGGTTACTAAACTACATGACAGTAGTGTACATTAGCAAAGTTATATAGGAAGTTAGGCAACAGTAATACTACTTAAGCTTTATATATATTAACTTGTGATTAGGAAATCATGACATATTTTGCTTGTTGTTGAAGGTTAGCTAGGTTATTAATCATTAAAATTGAACTTAGTGTTACAAAATTGTTATTTCTACTAAGAGACACACTATTGTAAGAAATACTAAGAGACACACTATCTTTGGCATTTCAAGTCCTTGATAGTTGATACCGAGGGAGATAGCTATTTGACACACTATCATACTATCACTGCCAACTATATTCCTATAACATCCACAATAATATACATCATGCACGAAGACTGCTTGCACGCATCAAGCATCTCTTGTACAAGGTTTGTATACATTTGTACAAAGAGATACTCCTAATTAGCGGATTACCCTAAACTCTAGACTTCTAATTTCTATCTCTAAACCTCAAATTGTAAACTCTAACCCTAAATGTCTAAACTCTAAATTCTTCAAATTAAAGTAAATCTTGAATGGTTTTTGTGCGAATTTATGTGCTTTATTGTTCATCACATCATAAATGATGATTGACATCATTTTGATATGAATTGCATGTTTAAAATGGTGATTATGAGATGAGTGCACTAAATGCATCAAAAATACATGGTACAAATCTCCAACACTTGTGTTGTGTGTCCCTTTCTAACTTGCTCTGTTTTATGCTTCCTTTCCTGTAAAAAATGGACAGCCACAAGACACTTACTGACCCACCAAATAAAAAGGAGCATCCACTCCTCTTCCTTTCCTATTTGGTTTGAGAAAATATCACACAATATATGCTTACCACTTAATCTTTCACCTAACCCATGGAGTAGCATTGGCCATGCCAATGCTACAACTCTTCTTTCTACTACATCTTTCTTCCTGCATCTGTTGAATTGGGTTGAACTTTTTTCGTTGACGAAATATAAACAAGAAAGGTTTAGTGCTTTGTGCATAAGATTAGTTGTAACTCGTCTTGTCCTTGTTGGATCACAATTTCAAACTTCGAGTAAGAATTGTTATAATTAACACCAATCTTACTTACCATTAAAATGAATAAAAATTCAAAAAAAAAAAAAACTAACAATAAAATAACGAACTTGAGATAATCGATTCGGATCAACTTGAACATTTTCTTTTGTTCTTTCTTCGCACTTCTCCTTTGAAGTTTTGTCTTATTCAGCAAAATCTTTATACATGTAATTGTCATGGCCATGGTAATGTGATGGAATGCACTAGATGAAAAGAAAAAAAAACAGAGAATCCCACTCAACTCACCAGTCCTTTTCTCTCTAAACAACTACATGATTGAAGGGAATTTTTTGGGCATTTTAAATATAATAGATAGTAGTATCTACAATTCTTCTTCATACTTAAGATATCATCTCTAGATTTGGGTTAGTGTGGCTTATAGCTTTCTTTATCCATATTCTTTTCTTTTTCATTTCAGCCCTGTTGAAGTACCATTGGGCATTGGCAGCCCCATGTTACCCACTCCACTCCTCTCTTCTTTTACTACTTTGCCAAAGACCACTGCTTTTCCAAGAATTTCTTCCTCCCCACCTTTTCCCATTAATTTTTTACTTTTGATAATTTCGTCATGTTTTGTCCAGTTCTTGTTTTTCTGACATCACTTCTGAACTGAAAGTGAGTGCAATTATAGTAGAAGAGGTGGGTTTGCTGCCCTGCTGCCTGGTTCTTTCAGGTTCCCTCACTTAATGTGATAAAAAAACAAACAGAATCCAAGTTCACAGAAGAGTGAGAGAGAGACAGAAGAGGGAAGAAGACATTCCTGTTTTGAAATGGAAGCAAGAAGAAAGAGCAATGGAGGTTTCTGCAACTTTGGTTTGTTCTCTTTGTTGTTGTTCTGCTGGTGGAGTTGTTCTGCATATGGAATGTTGTCTCCCAAAGGTGTCAACTTTGAAGGTAAATTAATATAACCCAGTAGAGATTTTCTGACAATGGTGATCTTTTCCCCCTTCTTTCTTTCTGTTTGTTTGGTTTGACATGTATTGAATTGATATTCATTTCATTTCATTTCATTTGCTTTCCTCTTCTTTTTTTCAGTAGTGGCTTTGATGGATATAAGGAATGCATTAAAAGATCCCCACAATGTTCTCAACTGGGATGCAACTGCTGTTGATCCATGCAGCTGGACGATGGTCACTTGTTCTGCTGATGGTCTGGTCACTGGCCTGTAAGTAAAGGCTCTAACTTTGCTCTTATTCAAACAAAGGGTAATTTCAGTTCATCAATTATTAGAAATCTTTATTATATTAGTACCCTCTTTTGTGCTGCAGAGGAGCTCCAAGCCAAAGCTTGTCTGGAAGTCTATCACCAAGCATAGGCAACTTGACAAATCTCCAGCTTGTGTGAGTTTTCAGTTTCCTCGAAGCCATACCTTTTCCTGTTCTGTTTTTGCCACTCTAAATGTACTAAATGTTATCCATCTGGTTTGTTGTTTTTTAGGCTTCTGCAGAATAACAACATTTCAGGACATATTCCAGCAGAGCTAGGGAGGCTCACAAGGCTGAAAACTCTTGACCTTTCGAACAATTTCTTCAATGGTGGAGTTCCAAGTAGCTTATCCAGTCTCAAGAGCCTCCAGTACTTGTGAGTGTTCAGAAGCTTTGTGATCATCAATCATGTTTCTTTTTTCTCTACTGTCACATTTACCTAAACCACAGACTGTTTCTTTTCCTTTCTTCTTCTGCGTGCTGATCATAATTCTCAATCTCATCAGGAGGCTGAACAACAACAGTCTGACTGAAGCAATTCCTCCTCCTTTGGCTAACATGACACAGCTTACTTTCCTGTAATTCTCCTCCAACCCTTAACCATTTCTGTCGGCTATTCCTTCATTGGTAAAACAATACAAAAACCGAAACAGTCTTGATTAAGGTTGTTTTTCCTTTTGTATCACTGTGGAATGCTTCCAGGGACTTGTCTTACAATAATTTGAGTGCTCCAATACCCACTTTCCATACAAAAACATTCAAGTAAGTCACAATTTTCTGGGTTTTCCTTCGCTACCTTGTTTGATCAAACAAGGGGAAAAAAAACCTTTAAAGAATGCTGTCCTTTGCTTTGTGATTGAAACAGCGTAGTGGGAAACCCTCTGATATGTGGAGCTGAGCAGGATTGCTTTGGAACAATACCAACTCCACAGTCACTCTTCCTCAATAGCTCCCAAAGTAAGTGAGTTTCGAAGTTCGAATTTTCTTCAGCTCTTTAGAAGTGCTCTTTCTGTTGGCAAAATTGCATACCCTTTATCATTCATTGCCAATGATGGTGGCTTTTCATCTAGTTTCCATCATTTCCATCCACTCTTTATACCATGCCCATCAACCATACTGTCTTCAATTCAAAATTCAATTCTCATCCCTCTTTTTCAATTACTGCAATGATGGCTTGTTAAGCCTCCCAGCCCTCTGGAGCTCAAAAGGGACACAAGATCGCCTTAGCACTTGGCTCAACCCTCGGCTGCATGTTCCTGCTGGCTTCAGCCTTTGGTTTCTTACTTTGGCTGAGGCAAAGACACAACCAACAGATCTTCTTCGATGTCAATGGTAAGCAAGCAAAGACCAAAAGAACAACTCAGAAACAAGAACATGGTTTGGCAACTCGAATGACATGCTCCTCGATTAAATTTTTTTTTTTCCAGAGCGACACGAGGAGCTCAACTTCGGAAACCTCAAGAGATTTCCTTTCAAAGAGCTTCAGGTAGCTACAAACAACTTCAGCAGCAAGTACCTCATAGGGAAAGGTGGGTTTGGCAACGTATACAAAGGTTACCTCTCGGACGGGACACTTGTAGCTGTGAAGAGGCTCAAAGATGGGAATGCGAGTGGTGGAGAGATTCCGTTCCAGACTGAAGTAGAGATGATAAGCTTGGCAGTCCACCGGAATCTCCTTCGCCTGTACGGTTTATGCATGACTAATAGTGAAAGGCTGCTGGTGTATCCATACATGTCTAATGGCAGTGTCGCAACAAGACTAAAGGGTAAACCCCTAGCTATTACTTGCTTTCCAAGTCAACCAGTGAAACTAATTTTTTTGTTATACTGATGATGTCTCTCTCAAATGCTGCAGCCAAACCCGCACTGGACTGGGGCACAAGGAAGAGAATAGCGATAGGTGCTGCCAGAGGTTTGCTGTACTTGCATGAGCAATGTGACCCCAAAATCATCCACAGAGATGTGAAGGCTGCAAACATATTGCTCGATGATTACTGTGAAGCCGTGGTTGGAGATTTCGGGCTGGCTAAGCTTTTGGATCACCAAGACTCGCACGTAACCACAGCTGTGAGAGGCACTGTGGGCCACATTGCTCCCGAGTATCTCTCCACAGGTCAATCCTCTGAGAAAACAGATGTCTTCGGTTTTGGTATCCTTCTGCTCGAGTTGATCTCCGGGTTAAGAGCTCTCGAATTCGGTAAATCTTCAAACCAGAAAGGAGCCATGCTGGATTGGGTAAGCAATCTAATGAAAATGAAAGTGTTAGCTTTCGGGTCTTATTTATGACTTTTTTTAAACCTGAATCAAATCCCTTTGAATGTGAATTTGAAGGTAAAGAAGATTCATCATGAGAAGAAGCTCGAGCTGATAGTTGACAAGGATCTGAAGACCAACTATGACAGGATCGAGCTTGAAGAAATGGTTCAAGTTGCCTTGTTGTGCACGCAATACCTACCGAGTCACAGACCGAAGATGTCCGAAGTGGTCCGGATGTTGGAAGGAGATGGACTTGCAGAGAAATGGGAAGCTTCTCAGAGAGCGGAAGCAACTAGATCGAGAGGCAACAACGATTTCTCATCTTCAGAGCGATATTCTGATCTCACTGATGACTCTTCCCTGCTTGTCCAGGCAATGGAGCTCTCTGGCCCCAGATGACAAGAATGTTCGAAGATTAGCCCGACATATAATTCATGTACAGGATTTGGATTCAAAAGAAAACCACATATAGATTGTGAGTGTTTGACAGCGTCCATTCCATTTCAAGTTGAGTGCTTAGTTATTATCTGGGAGAGTTCTATTGCAAGTCCTGTAATGAATTCCTCCTCTTTTTGTTCTCAAATGCATGATTTTCCTGCTACTGAAAGCGTATGGGAACAAGCTTTGAGTCACCAACACCACTTTGGTACATGAAGCTTTTAAGCAATGAAGAGTTATTGTAACAAAGCATCAATAAAGAGTTGTCAACTAGGCCCTGGACCATAGGGTACTATTGAAGTCCTTAATAATATCTTTCTTAACCTATGGTAATCCCCTCGTTATCGACATTTCCTAATCAAGTCGCTTTCCATAGGTTTTCTATTATTTGGCATAGGGTCAATTTGGATGAAGTTTAAGCTGATTAGGCATGTACTTACTGTAGACCCACTTTAACAAACAACTACCAAAGGCTGTTAGGGACTTGATTAGGAAATATCGAAAATGTAGGGAACTACCAAAGGGGAAAAAATAGTTCAAACGAATTTGATGGCAGGCACTGAATTGACCTGTATCCAAAGAGAAATGAACTAGCTGCAAAATTCTTTTGATAAGTCATTTGCTATTCAGTAATTTAAAGGAAACTCTGGTATTTCCATACTATTGCTGTCAGTACAGGGTAAGAGCAACTGCATGCATGCATGAACTATCGTCTATCTACAAGAATGAAATAATAAAAAGGAAATGAACACTGAAGTCATAGTTCACATGATATGTAAATCAATGTTAATCTTGGACGAATAAGATCTTAGCTTGACCAGAAGCACGGCGGAACTTGAGCAACTCGATCAACATGTTCTTTCTGCAGTCCACGACATACACATAAGGCGATATGCTCATCTCCTCCAGCACTGGCGAAGTTGCAAGCACGAACTTGATCAACATCATCTCGTGGGGCACACCGGACATGTCAGTCATCGTCACACATTTGAGATGTTTAAAAGTGCAATCTTTAGGGCATTCTTTTGCCCAGAATGCCAAGTCAGTGGCTTCCGTAGCAGCTGAGGTATGTGAAGAGCCCTGCCACGGAAATTACCACTTCTCTTGAGAGAATGATAATTGAGAGACAGTTTCCAGTTGTTATGAAAGAAGACCAAACATGCCTTTACAGAAATTTTGAGTTCGGTTAAGCTAGGAGCATTGGTGATCAAGCGAAGTACAACAAGAATCTCTTTCATATCTTCGAAACTAACTTGATATAGTTCAATAACTCTGAGATGGCTGTATGTAATTTGGAGTTTTCCTGGACGATTACCTACACTCAAATACTTAAGAACATAATGGGAAGTTTCTCAGAGAAGAGCATAAAACAATAGGATTTCACCAGTGTTCAAAAGTCAAAAGTGCACAACAGATCAACAGCTCACTTGATTGAGGTGTATTTGAGAAACTAATTTTAATTACACCAAGCAATTCAACAAATGTCTCGTTTTTTTATTAATCCTTTGGATCATTGGATGTATTTCAGTACATTTACATGCAATCTCAAAAACAGTCAATGGAGCTAATAAATGATTTAGCAAAGACACCTTAAATAATATAATGCAAAAGGAACAGCAAGCAATTGAGACAAGTAACACCAATCTACATATGTACCCTACCAAACACACCCCAAATACAAGGTTTAGTGCTTACCTTTGTAAAGTAGATATGGCCAATAAGCCTCTCGAGAAGAGGAACGCCACCAAGAAACTTCATGAAGTTGCAACTGGAGCTTTGCTCAAAGTGCTCAGCAGTGTCTTCAGTCATATACATAGCAACCGACATTGCAAGCAATTGTGGAGTATTCTCAAGGCATATATCTGTGTATTCACCTTCCAAGCACAAGTACTTAAGATTTGGAGCACGAACAGTTAGAGCTAAACTATCGAAATACGATAATGAAAGACTTTCCAAGACCGGCCGGCAACTCGAGATAAGGCTTTCGATTGCCTCCGGACTCGCCGTTGACGGAGAAGAAGGGACGACGGGAACTCGACGGGCTCGTGAGGGACTATGCGCCGGACTCGCCGTTGACGGAGAAGAAGGGACGACGGGTTGGATCTTAGGGTTTTTGAAAATAATAAACCGTCTCTTAGCTTAGGGTTTTTTAAAACAATAGACATGTTTTAATTTAATTGTATTCTCCTTAATACCCCTAACAACTTTTTAACTAATAACTCCTACTAATTACCTTATCTTGAATTAGCCAATCACAAGGCTTTAAGTTTTTCCTTAAAAAATAGGCCTTAAGGACTAGAACTTAGGCCATCGAAGTGATGGTAGATAAGGAAGTGGGAAGCAGCTAGGCGAGACCAAGAATATAGGAATCTCCAATGCATGAAGCTTTCTCCTCCCTTAACGTCTTCTTCCTCTTCTTTGCCTGGCGGTGGAAGATCGTCAGTTGGGTCGTTTTGAGTGCCTTTCCATGATCCCTCTGCCCATCTCTCTAAATCTCTTTCGTGGCCTGGCAGTGAAAGTAAGCAAGAAAAAAGAGGCTACGTTCAGATTACACAAATGAAATGTCGTTTGTCTTTGGGGAGATGAAATGGCGCCGTTTTAAAGACCCAATATGAGTTGCAAAAAACCGGACTGAGTTACTCGGGCCCATGGGCTCGATGCAAAAAATGATATAGGGAGCAGATTGGGCCCTCCCCATTTCCCATTCAAGCAGAGCAGAAGAGTGTCGAACCGAGATATGTATTTGCTTGTCCATGGCAAGTTGGCAAACTTTTTTTTTTTTTTTTTTTTTTTTGACGGAGCAAGTTGGCAACCTTAATTGGAAGTTTGGAACCCGCTTACATTATGAAGTCTTTATTTTTTTGGTTAATATTTTTGTTTGACTCGAACTTTATCGTTCTTTCACATATTTCCGCTAAATTCCATATTTTCTAATTTTGAATCATTACATTTTAAATCAAAATAATTAAAACAAAATTATAAAAACCACATCCCTTTCATCTAAAACAAAATAATTTCAGAATGTTAAAAGAACAAAATTGTACGGACCAGAAAAAATATCAAATTTTTTTTACAGGAATCCGTATATGATATCATTTTTTTTACACCTTATGCAAATCCCACATCGACAAAGCACGGGAGAGATCCATGGTTCATAAGTAAGAAACCGACTTTAACTGACAAGACGCGTTTTGGGGTGTAACGGATGAGTTATTGTGAGAACTCCGAAGTTAAACGTGCTCAATGTGGAGTACAACAAGGATGGGTGACCTTATGGGAAGTCAACCTTGAATTGCACCCCAAGTCGAAAACCGTGAGGGTCGAGGCCCAAAGCGGACAATATCTTCGTCGGAATAAGGTTCGGGATGTTACAAGTGGTATCAGAGCCTCTCAACGTCCCTCTTGAACGATGGTGGGGCAAACCTCAACGAGGGCCTTAAGTCCCGGGGGTGTATGTAACACCTTGGGCAAATCTCACATCGACAAAGCACGAGAAAGATCCATGGTTCATAAGTAAGAAACCGACATTAACTGACAAGACGCGTTTTGGGGTGTAACGGAGTTCTTGTGAGAACTCTGAAGTTAAACATGCTCAGTGTGAAGTACAACAAAGATGGATGACCTTATGAGAAATCACCTTGAATTGCACCCCAAATCGAAAACCGTAAAGGTCAAGATCTAAAGCGGACAATATCTACGTCCGAAAAAATTTCGGATGTTACAATAAAAGTCATGACCTCATACACCGCACACAAGTGAAGAATGGCCAGAAAACAGAAATTAAATCATGACCTCATACACCGCACACAAGTGGAGAATGGCCGGCTTTCTCTATTGTCCGTACATGTACGGTTTATCAATCAGATTCGATCTTTGTTTACAACAAAACAAAACAACAAGCGGATTTTCCGTGATGGAATTGTCCTTTCTTTTCTCTTTCTCCAACCACCCGTTTTTGTCGCTAAGTTTTTTAACATGCTGCCTTTCTGTTCTCAATTATCATCATTTGATTTGCACCCTTTGCACCAAATTGAATTCAATTATCAAACGTACCAGGCTGCATTTTTGGCCTACTGAAAGGCCATTTCGTTTTTTTGTTTGGTTACGGCCAATTCGGCCCATATTTTTTTTATTATCTCCGTCGCTATACTAAGCATGTGGCGTGTCCCCTTTCCCCACCGAGATTTAATAATATAGTGGCGTCACCATCGTCCGTACATGTATCGTTCTTTCGCGCGGGCATTTGCAATTACCAGTAAGCGTTATAACCTGAGCATCTATCAGGTCAAACCAAGTTGAACAGAAAGCGAAACTATTTTCCTTACTCCCCACAGCTGTAAAGATGGATGGAGCCACCTGAACTACTTGTTGACGTTGATCACTAAACAGAGCACCATTGCGATATTTACAAACAACAACATAGATCCTCGGTACTTTCTCGGTACGAACATTTGGCAATCCTGATATTTTCTTTACCTTAGAAACCAACGAGCTATGGTTCCAATTGCCTGGCTCTACTTCCAAAGTAAGAAGATTCGACCAGGATCCAGAAGAAAACAACTGAAACCAACCTTAGTCCACATCAAGCTTATCTCTGCAGCTGTATTCTAGAACCTAGCTATTGTATTCGGATAAATTGCATGGTTGGTCACTGAGATTACAAAAAACGTTTATGTTTGGTCACTGGAAATATTTAATTACATTCATGTTCACTAAATTTAGCAAAACAGTTCAAGTTTGGTCACTCTCCGTTAGCTTCCGTTAACAGCGTCAGTTTTTTGCTGATGTGGCTAACAGAATCGCCTAATCAGCCTATTTTAATCCAAAAAATGTAATATATAAATTGCCATGTCATCAAACCCGCCACATCAGTTTTCCCAACCCAACCCTTAGACCCGACCATTCCCAACCTGTGACCCGACCTTATTCTCCAACTCTACCGCCACCTCCCCCACCCTCTCCCCCTTCCCTTTCACATTGCCGGGCAAACCTGCCCAAACCCAACATGCAAATCCCAGCGGAGCTTGTCAAGATTTTCTCCGAGACTACGTTTGGGAAGACGGGGAAAATAAGGGTCAAAGGAAGGTGCATGAGTGGGAGGGTTTCTTATTGATTGAAATTTCCAAATCCAGTAATCAAAACCCTCCTTCTGTTTCTGCCTCCTCCTTCTCAGCTCCTAACCCAAAATGAAAGAGGAAGTTAGATCCGCCGCTGTTATGCCGCCTCCCTCGTTGCGTTGGTGTCTGATTTGTCGTCTCTTATCGGATCCGATGACGAGAAGTCGAGAACCCTAGCCCACTCTGTCGATAACAATAAGGTACCATTAGGGGAGTTACAGAATTGACTGCATTAGGGAGATGAAAGAGAGTTTTCGAAGCGCCGACATTGGGATAAGAACAAAGATGATGCCGATAGAAGACAATGTTTAAAGAAGAGTTCAGAGACTGGGTTGTCTCTGCTCCGGCGTGCGAACTCGGCTGAAGGAAATGGAGCATAAGGGGAGTTCCAATTTGGGTATTTAGTGTTGGGCCTGCCTCGTCTCCTTCATAAAATCGAAAGGCCCAGTTGCTCAATAAGCCCAGTCGCTAATCCTCAAATCTCGACGAGAGCCCAGTAGCGCGTCATCGTCACTATCTCTGTCATCAGCTTCAACAAGAACATTCGAATGAAAGACTTCAACATCGATCTACACCACCATCAATTCTACCCAACGGAAACCTGTATTGAAGAAGAGAGACAGAAGACTAGCTCCTTCCAAGTCTATATAAAGAAATGCTCAGGAAGAAGAAGGTGACGGTTTTCCTTTTCTCAGTAAGAGTGTGTTGCTCTTTGGGAGTCTAAGTCTGGGTCAGTGTAAGTGTCTGGTAAGCTTGAGTTGGGGCCGAGTGCCAGGGACTCAAGCTTATTCGGGCATAGCTTTCAATCTCGCCAGTTTGTTTTGGCTCTTCCTTTCCGAATTGATGCGTCTCAATTCTGTGCTCTTTTTCTTCAATTGGATTCTGGTTAGGTCTATCCTTAATCTCTAGTGATTCAATTGAAATTGATTTTGCTTTACTCGCTGTGCGATCCTTACAAGCATTCAATCAAGGGAATGAAACTTGATACATAGTGAATCAACAATTGGTTGGGAGAGAGTTGTGGGGCTGTAAAGAACCATTGAGATGGGTAGAGACTAGGGAGTTTGTGGCAGGGGTTAAGATCTTGACGTGGTGAAATATGGATTCTGGCTCGATGAGGAAGAAGTGGAAGGGTCGGACGGGATCAAATAGAGGAATAAGAGGAAGGATTGGGTCAGGGTTGGGTTGGAGTGGGTTGATGACGTGGCGGGTCAGATATAACTTTTTTTGGATTAAAATAGGTCGATTAGGCGATTCTGTTAGCTATGTCAGCGAAAAACTAACGCTGTCAATGGAAGTTAACGGAGACTAACAGAGAGTGACCAAACTTGAACTGTTTTACTAAATCTAGTGACCATAAACGAAATTAAATATTTTCAGTGACCAAACATGAACATTTTTTGTAATATCAGTAACCAACCATGCAATTTACCCTATTGTATTCTAGTCAAATAACATCTGTTCGAACAGAGCACAATACTAAATGGTTGACAGGCCGGCGGATGATTCACATCTACACGGTGCAATATTATTATATCAAACCACTGGCAAGAAGAATTAATACGGATTTACGACTCTTTCAAACAAAGCGAATATAGTAAGTAGCTCAGGAAAAAACTACTGTTCGTTTCATTAAAGAACTTTATTCCATGGGAGTAAGTCTTTCTGCTCTGGTTTTATCAAACAGAGTAAGCCCCAAACCAAACAAAAGCTCAAATGGAGGAAAACAAGTATGGCCAATAATCATCAATCTGGCGTTTATGCAATTGGGATTCCAAACCATACAAAGGGTACAAAGTGTGTAGAGTATAACTCGACAATTTGGGAAGCTCAGTGAGAGTAAACCTTGAGATTGAAAGACTTATTGATCCATGTCTTCCAGATCCCGCTCCTCTTCTGCGCGACAGCTGCAGTTGTAGGTGACCTTCCACCTTCGTCATCCATCTTCATCCCTGCTGTCTTCTTGCACAGCATGAAGTTTCTGCAACCGATAGACCCGATTGTCTCCCATGGACTCAGGGCTGCAATCAAAAAATTCAATGACAACCCACAATCAGCACAGAGACTAAGAACATAACCCATAAAAGCAATTCACAGCAAAACTCGCCAACCCATCAATCATTCAGCAACTTAGCACAGGAAAAAGGAGAGGAATTGGGGAAATCTCTTTTTACCTCCAGAGCCAGCGCTGGGGCAGTAGAGGAAGAAATCATTGAGATGGGAGCCGAGCACCGGAAGCCGACCCTCCCTAGCATAAGACTTCAACGCCGTATCGATTACCGCAGCCACGAGCTCCTTCTCGCCCACAACGAACCGAATTGGCCCGGCACTGCCGAGAACAGACACGCTGATCAGCAGCCGGTTGCCTTTCGAGGCACCGCCCTGATTCTTCTTCGTCTTGTGAAGCAACATCCTCCCAATCTTCCTTTTTCTTTTCTTTTCTCTTCTCTCTCGAACAATCAGAATCCGAAATCGAAACCAGAAAAAAATTGAAAACCTAACAAAAAGATTTTTTTTTTTTGTGTGCTTTTTTCTGTTCTCCCCTCTCAAAATCAAATCAAGGAAAATATGAATACAATACAATTCGCCGGAGTGAGGCGAACGGGCGGAGCGGGAGGGGGGATCTCAGGGGTCGACGCCTTGGCAGCGGAAGTACCAGCCTTCCTTGCAGGAGCCGAAAGCGAAAGCAGAGGCAGCAGATACGACGCCCGCCCTTGATTGGCAAAGGGAGAGCATGTAATTACCTAATCCTAAGATTTCCACCATTCACAATGACCGACGATGAGATCTTGGCGTCGTCGTTGTGGACCGAGATGCGCAACACCGGGAGGAAGGAAAAAAAAAACGAACTCAGGTGCCCAGCAGTTTATCCCTAAATCGGAAACGAGAAAAGCCGCCCGAGATCGGAATCCGATCGAGAGGAGGGAAGAGCGACCGGGCAAGCGGTGAAGGAGGAGGAGGCGGCGAGCGAGAGAGGAAGAAGAAGAGAGAGAGAGAGGGAAAAGGGCAGTTAGGGTTGGGTGATTGGGGTACAAGGAAATTACGAGAGGCGAAGAAATGGAGTTATATATAGATTAGAGGGTCTGGTGGAAGAAGGAAGAACGAATCCTTCTGGTTTAGCGGTGGGAGGAAAAAAGGAGGGAGCGGAATTTAGGGTTGGCAATTGGCAGGTGAAAACGGCAATCGTTGTCTGCGTGTTGACCTTCTGGCACTGAACTGTGGAGCGCGTGTGGTGGGTGGGGCCCGCCGGCCGTACGCAGTTAATTTGTATAAATTTTGTTGGGTCGTTTTTTTTTTGTTGTTGTTTTGTTGATCAGCGTTTAACGGCCGGGAAATTGCTGTTCCGGTCATTACTTCCGTGGCTATCAAAATGTTTAATTTCGGTATTTAAAAGGAAAACGTTTTTCATGACTTCTCGTGGCGGAGGAAGGTTCTTTCTCTATCTTTCCAATAATTAGAATATGACAAATGGTTCACAAGTATACTATTTATAACACTAGCTTATAATCTGGTCCATATGGTCGGAATGTTAATATTCGATTATTTATAATTTTATGTTACGTTTAACTCTATCAACCCGTTTAATTTTATTGACAATTTTTCGATCAATATGATACATAATGAAAGAATATATAGGACGAATATTCGGAGAAATATTAATATCATTTAAGAATATAAAATATAAAAAATGTATCATTGATCTCATTTTCATAATGATTATTAAGCTCTCGTTAAAATGTTATTGGTTAGTCGATTGTCAAGAAATATAGAGTATAAAAGCTCACTGAAATTCTCACACGACACATAGATAGTTTAAAGTTAAACTAAACCTCACAATCCTACGTAAAAAGGGTTCAATGCTCTCCTTTTAAGAACAATATAATAGCTGATCAAAAAGAAATGGATTGTTGTTGATTCAAGTCAACCATATATTAACAACTCAGCTAAGACCATCCACAATGGTGGAAGGGAAAAGAGGGAAATTTGGGTGGGAAAATAGGGAAATGAAGGTTTGAGAAAGGGTTTGGCCACAATGGGCGGGAAGGGAAAATATGGTAATTGATAAGAGTTTTTTTTTTGCCAAAATCAATTTAGTGTTGATCTCATTACTTTATTAAGATAATTTGTTCATAATTTTTATATAAGCAGTAATAATTAATTAAGATGAACATTTTGATATAATTTTTTTTAATTTGGACATAATTTTTTTATCACTAATTAAATATAAAATCATCAATAACGAAAAATATAGATGTTTGAAATAAGATTGTAGGAAATATTGCTGTTGAAAAATATGATTGTTAGCCAATAACATACTATAATCACTAATTAAAACAACTAAACCAATCAAAAAAGAAAAAGAAAACAAAAACCATCGGGTCCCACCCACCCCTTTTCCTTTTTCCCTCCTCCATTTGTTTTTTTTTTTGTAAAACCTCCATTTGTCTTCTAGCGAAGGGAAAACCGATAGGCGATATTTAACAGTACTAATAGTTGAACTACGGTTACACCACAATTTTACCATACAATGCCCTATCACTGACTTTTCCGATACGATCTCCGATACGGTTTCATGGATCATACTTATTTTTCCTTTTATTCTCGCCCTGCGTGAACCACGCCAACCAGCCGATGCCGGATTATATGTGGTAATCACCGAACTAGGCAGCCGGCAGTGTCAATGTTCGAACCTCCAAATTCCCATGGACAGCTGATAGCATAGCAACGTGAGGTCGCGGGTTCGAACACTGCGGTCATCACTTACAAGTTATTGTCAAATGTAGTCAACAAACATGTTCTTCCCCCTTTCGATGCAGGCAATCGTACGGGGTCTCCTCAGAAGATTTAGATCCACAGACGGCAGCGAAGTGGCGGCCGGAACGAGGGGAATTTCTACGGCGGCCGAGTTTAACTCTGAAGCAAACACTTCCTCTCTCTCGCCTGCTTTCACTCCAGAAAAAGAGTATAGCTCAATTATTGCCCTTTTAATCTCCCTTTTTTTCCTCCCCGGGTTCTGCTGGTCCGTGATTTGGGTGAAATCGTCCTCCAGACGGCGTTTGTTCTTGCGGCCGAAATTCCGTTTCCTAATTCGTTCGGTTTTCCTTCAGTCCGGTGCCACGACTACGATCAAGTTGGCTTCCGCGCTCTTTGACGAAGTTGTGAACTTTCGACCCTTTAGAGCACTTCGCCGCGGCCGCCTCCTGCTGCGGCTACAGATCTTTGGTAAGTGGTGCTTTCTTGCCCTTTTGGTCTTCAGCTCCCTCCATTTCTCTCGCAACAGAACAATTCTAGGTTTTCGATTCCAAGTTCTGCCGCCGCTCCCTTCCCCTGTTTACTCTGTTTCTGGGGTATGAGTGTTTAGAATTGAATTGCCCTGTTCCAAATTCATAATTATGATCAGTGTCTGTTCTATGAGGTGCGCCACTTTACATTGGAGGGTTGTAAATTGCTGTTGTGTTCAGCATTCATTTAGTATTCTTCAAGGTAAGCTTCAAGCGATGCTTTTTTTGTTATTTTGGGTTCCCAATTCACTCTGGAACTAATTTCTCTGAATATCTTTCAAGATGGGGTGGCGCTGATTTTGAAAAAAGAATGTTTATGTTAGAAAATTATGAAACGGAAGACATATAATGTTTGACGGAACATCACTGCTCAAAAAGTTTCATGGATGGCTGAGTCATGAGAGGAACTTCTGCTTCATTCTGATTGCTTCTACGTGAATAGCTCTGTCGGATTTCGACTTAATTCCTTTTATTGTGTCTTCTTCGTTGATCGCACTGCCTTTACTGCTGTGCTGTGTGGGAATTCAGTTGGCTACCACAGTTTTCCGACAAATAGGACTGTAGTGTTTTCCCCATATAAGTTCTCCTATGACCCTCTCCATAAATCCATTTGAATTACAACTAGTTTCTTTATGCGAATCAGATACTAACTTAAGCTTTAAAATGGCGATAATCTCTTTTTTATATTGTTTTGTAGATCCCGATCAAGATCTTTAAATGATTGTGGAGTGGACCTAGAATTGGGATTCCGGCATTCCGCATCCTCTGAGCTAGGCAATTGCTAATCAGTATAAAAGCTAAGGAGTGAAACGAAGAGAAAAGAGAACAAGGATAGTTGAAGGGCAAAGGCAAAGAATTTTTTGGTGACCGTCCGGCGTGGCTGTTCTCAGTCTTGATTTGTTGAGCCACTAGCCAATAAAGTCACCACACATTGGTGCTTACCTCAATGAGGGAAATCAAGCCCTTATCAGAACCTAGATGTTCTACTGCCACATTCTTCAAGAATCCCAAAGCCATCATTGCCCTTGCTTTACTTCTCTTTGATGCTGTGCTCACTGCTGTCATCATCACCTATGTTCCTTGTAGGATTCACTTGATGCTCAAACCAATTTTTCCAGTCATTATGTTTACTATTGATATGAGTAAAAGCCTTAATGTCTGATTGATTTGCTCTATTCTAGATACGAAGATTGACTGGGATGCATACATGTCACAGGTATGTGTCTCCCGCCTAAAAATTGTAACCGAGTTTCTCCCTTAGTCCCTTTGTGTTGATCAGGAACAGTTGAAATCTTCCCCTAGTTAAAAGTTGAAAATGATGAGAACGAAGGAAAAAAATTCCGAACCTCTTAGTTTGAAGTTCGAACAAACTTGATTGATGCTAAGTCAGTGTAACTAACAAACAAGCAGGTAACCGGGTTTCTTGAAGGAGAGAAGGATTACAGCAAGCTAGAAGGTGACACAGGGCCACTAGTTTACCCTGCTGGGTTCCTCTATGTTTATTCTGCTATTCAGTATGTCACTGGAGGACAGGTCTTTGCCGCTCAGGTACAGTCCTTCATGCTTGATGTCCAACCATCTCTTATCTCACGGCTAACTTTTCTTATCTTAGTTTACCAAGTTGAATATATTTCTTTCTGTTTCTGGTATCATGCCTTACAGATTCTGTTTGGTGCCTTGTACATCGTGAACCTTGCTATCATCTTATTCATCTATGTAAAGGCAGATGTGGTTAGTTCATTTTCTCTGAGTGTCGAGATTTTATCCTTATGTTGCCTTTCATGCTGATGGAATCTCAGTTTGATGGTATAAATGATTTCTTGTAGCTCCCTTGGTGGGCACTTGTCTTGCTTTCTCTATCGAAAAGGATCCACTCTATCTTCGTCCTTCGTCTCTTCAATGATTGTTTTGCAATGACACTGCTGCATGCTGCTATGGCCTTACTTCTTTACCAACAGTGGCATCTTGGACTGATCCTTTTCAGGTGGTACATTAAAGTTTTTTCTTTTGGTCTATGTTAGCATTTTCTAAATCAACGAAGTGTCTTCTTATTTGTATACAGTGGGGCTGTTTCTGTAAAGATGAATGTTTTGCTCTATGCTCCTCCATTGCTGCTCCTTATGTTAAAGGTGTGCGGCTCTTTTCAAAATTTCTTGCACTACTCCTCATTCTAAGTAAAGTTTTCATTTTCAGTTGCTTACTGCAATTTTTACTCTCAGCATTTCTTGTTGTTAAATTCCTTTTGCAGTCAATAGATGTCCGCCGGGTGATATCTGCTTTAGCTGGAGCAGCATTTTTACAGGTTATAACTTTGCATATGGTTCTCTATTTTAGGAATTATTTCTATGTGAGAATAGCCGTAAGCTTTTTCATTTTGAAACAAAAGGCGTATGTTCTTTTATTTTGGTATGTGGTTTAGGTGAGTGAGCTACTTCTACATCCAAAATCCGGAGCAGGCACAGTCCTAGCATGCAGATTTTATTGGTTTCTTAATCCATGATGGATGGTCCTTTCTGCAGATCCTGTTGGGGCTCCCATTTTTACTTTCACATCCAGCTGCTTATATATCCAGAGCCTTCAATCTTGGTCGCGTTTTCATCCACTTCTGGTACTTCCTTGTTGATCATCTTCCAGAGTAGAGCATGCTCTCCACAAAATTATCTGTTGATTGTTATGACTAACAAGCAAAGAACTTGCATTCGTGGAATTCTTGTTTTCACTTGTGATTCGATTCATAATAGCATTCTTTTGTTGGCTTGTATTGAAATCTTTGGCTTATGCTTGCAACAGGTCTGTTAACTTCAAATTCATTCCTGAACCAATCTTTGTGTCAAAGCAATTGGCAATCTCTTTGCTGATTGTTCACCTTGTATTACTCGCAGTTTTTGCCCACTACCGATGGTGCAAGTAGGTGACATACCTTTTCACTTTTTAGTTTATTATAATATTATATACGGGCATAGTTTTCGAACTATACTTATCGCTATGTCTGGTATATTAGTTTCTTTTTCGTACTTTGTTATTCATGCACCCAATAAATGGAATAAGTAGAATTCCAGTTTTCCCAGTTGAAAAGATTTGTGCCTGATTGTTGATTCACAACTGAACCGTACATTCCTTAACTGGGTATGTGAAGGGTGTTGAGACTTGAGACTTGAGACAAGTGAAATTGTTCCTTTATTCTCTGTGACAACCCTTGCAGTAGAAACTGGAAACTGCAATTCATATGGAGGTGTGATTCATTATCTTTCCTGAACGTATAGGTTTGAAGGAGGACTGCTGAGATTGTTGCGTTCCAGAGTTTTGTCTTTTTCTGGTACCAAGAGTTCGCCAATGAAGATAAAGGAAGAACGTAAGTCTGAATCTCTTTATTTTGCAATGAGCACCAGCAGTTGTTCACTATTCATACACCTTCACCAGCATCTTCTTGCTTCCTGAAGTTTTTGCTGCATCTTTACAGACATCGTGACAACTATGTTTGTTGGCAACTTCATTGGCATTGTATGTGCCCGCTCATTGCATTATCAATTCTACTCTTGGTAAGCATACTTTTGGGAGTCCGTAAACTTTGTGTCGATACAAAAGAATCTGAAAATGACAATTTAACGCAGTTGTGTTCTTGCCTTTGGATTGAAACGGACCCTTTTCAACCATGCATTCAGACGAATGCTGTGAAACAATCGTCTTAACGTGCCGTTCACAGTGTCAGCTTCAGTCCTCCAATTAACTTCATCTTTGGTATGCATCATTGGTCACAGGTACTTCTTCAGCATTCCTCATCTACTATGGACAACGAGGTATCCCACAATTGTGCGGTGAGTTCTGCACTCCATCCAATGTCGAATGATCATTGCATTGTTACTTCCAACTCTTGACAATTCAGGCGTTTTTTTGGTGCAGTTTGGTGCTGTTTATAGGCGTAGAGCTCTGTTGGAATATCTACCCATCCACCATTGTTTCGTCAGCTCTGCTTTTGTTTCTCCACCTAGTAATCCTTTGGGGTCTATGGTCAGCACCACCAGAGTATCCTTATAGAGATGAGACACTCTCAACACAAGAGAAAGACAAATGAAGAAGTGGGATTGACATAGTTGAATGTTATGAGCTATTATGTTAGTATTTTGTTGTTGCTAATTTAGACATTTAGATGCGAAACAATGATTGTTAGTCTCTGATCAGTGAACCTTCCCCTTGTGATTGTACAATGGGTAAATCATCTTGGCGCCAAGTTGCCTTGTGCCTGTTCCTTAATATGCATTATGGTAAAACTCTATCGGTTATCATAATTATTATTGTCTTAAAAAATATAAAAGCAGTTTTAGTTTTCACCCCCTGCCACGTACCCCCAACTAAAACGAGAGGCTGTCCACGTCAGCATTTATCTCCACCGCGTCTTTACCTTTTCCCCTTTTGTTTCTGTTTTCTTCGGATGCCCAGGAAATTCCAACCGCCTACAATCTTCTTCTTCCTACATCTGCCAACGCCAAGGATAGCATGTAGCATGTATCTCCACCGTGTTTTGCAGCATATTCAGACTTTACAGGCCACTGAGTAAAGACCCCAAAATCACTGGCTGGCGATTGGCGTTCTCATATACTAACGCCCTCAATCATCGTGGTTCTCCAGGCCAGTTGTTGCGCCGCCAATCCTCCTCCCTGCGACCGCCATCTATTCAACTAGCACTGCGATTTTAACGCCTCTACCTCTCACCGCCCCAGACATCCCCCAGGTTATTTTAATTTCATGCCGACACCTGATTTTTTATTCAAGTTCGCCACCCACTCTATTTCCTGCATTACACCATATATATGCTGAATCGATTTCAATTTCCCTTCAGTGACCCTTACTCCGCCCCGCCATTCAATCTTCTAACGTTTTCTTCAAAACCACCAACAACTATCACCTCATCGGGTCTTCAATCTCACCAAGTATGGTCTTGAGGCAAAGGCGCTCAGATTGTTGCGATCAACACGGCCGTTGGCGACACATCAGCGGCATGCAGAGCGACCGAATGTCGGTAATGAAGCGACCAAGGAGCAACCGGTAGAACATGTGTCGACTGAGGCATAAGAGAAGAAATTGTGATTCAAAGAAATAGAATCGGACGATAGAGATGTTCTCACGGAAAAGGGTTCGCGGCAAACAGGGTTCTGGTGGTAATGGTTACCGAAATCAGAAGGGTGTATGTAGAAAACAGAGGACGCAGCGAAGAGCTGGTGGATTTTAGTACAACATGGACATAAGATTCAAAGACACGAGTCGAGACGGGTCAGTGGGTCTTCCGGGTCAAGCTTTCACCTACTGAGAAGAGTTTAAATCGCATCACATTTTGGACAGGACGGGTCGGGACGGGTCTTCCGGGTCAAGCTTTCAACTATTGAGAAGAGTTTAAATCGCATCACACTTTGGAGAAGGAGGAAAGATCGGAGTGGAATAATATAACAGGCAGTTTCGAATTTCGAGATTTGTTCGAATTTCGAATTTCAATAATTTGAATAATGAGGATGGGAAAAACCTCCAGAAGGCTCGGTGAATAAAGGGGAATAGGCAGATGGATCTTATGACATCAACGTTTCAACCACAATTTAAGGTTGCCAGTTGCCACTAACACCACTAAAAATACAATATTGTGAAAAGAAAAAGCGAATTCACAACTATTTACTACAAACAAACGAGCTAAAAGGACACCAAAGCGGACCATAGATGCAATAACCACACCCGGCCAACCGGCCGGGCAAAGTGCTAGTTCTACCTAGATACTCTTGGATTAGAAGTGGCTTATTAGTTATTGTCATTATTATTACCACTATTCCTTATTAGTATTCCGTTTCCTAGTTGTAGTTGGTCAAATCTGTACTCTATATATTTTTCTCTTCAGGGCCTATAATCGATGATTTTCACAGAAGCAAATTAATATGATTTGTAGGAGTAGCTTAGAAGTAGTAGCCTCGTAATTCAGGGTTGGTTTTCGCTATTACGGAGATTCCGATCTAGTACTGCATCATTTTTTTTATACCATTCTTCTGTTCCAGAGATACGATTCCAGGAACACCCAAGACGAACACCCTAACAAATTTCAACCCGCATCAAGGTATACTCACGAGTCACGACCATCTCCTGAGTTTATGGTATTGGAGGTTTCTCATGATTCGAATTGATTTCCTGCTTTGTTATGCAGTTTCCTGCCTTTATTCGTAGTAGCAACCTGCAAGATGAAGCGATGCAAGTCCAGTGCTGACAGAATCACCGACCTTCCTGCCCACGTGTTAAATCACATCCTCGTGTTCTTACCCATTAAAGATGCCGGCAAAACTAGTGTCTTGTCAAGGAAATGGAGGCGTCGATGGAGAAGCATTCCTCAACTTGTTTTTGATAAAGAGTTTGCCAACATTCTTGACGAACCTACATCTGATAGGAAGGTGATGAATAAGCAAGTGATGCTGAACATACTCCAGTGCCTGCTTCTTCATGATGGGCATATAGCCAAGTTTGAGATTTCAATACTTGGATTAGACCCCTGCCAGGAGAGTGGCCTCATCATTCTTCACCTTTTTAACAAAGGTGTCCAAGACTTTACCCTAGAGTTTGATGAGTCAGAGGCTGAGGAAGAGCGCTATCAGATGCATTCTTCCTTGTTTTCTGCACTTCACCTGAAATCTCTGCAGCTTCAGTCTGTAAAATTTGCCCCACCAACTTGGTTTGTTGGCTTTAGTAAGCTTACCCATCTTGAACTGGCAGAGGTTATTTTGCCTGATGATTTCTTCGAGAATTTCCTGCCTAAGTGCCCGATGCTGGAACGTTTGAAGCTTGCATTTTGTAATGGCCTTGCTGGTGATCTTGGGATCGTGGCTCCATTTCTCAAATCCTTCAGCTACATGGGTTTTTTGGATATCTACTTCAAGTCTACTCCACTTCTGTCAGATCTCTCACTTCATTATGGCCGCATACCTGATATGGCATCGGCATCCTCGCTTGCTTCTCTCTCAAGACTCCAGCGGTTCCATGTTAACTGTCAAAGCCTGCAAGTAAGGAACTTTCTGTCACAACCTTCTTTCAGTTCTTGCTGGAAAGCCTGCTGGGTTGCTGTAGCTCATTCATACTATGCATGAAATATGAATAGTTGCTTGTTTCTCTTGCAGAAACTTGCTGGAATTGGTACGAACGCGCCCACCAGATTTCGAACTCTTCTTCACCGGTTAAATTTCCTCTGCATCGACGATGTTATCTTTGACGGTTCCAAAAGGGAGCGTGCTTTTGTTTGTATGATCATGAGCTCTCCCAACCTGCGCAGCCTCACAGTCGGAGTTGGGGTTCGTTGTGTTTCCCAACTGGACTTTTTCGTTTGCAGCATTTATGAGGTTTACAACTTTCAGTATTTAGCCTTGACTTTGGTTTCTTGATAAATGCTCTTGCAGGACTGGCAGAGCCAATTCGGTGTTGAACCTATAAATAACAAAGTTAGCAGCTTATGGAGGTTGTTGGAAGCAGAGGTCTGTCCTGGACCTTCTGATTGTCTTCAGCATCTAAGAGAGTTCAGAATTGAGCATAGCCATGGTACACATGCTGAGTTGGACCTCATGAGGTTCGTACTAGCCACTGCCCCGCTACTTCGATCGATTTATGTCAGGCCTAGATGTGGATTGCGGACGGAGAAGAATACGAAATTCATGAAAGAAGTGCTGCGATGTAAGCGTGTTTCTAAAGAAGCAGAGATTACTTATGACTGGGATTATGCGATGGACTGAGATCTTTCTGAGCTTTTACTATTGTTAGTGTAGTTCAGACAATGACTACGTACACTATGGCTTAGGAATGGCAATGGGCAGGGGCGGGTATCTCGATACTCATACCCGTTCCGTGGCAGTTCGGATTCAGGTCGGGTAATTTATTATGGGGCGTGGGTCGGGGCAGGTCGACCCAATGGGTATCTAATTTCTGTGAAAAATATTAGAAATATTCGTTATTTTCATTAAAAGGCCAAGAAAGAAACCATAATATAATGAAATGTAGTTAAATTATTGGAGAAATTAAGGTTTCTCTTATTTACAAGTTTATTATAGCTAAAATATGAGGTGATAAGAGGAAAGTCCTAAATAATTTTACTAAGATTACATGTAATTTAGGCAAGAACGGGTCAAGAATGGGGCGGGTCGGGGCAGGTCAGGTCGATGAGAGGTACCCATGCCCGCCCCAAAACATGTCAAACATGCCGGGTAAAACGGGTCTAGTCGAAATTGACATCCCTACTATGGCTATGGAACGGGAGTAAAATGTACCGTGTGGTCAAAGTTGAGATTATATTGTAACATCATTTTTTTGGGATTTTTTTCCTAGTTCTTAAAAAAAAATTCTCAATATACCATAGTCCTTGTAATATTTTTCAATCTACACATGTTTTCTCAAAATCGTTTTTAACAATCACATTCATCTGTGCAGATTATTGTCAGTGGTTAGCACGTGTCAACAACTTGCTCATCTTAATCCAAGTTTAACCTAAGATGACATTGTCGTATAGTCGCAATCAAGATCGTATTCTACTCAGGTCCTGGTATCCTAGCCTACTTCCCACCGCGTTGTTATTTAGTCGATCGGTTTGAAGGTTTGTGTGGAGGATTTGAGCGAATTACCTAGTCTATAGATTGATAAAGCTAAAAGCAGGTACTTCGGGGAACTATCCCTCACCCTAGCCTAGGGCTACTATGTAGTATGTAATGTCTAGATACTTAGGGTTTATCGAATGTGGTGAGTGAGCTCTTTTCCTGGGCTTTCGTGGTTATCCACACGCCTCCGAGTACGCCTCCCCTAGACCCATATATAGTCACCTCGATCTAGGGTACCGTATCTGGGGAATTAATCTCGTAGCTCCTTTCAATGGGTACTACCCATCGTCCACACCGAGGCTTTATCCCTGGTACTATTTTCATGATTTATTTACAATTCAAATAATGTATTTTTCTGGTATATACTAATGGATGCCAGCGGATTTTTGTGATCCTAGAATGTATATCCAACTCGGCTTGAGGGATGTGAAGTATTTAAGCAAGCAAGCAACTCATCAATCCCATACATTTGGAACAACAACCCGATAGGCATGCCCGACCGTCAAAATCATGTTTTTATCATTATTTTAAAACGTTGCTATATTTTTATATCATTCAAAAACTTACTTCGTACATTTTTCCCCCCGTAGGAATCACTTATTCCCACCATCCATAGAAGACCTCACGCTTGCCCCAATGACATGCGGGACCCTTGCCCTATATAGAAAGGACGAGATTGGATAGAGTGAGTATTCGTAGGGATGGACATTGATAATGAGTTAGTGACAACTACGTCAGAGAGGTGAGGGCCCGAGACACATACCTTCCACTTTTATGAGGGGGAGAGAACTATCACACTATGAGATGTTGTCATCCCTACCGAGTTGCCGATCACCAGAAAGGTCATCATCGAGAACTCGAGTAGTCCCGAAGGACGTTGGCCACTTGTTCGGGATAATTTGGGCTTCAACATGCCAACGGAGGTAGTGGGGCCAGGTCATCCGTCATTGAAAGTGGGACAAATATCAATCTCGTGGCTTGTTAATCATAAAATGGCAGAAGTTGAGGTGAATGCAAACATCCAGAAGAAGCAGTGGAACGGTGTGTCCACGTGTATCTTATTGCCTTGGTTGGTGGAGTGATGTTTCTGAACAAGGCGAATAGTCCATTGCTCCTCGGTGACTGGGATGTGATAGGGACGAAGAGTTAGGGATCAACTTGTTTAGCGACAGTGTACCGAGACTCGCGGATTTGTAAAATAGTCAATTCCCATGAGCTATTTTGAAATTCCACACTTGTGGGTTCTCAAAATCCGTAATGCCCACAATCTCCCATCTTCCCAAATGCATAATTATTTCAAAATTTAGTAGAATGAAAGACTGTTTTAAAATTCCTCACAAATCACTCACTATAATCCTCCAACCAAATGACCCCTATAAGTTTTGAATCTGCGGCGAGTGTAAAATGTAGCATGGACAAACTTCGATTTTTATTTAGTCACAACATTGTAACGACATAATTATTGCTTTTAGAGAGTTCATCATGAGATAGATTATATAAGTGTAGTTCATTTGATATTTATAATTTCTGATTTTTTCTACATATTTTTTTAAAACTAATATAAATATAATGAACCCCGATTAAATTCCTTTGGCGGATCTGGCGGTCTCGGAACTGGGTGGTCTTTGAGGGTAAGCAGTTTGGGATCCTGCGTTGATGCGCCAGTTTGCCCAACAATATGAGGAATGGGTGCGGCTGCCGGTGGATAAAGCTCTTCAGGCTGCTGATCCTACGGTACAACAACCACTGGGTCTGATGGTTCATACTGGGTTGTTTGTATGTGGGATGGGGCTACTAGGAGCGGTTCACATTCGGCGGGCGGGTTGGTTCTTATGACCCCTACACGGGAAGTCCTGCTGGTGAAAGGGGTTCAATTTCCGATAATTGATGACCCCATGGTGGTGGTACTGCTTGTCCTCCATGAGGGTCTGCTGTGGTGCCCATGATCCAGGTCATCGACAAGATCAGATAGGCCGATAAAAAGGGACAACCGATTGGGTGCGATTTTGGACGAAGTGGTGCTGGGTTTCTCCAGTAACCCCGGATTTAGTGTTCGATAGTAATAGGGTAGCCCACTTGATGGTTAGAAAGACCCTCTCTTTGTGGCCGACTATGAGTCGTTTTTTTGATTTTCAGGCCTGGCTGAACTCGAGGATGTAACTACCTATTATTTGAATCAATACATGATTATCTTTTGTAAAAAAAAAAAAAAATACTACTCGCTAAGCCACCGTACCGGTATAAACGGTCTAAAGCACACAAGTCTATAGTGTGAAAAATCCCAAGCCCTAACGCACGTTGAACCAGCAAAACTACTGGTTCTCGCGCGCTCGCTCGCTCGCTCTTCGCACCTCGCCATCTCTCTCAGTTCGGCTCGGCGCTTGGTCTCCCTCCCTACAACTCCACTCTCTCCGCCACTGAAATCTGCACTTCTCTTTCGTTTTCTCTTGACCCTCAACATCTACTCCCTGCATTCTATTCCACCCTTTGCCGCTCTGTACTGTTCCCGCGTTTCATTTTCCGCTGAGCCCCAAGTCCACTGGCTGGAAGAAACTTCAATCATGGCGTGCTCAAGCAGCTTCGTTCGCCCTCACCGCCGTTCAATTTCTTCAGGATGTCATAGGACAGTGTAATTGAGACGCCGGAAACAAGTACAGCTTTCAGGGCTCTGCCGGATTGAGCCCTTTCTGTTCTTGGTCGAAGTAACCCACCCTCCTCAACGAAAGGTAATCCACCGCTTTCTCCTACGTTACATAATTCGAGCTTTCTCTTGATTCGAATGTTTACCTGCTTTGTTCTGCGATTTCTGTGTTTTTGGCTATCCCAGTCTGTACTTGTTACCTGGCTGAAATGGATTTCTTGCTTCGACTTTGTATTATAGCCTGAAATATGAAGCGGGTGTGTGAGTCGGAGTCCAGTGCTGATAGAATCACTGACCTTCCTGCCGACGTGATACAGCGCATTCTTGTGTACTTACCCATTAAAGATGCCGCCAAAACTGGTGTCTTGTCAAGTAAATGGAGGTGCCACTGGAGAAGGATTCCTGAACTTGTCTTTGATGATGATTTTGCCCAAATCTCTAGTGATTTGGCTGAATCTGAATCGAAAGTTATGAATAAGCAAGTGATGTTGAACATCTACAGATCTCTGCTTCTTCATGACGGGCGAATAACCAAGTTCGTGCTTTCAGTCCCTGGATTGATCGCCTGCCGTGAGATTGACCAAATCATTCTTTACCTTTCTACCAAAGGTGTCCAACACTTAAAGTTTGTGTTCACCGGTATTAATGATGAGGAAGAAGGCGATTTTCAGATGCATTCTTCCCTGTTTTCTGTTTCGCACCTGAAATCCCTGAAACTTCAGTCCTGTGAATTTAAGCCACCATCTTGGTTTGTGGGCTTCACTAACCTCACCCGTCTTGTATTAGAATATGTTACTTCGCCCTTCGATTTCTTCAGGCATTTCCTTTCCATGTGCCCGATGCTCGAATACTTTAGGGCGATATATCCCGACGGGCCTGCTGGTCAGCTTGAAATTGTGGCTCCACTTCTCAAATCCTTCATCTTTGTGGGGTATTTTCAGAGTATCAGCTTCAAGTGCACTCCACTTCTGTCATACGTAGTACTTCATTTGACTGAGAGCGAGACACCTGATTTGGTATCTTTATTTGCTTCTCTCCCGGTACTCGAGCAGCTCCATGTTAACAATGAAGTCATGAAAGTAAGTAGAGTTTTTCACAATGTAGTTTCATCCTTGCATAGGTATGTACTCATTCATTCCATCGGGTTTGGTTTTCTCTCAGTACCTTGCTCCAGCTGGTAGGAATACCCCCACCCGGCTTCCTATTCCTCTTCACCACTTAAAAGTCCTCGAGATGAATACTCTCGTCTTTGATGGTTCCCCGATGGAGTGTGTTTTTGTTTCTCTAATCATGAGCTCCCCCAACTTGCATAGGCTCACAGTTCAGGTCGGTTGTGTTGCAAACTGAATTTTCTGTTTGCAGGAGTCGAGGTGCATAAATTTTTTGTTCTCTAGACTGACTCTGGCTCCTTGACAAATGCTCTTGTAGCTATGTGATCAGCCCGCAGGCAGTGAAGTTAGCTGCTTGCGAAGCTTGTTGGAAGCAGGGGACTGCAGGGGATCTGATTGCCTTCAACATCTGAGGAAGTTCAGAATCGAGGATAGCCGTGGTACTCAGGTCGAGCTGGACCTTGTGCGGTTTGTACTAGCCACTGCCTCACTACTTGAGTTTATTCACATTACACCTTATAAAAAATTGGGCGCCAAGAAGGTTACCAAGTTCATGAAGGAGGTGATACAGTATAAGCGAGCTTCTAAAGAAGCGGAGGTTAGATTCTATTGGGATGACGACGATGAGTGACAATTCGGTCTCCCCTCACTCAACTCCTCACTTCTAGAGTTGCAATGTTGGTGGATAGATGTGAGGTTTTCTATATAAGCAGCATATTACAGATTTTCCAGGTTCGGTTTTCCCGCCATAATCTTGTTCGGATTGGGAGCTTACTATTTTGGATGTTTGGAAGTAGATTGACCCTATAACTTCTGGAAATCCGTATCCTTCTGCGTCGTAAGGGAACAATTGATCACCCCCTATCTGTCTTTTAGTATTAACATTCTCCAACTTGCCGGATATCTCCTCTTTGAATTGGTTTCCTCATTTGATGTGGCCGGAAAATAACTGGAGTTTTGCCGCATATTGGAGAACCCATCTGACCATGAGTTCTACTCATAGCTAGATCTTATTGTTCATTTGTCCTAACTTGGTTTTTTCTTTGTACTCGTGTTATGTCCCCAAAGATATTTCTATGGTAATGTAGTCAGCTTGTCTCAACAGAAACAAATATTGCTCGATGCATCTTATTGAAGACAAATATTGCCGGATATCTCCTCTTTGTACAGGTTTGTCACTAAAAATAATTTATTTTATTTGTGGTCGCTCAAATTAGTTTAATAGTCCATGTTCGGTCATTCTCGTTACTTTCTGTTAGTCTCCATTAAAGACGTCGATTTTTTTTGCTGATGTGGCGAACACAAACGTCCAGTAAGCCTAATTTAACTTGAAAAATAGACGTGATTCTCAACTGCTACATTCATTTCATTACGAATTAATGATCTCGTAAGCATCTCTGCAACATCCATTTCATTAGAAATCCGTATACATGAGCGGTCCTGGTAGAAACCATGTGATTTAGCGCTTGTTGGGTCAGGTTTGATGATTAGGAGTTGGTTGATGATTAGAAATTGTGATAGATGATCAGGAAGAATTAGGAATTGAGCGTTGAAGAGAAGAATTGGGGAAGAACGAGAAAGAATGGCAGACGGTCTATAGTAGAGAGATAGACGAGATTTAGAGGATAGAAAAATTAAGATTTGAGAGACTTTTTTGTAATATTCTTCTTGATTGACTGGAAAACACTGGAAAAATCTAATAATAAACCTAAAATTAACAACATTAAATTTTAAATTTTAATTGGTATCCTTAATCTAATATGATACTATAACATATGATCACAACTAATCAATGCATTATTTTAAACCTTCAATTTTGAACCCTAACCCTAAATTCCTAAACCTGAATCCTTCAAATCAAAGTAATCTTGAATAATTTTTGTGCAAATTCATGTATTTTATTGCCCATCATATAAGAGTAATGATTGATATCGGTTTGACATGAGTCACCTGCTCAAAATAACGGTTATGAGGCGAGTGCATTACATGCATCCAAAAAAGTGAGTGCATTGAAGACAAAACCTTCATTTTGATATATTTGCAAGAAAAATATTATGTTAGTCTAACATCCTATGTAGGGGTGGATAACGATCCCGTTAGCACTAGATTGAATCGTACTGAATCGATATTTGGATCGAATATATTTTGATTCGGTTTTATAAGGAAAAAAAAGCAACATATCTATTGGAGAATCGTCAATTCCTAAAGGTTATTCTTTAAGTTTTCAATCTATAGAGTATCAAATTTGTGTTGGTCGCTGGGTTGTTTATCAGTGTTGCCAAAAAATAGATGTCATAAAATGTTCATGTGAAGTAAATTCTCCGTGTGTAATGTTTAGTGTGAAGATAAAAGTTTTGTTAAGGAAGACAAATGCATTGTAATTGGTAGAGACGATGGTGCTTTAGAGAATGGAGCGCGATCACAAGAAATCCAAAATGGCATTTGCAATAATTTTTTAATTCGAGGAGAGCAAATAGTGCGGTCAGATTACATATTTAGGAGTCTATTTTCTTGCATGGCTTTGTAGTAATAATAATAATAATTTTAGTTGTTGGTTATAATTACTATATATAATTCCTAGCTAGTTTAGGATTAGAATTGTCCTTATTATAATTTAGGGGTTATTTTATTCCTTATTAGTATTCTGTCTCCTCGTTGCAGTTGGTCAAGCTTGCTCTATATAATTTGGTGATGAACGAAACCAATTCTGTTACATGGTGTATTAGTGGTTTCGTACAAGTAGACTCGGATTGATTGCCACAGACACTCTACTGCTTTCTCCCAAGTTACGGTATTGGAGCTTTCTTCGGCCTCGAATTGATTTCCTGCTTGCTTTGTTCTGCAATTTCCCGCCTTCCTTCCTACAAGCAGGTAGCCTGAAAGATGAAGCGGCTCCGCGAATCCTGTGCTGATGATAGAATCACCAACCTTCCTGCCGACGTGATACATCGCATTCTCGTGTTCTTACCCATCAAAGATGCCGCCAAAACTAGCGTCTTGTCGATGCAATGGAGGCATCGCTGGAGAGGTATTCCTGAACTTGTTTTGATAGGGAGTTTGCCAGCATTTTTGGCAAGGTTAAATCTGAAAGGGAGGAGATGAGTAGGCGTGCAATGACGAACATCTATTGGTGCCTGCTTCTTAATAATGGGGCGGCAGTGACCAAGTTTGTGCTCGCAATTCATGGATTCGTCCCCTGCAACGACGAGATTGATCTCCTCCCTCTTTACCTTTCCAACAAAGGTGTCCAACATTTCACCCTGAACTTTGACTCTGCCGATGAATGTCTCTACGACGAAGATTGTGTTGACCTGTACAACTATCAAATGCACTCTTCCCTGTTTTCTGCTCTTCACCTGAAATCCCTGCAACTCCAGGCTTTGGTGTTTACACCACCGCCCAGGTTTGTCGGGTTTAGTAAGCTTACCTATCTTGAATTTGGCTATGTTAGATTGCCCCTTGATTTCTTCGACAGTTTCCTTCCCAAGTGCCCGATCCTTGAATCCTTGAGGCTTCGATGTTGTTGGGGCCATGCTGTTGAGGTTCGTATCAAGGCACCATTTCTCAAATCCTTCCACTTTTGGGGGTTTGAACTGGTTGCTATCAGCTTCGCGGATACTCCACTTCTGTCAGACCTGTTACTTCATTTTGTTCGCTGTCGCGTACCTGGTATAGCATCCTTATTTGCATCTCTCCCGGCTCTCGGGCGTTTCTTTGCTAACGGTGCAGTCCTGAAAGTAAGTTCCTTTTTTTGTCACAACCTAGCTATTTTCAATTCTTACAGAGAAGCCTTCTGCTGGCTTGCTGCTGCAACTCATTCATGCCGTTGTAATATCACTATGTCGTTGTATCATTATTTTTCTCCTAGGACCTTGCTGCTGGTGATAGGATGAATGTCCCCACCAGGCTTCCTACTCCTCATCACCAGTTACAAGACCTTTACCTGAAATCTCACGCCTTTGAAGGCCCTGGAATGGAGCGCGTTTTAGTTTGTTTGATCATGAGCTCTCCCAACCTGCGCAGGCTCAGAATTGAGGTACGTGTTTGTGTGTTTGCCAACTGAGCTTTTCGTCACGTCGTTGGCAGCATTTGTGAGTATCTAGCTAGCCTGGCTTAGGCTCCTTTGACAAATTAATGCTCTTGCAGGTGAGCCCGATAGATGATCAACCTTCAAATGATGAAGTTAGCAGCAGCTTATGGAGGTTGTTGGAAGCAGCAGGGGGCAGCCCTGGATCTTCTGCTTGCCTTCAGCATCTGAGAAAGTTCAGAATTAAGCACAGCCTTTGTACACAGGTTGAGCTGGACCTTGTGAGGTTCGTCCTGGCCACTGCCCCGCTGCTTCGGTTGGTCCATGTTAATCCTGGATTTGCACTGACGGCCAAGAAGATTATGAAATTCATGAACGAGGTGATGCAATTTACGCGTGTTTCTAAAGAAGCAAAGGTTATCTTTGACAATGATACACGTGATGACCCCTTTACTTATGCAGAAAGCCAACTTTGACAGCAGTGTTGAGACCACCTTTTATCTGGAACAAAACTATCCGGTGCTTTAGCCACATCTCTTCTTTCAGAATGTTTGTTCCATCTAAGATGCGAGAGTATATAAAAGAAAATTGCATTGTTAGTGAAGTACTAAATTACTCCTATCCATATGAGCACTTGGTTTTATTGTAACAGAATTTAATGATAAGTTGAATTAGATAATACCTTTTCTATTTTATGATTGGATCATCAACCCTGTTCACGAACGAACTTATCCGAAGGCTTAATGAGAACTTTGCAGAGTTGTGAGGCATTGGCCAATACAAACTTCACCAAGTCCAGCTCAAACTGAGACTCGAACTCTCGAAGCTGCCAAGAATCTTCACCTCTTCAAGACAGTGAAAGTAACCATTGCCTCCATCTTCAGGATGGTTCTCTAGCACAGCGTCAAACTTATTTTGCCTTGTAGGAACAAGCGGTAGCTTGCCTCTCATTCCAGCTACAAAAAGTATTACTCAAGGACCAAGGAGGATCTGAATACCTAAGGTCGGTGAGCATGCAAATTTTTTTGGAGGATCTGAAAACCAACCTCCATTCCATTGTATGTGTTTGCAAGTTCGGGGAACTCCTTATCAAACAAAAGACAGCATCCTCCGCAAGAAAACCATTGTAGTAAGGCATAAACCAACAAGATCGTATAGCGGGAACTTTCAAATGGTGAAAAGCAATCGGAAGTCTGCTGGGAATATTACCTGCAGCAAGTTCATGATGGAAGTAAACAAAGTAATGAGCAACAAACTCATGTCTTAGCTAGAGTCAGATAATGTGGAGAAACAGGACTTATTCCTAAGGATGGGTGTCAGGAAATGAGAAGGAGAATTATTGAAGAAAAACATACTGTAATTTAAGGGAAAAGCTGCTTGGCATGACAACGCTAGCTGCGGGGAGTTTCATGGAGGGTGGAAAACTGCGATTCATATAGCAAAGAGGAAAAGCTTTTCCATAAGTGGCAGGGATACTGTTAGCAAAGTTCCTGCTGCAAATGTTTTGGAGAACAGCAGTTGTGGAGAAAGATGTGGATTTTGCGTCTCTGAATATGCGTGCATTTGATTCCATCCAAATTCTCCAAAACACTGCACGTGGAAGGGATGTAAGAGCATCACTAAAATTGGACAAATTCCTGAACTTGTCTTTGATGCTGGTTTTTGCCCAAATTCATGAACATCTGACCCTACCTGAAGCAAATTGCCATTCATGTAAAGCTTCTGCTCAATTGCTGTGTTCATTCATGCTGTGATATATTGGGCTTGGTTTTCTCTTAGTCCCTTGCTGCAGGTGATAGAAATATGCCCGCCAGGCTTCCTAATCTTCACCTGTTAGAAGTCCTTGCAGTGAGCCGTATAGACTGTGATGCTATGGGATTGGGGCGCGTTTCTGTTTGTTTGATCAAGAGTTCCCCAAACTAGCGTAGGCTCACAGTTCAGGTTGGTTGTGTTAGCCAGCTGAAGGTCCTGCTAGCAGGATTTATGAGGGTTAAAAAGACATAAATTTTGGCTCCTTGACAAAAGGTTTGCAGGCAAGCAGAAGAGTCCGTCGTTGCAATGTGAAAGCAAGGCAACAGATTAACTTTACAAACAACAGCAAAGCAGGGCATAGTTTTCCCCAACAAGAAGGCGTGGCAATACAAAACGCTACAACAAAATTGCCAACCTTCAGACAATCCTCCAGATTGTCTTATCAAACTACATATATTACTTCTGCATCTTTTGATACTCGCCTATATTGTGTCACCTCCTTCAAAAACCTAAGACCCAATTCACAACCCAGTTCATCAGAAGGCTTAATGACAACCCTGCGGAGTAACGCTGCTTTGGCTAACACAAATTTCAACAGGTCTAGTTCAAGCTGTGAGCCATGGCTGCCGAGGATCCTCACCTCTAGAAGACATTGGAAACAACCATCTTCATTTTCAGGGTAACTTGAGAAGGGCACCACACACAGGAATGAGTAGAGAGATTAAACTTGTGTTGGCAAAATTGCAAGTAGGACCAACATAAGGAAGCAGATTTACCTCCAGGAACTCGAAGCTAACATAAAGTTGTTGGGAGTGCTGGAAGAGAAGCACACATAGCAACCATGCTAGGCTTCTCAACCTCGTCTTCGATCACATCATCTAGTTGAATTGAAACTACTGAAAGAAGTGGAGCAGACTCGAAACGGATGCTCTCAAAATACCCAGAAAGGAGAAACGTTTTGAGATATGGAGCAACTAGTCTAAGCTTCGGAGGGACCAATCCCACCAAATAAGAAGCCGATTTCCTTCAACCAACTTGTTCAAAACAGAGTGGGATACGTACCTGTATTGCGCCGGAGAGGCAGACTGTTGATTGACTTGAAGCTAGGGTTTGGGAGGCATGGATTTAGCTCGGAAAAAACAGTTGGAACAGTTTCACGATCAGAAAAGGAAGACAAATTGAACCGCTAGTATTTCAGACCTCATTGATTAATCCCACCTCCACAACTTGAGTTTTCCAAATTGTTCTTGCCGAAAATCTCTGCGGACAGAATAATGCTTGTTTATTGTTTGTTTTTGTTTCTAAAACTCCAATTCCGAGAGATTCCCATGGTTTCCCACCGCCGTCCCAAAAACCCCCATTCTCTATCTCAAATCTCAGTCATCCTCTCCAGCTGCTGTACACCAAATCTCCGACCATGTCCGTGAAGGAGGTGATCCAAGTATGGCGAGGAGGATTGAGATTGACGACAGTTTTATGTCAACTTGGAAATTGAGAAGAGGGTATTTCTGGAAATACACATTGACTGAATTTTCTTTTGAGCGCCAAATCAAATGCATTGGCGCCAATTTCCTACCATTTTTCAGATGATTTGAAAATTGAAAATAGAAATGAAATGACACAACTCACACAAGGAACTAATTGCCGCTTCCCCTTCTCCTTCCCCCTCCCTTCCCAGTCTCTCCCAAGCCCTAGCTCACGGTGAACCAGCAAAACCTTCCGTCCATCGCTCTTCGCAACATTTCATTGTCACAGCGGGACTGTAAATCTGCACAACGCCCGTCCTCTCTGGGGACTTGGCGCCATTTTTGCCGTTCACTGGTGTTTCAGAGTTTCGATTTGGGTTTGGGCACTTTCAGGTCGTAGTCATTAGTCAAAGTAACCGACCCTCCACAGCAAGGTAATCCACTGGTCTTTGAGCTTTCTCTTGAATCGAATTAGTTTCCCAATCTCTTTCTGTATCTATTTAGCTGGTCGAAATGTGTATTCATCTGCAGGATGAAGCGGGTGTGCGACTCCAGTGCTGATAGAATCACCGACCTTCCTGCCGATGTGATACACCGTATTCTCGCGTTCTTACCCATCAAAGATGCAGCCAAAACTAGCATCTTGTCAAGGAAATGGAGACATCAGTGGCTAAGTATTCCTCAACTTGTATTTGATAATGGTTTTGCCCAATTGAAATCTGACTTCGAAGCTAGGAGTAAGCTTATAATGCTGAGCGTCTACAGAACCCTGCTTGTTCATGATGGACCGATCACCAAGTTTGAGCTTTCAGTCCCTGGGTTAGAGTTCTGCGATGAGATTGAACATATCGTCCGTTACCTTTCTAGTAAAGGTGTCCAATACCTTGAACTTTCATGTGCAAGTCCTAACCCTAGCACAGGTGGTTATAAGATACATACTTCTTTGTTTTCTGCTCTTAACCTGAAATCCCTGAGCCTGAATTCTTGTGTATTTACACTGCCAACTTGGTTCGTCGGCTTTAGTAAGCTTACTAATCTTAAATTAGTAAATGCTGCTTTGCCGGATGGTTTCTTCGTGGATTTCCTTCCAAAGTGTCCGATGCTTGAATGTTTGGAGGTTATAGAATGTAGTGGACATTCTGATAAACTCGAGATTGCGGCTCCATTTCTCAAATCCTTCAGCTTAGAGGCTTATTTCATGGAAATCTGCTTCAAGCATGCTCCACTTCTGTCAGTTGTCACACTTCATTTGTCTGAAGCCGACACACCTGATATGGTACCTTTGTTTGCTTCTCTTCCGGCACTCCAGGAGTTCCATGTTAACTATGATTTTCTGAGAGTAAGTCTAGTTCATCACATTCTATATCCCATTGTTGCATATTTTGCTTGACTCACTAATGCTATTATGAGCTACGTAATGCCATGGTATTGTGTTTGGTTTTCTCTCAGTTCCTTGCTCATGGGGATGGTGAAACAACTGATAGTTCCTTGCTCAAGCATATCCCTGCCAGGCTTCCTACCACTCTTCACCAGTTAACAGTCCTACACATGACTGATCTTGTCTTTGATAATTCAGAGATGGAGCGCGTGTTTGTATGTTTGATCATGAGTTCCCCCAACCTGCGTAGCCTCACAGTTCAGGTTGGTAGTGTTGCAAATTGAATTTTTCGGTTTTAGGACTTATGAGGTGCATGAATTTGGGGTATTCAGGCTGACTTGGCGGCTCCTTCACAAATGCTCTCGTAGCTGTACAGATTCAGTATCGAAGAATATTATCAGCCGGCAAATGATGAAGTTAGCAGCATACGGAGGTTGTTGGAAGCAGAGGACTGCCTTGCTTGCCTTCAACATCTTAGGGAGTTCACGATTCTGCAGAGCCTTGGTGCTCAGGTTGAAATGGACCTGGTGAGGTTCGTATTAGCCACTGCCCCACTAGTTCGGTTCATTCACATTATGCCTATACACAATTTCGATCCCAAGAGAGAAAAGGATCTCATGAGGGAGCTGATGCGATATAAGCGTGTTTCTAAAGAAGCAGAGATTATATATAATCGGGTCGACAAGTATTGACAATGATGGTGGAGAGATATGAGCATTTCTGGTTTTAGCATAGCTTGCATCTTCTAGGCTCATTTTCTTCTCTTGCGCAGATGTTTCCTCATTTCATGTGGCCGATAAACAACTGGAACTCAGCAGCCATCTTGGCTTGAGTTTTACTCAGATAATTATTCAGTCTATTGTAATCGTTTGTGCTTTCCGTGTACTGATTTTATGCTTGATTTACAATCATTTACTTATGTCCATTTTGAATAGATGATCTCTTGGCAAAACCATCCAAGGAGAGGGCAAGGGCCAGTTCAGGTTTCCAGGATGCTGAATAACAGAATTTGGTTTTAGAAAAGCATAATCATTAAAGATTACTAAATTCTGCTAATGTTCAATACTCTAAACCACGAATGTTCATCAATGAAACCTCCAATGTCTAGTACTACGCAATACACACTCATCATCGATATTTCCATTGCGGAGATTCCTGTTCATAAGCATGCAATCTAGATAACTCAGCAGAATTTCATATCCATGTATCTAGCTTAAGAAGTTAACCTCATGTTGAGCTAAATAATAATACCGATACATGAGCCTAACTTTAGCCACAAGTTTAGTCAATACCTCTCGCTTAATCTATTTCCTTCCGGCTTCAAAAGTTAAATCATCGGCGACCACGAGCGTAACCAAGCTAGAACAAAGATCTAGAGCATCATATCTGTTGTATGATCTCCGCATTCTTTGAAATACGTTTACATCGTCTTACCCTCTCTAAGAACTTCAGACCTTTTTCGAGACCTTGCTTATATGCAGACGTAATGAGAATCCTGTGGAGTTGTGGGGCGTTGGCTGACACAAACTTCACCACGTCCAGCTCAAATTGAGAGCCATAACTGCCAAGAATCTTCACCTCGGCAAGACACTGAATACAACCCACAACTGGTAGCTTGCCTGCTGATTCCAAGGATTGAGATTCTGGCATATTTCTCCTCGGAAGAGCTGGTAGCTTGCCTGCGGATTCCATCTACAGAAAAATGAATTAATTAAGGAGCAAGGAAGATGAGCCCATGGCTAACATCTAAACTGGGTGTGGGTGGAAAGGACTTCTGAGATTCTAGGAATCAACCAACCTGCATTGTGAGTGTTTTCAAATTGGGAGAACTCCTGATGAGACAAAAGAGAACACTATCCCCAAACGATCCATGGTAGTAGTCGATAAATGCACACGAACGCACTGCGAGATCTTCCAAACAATGAAGAAGAGTGGGAAGTCTTCTGGGAACAGGCCCTCCAATACAAAGTTCCTAAAGGAATAATACACAGTAATGAGTAGTGAAATTTTGTGTTTGCAAGAATCGGGAAAATGTAGAGAAACAGACTTACTTCCAGAAATTCAAAGCTAACATACAACTGCTGCAGTGCTGGGAGATTAGCAAATACCACTTCCATGTCATTCTCATCAGCTTCATCATCAACAAGAATTGAAACCACTGAAAGAAGTGGTGTACGCTTGAAGTGAAGACTTCCAATATATCCAAAGAAGAGAAATGTTTTGAGACATGGAGCAACAAGTTCGATCTCCTCAGTGTTCAGACAATTCAAAATCTTTAATTCTTCCAGCAGAGGGCATTTTGGAAGGAAGCTCTCAAAGAACTCAGGGAGCACAGCTGCCATCTTCAGTTCAAGTACGGTTAGCTTACTAAATCCCTCGAACCATGATGGTGGTTTCAAATTACAGCCATCAAGCTTCAGAGAGGTAAGCTGAACGGCAGAGAACAAGGAAGAACGGATCTCGAGCTCAAATAGTTCCACATCGTCAAAATGAAGTTCAAGTTTCAAGACACCTTTGCTGGACAGGTAACGAAGTATATGATCAATCTTAGCATAGGTGGTTAACCTTGGAATTGCAAGCACAAACTCGGTTATTGGCCCATCATGAACCTGAAGAGCTTGGTAGATGCTCGTCATAAGCTGCCTCAAATTGGACCGAGACCAAGATTTACGTGACCGGAGAGAAGCAAAATCACCATCAAACACAAGCCGAGGAATACTCCTCCAATGGTGCCTCCAGTCCCTTGACAAAACACTTGTTCTGGCTGCGTCTTTGATGGGTAAGAAGTTCAGAATAAGCTCTATCACTTCTACAGGAAGGTTGCTAATGCTATAAGCACCTGATTTGCAGGGCTGCTTCATTGTGTAGCAGAGAGATACTACGCACAATCAACACATGAAACCCAACCTCAAAGAATCAAATATTTACCAATGGCGGCCAGCTGCACTAGCAAATGTAAACCCTAAATACTCAATAGTGACACTAAAAGCAAAATGGGAATTCCGCAATTCATTGCACAAACGATACCAAGCTCCATGAGAAGTGAAGAAATGAAGAACCCATCATTCAATCCATCAAGGTACGTAGTACTATAGGCGAGAAAGAGAGAAAAAGCTGCGGGCTTTGCAATGAGATGTCAAGATGAATGTGCGATTCCGCGAGAAAGCATAGGCAGAAGCTGAAGCGCGAAGGCAAGGAAAACAATGGAAGCAGCCAAAGGAAATCAGAACGTGGGAACGAGTGAAGAAGGGGAACAGGGATTGGCACTTGGCAGTGCGCCGGCGGAGAGATTATCTTCGAACCCAGAAACAAAAAAGGGGATCAGATATTCAGATTTGTAGTTTTACGTTGAGGGTATTTCTGGAAATATACATGACTTTCTTTCCAAATCAAATGCCTTAGCGCCAAGGTTGTCAAACCGGTTTATACCGTTGTGACGATTTGGCAAGTGGAATGGTACAATCGGTGGTATAACCAGTTTGTATCGGTTCATGCCGGTTTAAAAAAATGTGAAAACAATTAATATCTAATGTATTTAAACATATTTGTGGACAATGGAGTTACAATCCAACAAATATCATCAACTTTTAACTATTACATTCATAAAATGAATAATAAATTAATTTTTGTATTCATTAAATTCATTAAAATGATGTCATTTTATTTAGAATACATAAATCGATCATACCGGTCATACCGGTGATGTCATGTCGGTTTCATAGCCGGCACAGGTTGAACCAGGTTCAACCGGGTGGCATGCCACCCGCATGACAACCATGCTTAGCGCCAATTTCCGAACCATTTTCAGATTGCTTGAAATTGAGATGAAATTACCAAAAGGGCCAACGCAAGAGTTGTCTTCGCCTTCCTCTGTCTCACCAAGCCCTAGCTCTCTTCGGGCTTCGCACCATTTCACTATCTCTGAGGACTGTAATTCTGCAAATCGCCCGCCCCCGTCTCTCTCGTCAAGTTCGTGCCTTTTTTGCCACTCTCTGCTGTTTCAGAGTTTCGATTTCGGTCTGGGTCATTTCAGGTCATAGTCGAAGTAGCTAGCATTCAACCAAGGTAATCAATCCACCGGTTTCTCCCAAGTTATTGGTCTTCAAGCTTTCTCTTGAATCGAATTGGTTCTATTCTGCGATTTCTATGCCTTGCGATTATACGGTTGTTTATCACAATCACTATCTGTATTTATTTAGCTGGTTGAACTGCCTACTTATCTCCAGGATGGAGCCTGTTGGCAAGTCCAGTGGCATTAGAATCGGCGACCTTCCTGCCGATGTGATAAAGCACATTCTCGTGTTCTTACCCATCAAAGATGCAGCCAGAACTAGTGTCTTGTCAAGGAAATGGAGGTATCTTTGGAGAAGTATTCATCAACTCGTCTTTGATGATGATTTCGCCCTAATTCCTCAACATCTGACTGATTCTGAACTAACAGTGACCAGTAAGCAAATCATGTTGGACATTTACAAATGCCTGCTTTTTCATGATGGGCCAATAACCAAGTTTGTGCTTTCCATCCCTGCATTATGCTCTTGCGATGCTGAGGTGGACCACGTCGTTCTTTACCTCTCTAGTAAAGGTGTCGAGGACCTTACTCTTGTATTTGAAGCTTTTGACAGCGACATAGACGATTATCGGATGCATCTTTCCCTCTTTCCTGCTCCTCGCCTGAAGTCCCTGACACTCGAGTCTTGTGAACTTACACCACCATCTTGGTTTGTTGGCTTTAGTAAGCTTACCCATCTTCGATTGGATCTTGTTATATTGCCCGATGATTTCTTCCAGAATTTCCTTTCTAAGTGCCCGATGCTTGAATTTTTTAGGGTTGTATGCTGTGCCTGTCCTGCTAACATTGAGATTGTGGCTCCTTTTCTCAAATCCTTCGAGTTTGTGGGGTCCTCCAAGGATATCTGCTTCAAGTGTACTCCACTTCTGTCATTTGTCTCACTAGATGTGCTTAATGATACCCACACTCTAGAGATGGTATCTTTTTTCGCTTCTCTCCCGGTTCTCCGCCAGTTCTGGGTTAGGTATAACTTCCTGAAAGTAAGTTACTTTCTCACAACCAATTTCCATTCATAAAAATGTTTGCTGGGTTGTTGTACTCATTCATGATTTATATATTTTTTTTTTATGAAGACCTCATTCATGATTTATATTGTGCTTGGTTTTCTCTTAGCAACCTGCTGCCGGTGATAGAAGCGTCTACCCCACGCTTCCTGTTCTTCTTCACCTGTTAGAAATCCTCAATGTGAGAGGTATTGACTTTGATGGTTTGGGATCAGAGCGTTTTGTTTGCTTGATCATGAGTTCCCCCAACTTGCGTAGGCTCACAGTTCAGGTTGGTTTTGTTTGCCAATTGAATTTTCCGTTTGCAGAATTTTGGGGCTTATAATCCTTTCTCGACGAATTATGAGGCTAAATATTTTAACTTCTAAACTGACTTGGGCTCCTTGTCAAATGCTCATGTAGGTGAACGCTAACCAACTGTATGATCAGCTTGCAAATAATGAAACTACCGGCATACGTAGGCTATTGGAAGTAGAGGACTGCCCGGGATCTTCTCATTGTCTTCGGCATCTAAGAGAGTTCAGAATTGAGCATAGCCGTGGTACACGGGTTGAGCTGCACATTGTGAGGTTCGTACTAGCCACTGCCCCACTACTTCAGATGGTTCATGTTACACCTGAATGTAAAGTGCTCACCATGAAAATTATAAAGTTCATGAAGGAGGTGATGCATTATACGCGTCTTTCTCAAGAAGTAAAGTTTATCTATGACTGGGAGGAGGAGGAGTGACACCTTTGTGAAGATAGCCAACTTTGACGGCTGTGTTTGTGACCACCATTAGATTTGATATTTGACCTTTGATAGATCATTTGGGCTTATGTTCTACTCTTTTTAGACCGAAATACAGAACTCATGGGAACAAAAGCCATATCTCTTCTTTCATAACAGTAGCATGGCTAATCCTAGGTAGCAGGCTCAAAGATCCCCTGGTTCCAGAAGCCATGAGTTCGAAAGATATTTTGAATGTGTAATCAGATTTTGGACATGGATTACGTAGCATCTTAGATAAATAAATAAAAAAGATTGTAGAATTTGAAGAATGATTGTTCCATCTGATACATGTGAGGATATACAATTTTTGGATTGTTATTGATGTACTAAATTACTCCTGTGATCCTTTCCACATGAGCACTTGATTTTATTGTAACAGAGTTCATAACTAAATTAGATAAATCTTACCATTTTGATAATCGGATCAGCAACCTTTTCCATTTGTGAAGAAACACCTGCTGGGTGCAAAACTGATTCTAGTTCCTTCTGTCCTAGCTCATGGGTGAGTTCTATCAGTTGTATGACTTCTGCATCCTTTGAAATACATTTACGCTTCATGTCACCCTCTGTAAAACTTCAAGCCTGCTTCACAAACCAGCTTATCTGAAGGCTGAGAAACTTGCAGAGTTTCGTGATATTAGCAAATGTAAACTTCACCAAGTCCAGCAGGAATGATGACAATACAGATTATCATTGAATCTGTTGTATGACTTCTACATCCTTTGAAATACGTTTACATCGTGTCAAAAAGGCCAAAAATCACAAATACCCGCTTCCAATGACTAGTCTTAAAATGCTTATTTACATTATGGATGGGAAAATGAGTGTTTTGGTAATACAAAAGCTATATGATGAATTTTAATTCATCATTCAAATTCCACTTCAAGAGGTGGAACTGGCAAACCCGTGAGGCCAATCGATTTGGTCCCTCAAAGTCCATGTGGTCGACAAATTTGATTCCCCTAATTCCATGAAACAAATAATGGATTTTGCTCAAATTGCACATAATGGATGTCCAAATCCATCACAAAATTCATGAAGCAAACAACGGAATGAGTTAAGGTGGCAACTAAAAAAATGGTTATCACCGTGGCAACCTACATCTGTACCATTCATTTCCATTATTTTTAATCTAACCGTTATTATTAATTAGGAGTAGTTTTGGAAATAATAATATATCACACCTGATTATCCTATATATTGTAGGCAAACCCTACTGCTACTCCCTTCCCACCATCAGCCGTCCACCCCTCCCTTCTCTCTCTCTCTCTCTCCCTTCCCCTCTCCGTCGGCCGCTCACCCTCCCTTCTATACGACAATGTAGCGACCATATTGTCGAGGATAGCCTGCATCGTCGTGGACGTCGTCTCCTCATCGACTCTATCGTGCCCGTCCCGACAACCCCACTTGTACGGATCCTCCTCTTCGGAGGAGGCGATCGTCGTCATCGTCAACAGAAGAAGAAAGGTGGACAGTAGTAGTACTGGTGCCGCCATGGCTAATGTATTAGTGAATTCGTGATTGCTCTTTTATGTTATATGAAGGGTTTGTGTAGGTCTCTATTTAAATGCAGTGAAAGAGAGTTTGGAAATGATCAATTGACAGGCCCTTCTTCTTGTTCCTTCATCTTAGATGATATCGATACAACACTATGCCATTTTGTTTGATTTGCATAGACAGAGGAGGACCAGGGTGCAAGTTTTCTCCAATTCATCGTCGATTGGTTCGTTTTTGATATGGTATTGGGTTTGTTTTTATTATGGTATTCATTTGTTTCTTGTAGTGGTTTTTATGTTGGTGTGGAATGGTATTTATTTGGTCTTCACAGTAGTGGTGATTTGATTTATGGAATGGTATTGTTTTTGTTTTTATTGTAGTAGTTGTGCTTGTTGATTTTGGTATTTGGTTGATTCTTATAATGGTATAGATTGTTTATATTAGTAGTTTTTGTCGTGTAATGGTACTATTTTTTCCGTAGTTGTATTGGTTCGTCTCGATTGGTTGTATTGGTATAGTTTTTTTAAGTTTTGGCATTGATTTTTTGTTTTATTTCTATAATGATATTGGTATTTCTAGAAGTGGTCAAGCAACTTATTTTCAATATTGAATATCAATCCATCGAAACAGTTATACACTAATAACACAATGTAAACTCTACCAATAAAATTTAGCATAACTATCAAAACAATAACCACCGGAATACCATTCCTACCCAATGTAAACACTACCAATAAAATTTAGCATCACTACCAAAACAATAAGCACCAGAATACCATTCCTACCCTTAGTAGCCACGGTGATTACTACAAAAGTAGTACTCACCGTAACCGCTCACAGCAAACAACCCCTTAAAATCAAAAAATCATTTTTGGGTTTAGATTTGGCCCAATAGATATAATTTTTTTTTTTTTGAAAAGTTGGTTTGCTATTTACATCAGCGTAGACGCACCACTGGGAGCGACGATCGTTTTAATCCTCTTCTATATAAGGTTAGTTTCGCTATGGAGCTTTTGTAGACTCAAATTTTGATTAGAGTTTTTAGAAAAGTATTTTTTTAAAGAAATTGTTGAGTGTTTGGTTGGAAAACAAATAGAAATATTTTTTAATACGAGATAATGTAAATTTATTAGAAATGATTTCTAATATAAAATATGAATAAAAATTCATAAAATTAAAAAGTAGTAAAAATGGATCTTGTTAGTTTTTTTTTACATTAAGCATTATTAGTTTCATATTTATTTTATTTTTAAGATAAGATAAATGAAAGAAAATTATGTTTTTATAAGAAAATAAATATGGTAAGGATAATCTTATATTTTCAAAATAGTTTTTCTCAAAAGCTCCAAATTGGAGCTTCTGTTTTTATGTTACTAAAAGTACTTTTCAACTTTTTCAATCATCGAGCTTATAAATGTGATTGACCCAACTTCAACTTTTAAAGTATAAAAACACTTCTAAAGGTCACAATGTCACACCTAGCATAGACATAGTGTCTATTCCCTACTTGGACGAATTTAATTTTCTTGTCTTTCCCCTCTCTCTAAAAAGTTTGCTCCGCCTTCTCACTAAGATTTGGTTTTTTCAGGCTTTGATGGGGGCCGCTGTTGTCTGTCGGCGCTCCTCTGGCGACCAGCGGTGGCACCCCGCCCCCTTGACATCCTTTTCCTCTTCCTCTTCCTTCTACTTTCACTGTGTTCTTTCCCCTGCTTCCTCTGTGTTTTTTCCGTTTCTTCTCCAGCCATGGTGTGGCACATTCTTTCTCCCCTATGTGTGTTTCCTTCTCTATTCTCGTGTGTGGGTCCTCCTTTTGCCCTCTAATATGGTTCGTAGATATGGAGATGACCGATCTGAGTGGCAAGGAGGCTTGTCATTTCCAAACGTTCGACTTGTCTTCCCCTCCCCCTCATTTTCGTCTACCACCTTTGTTGTTTCACCCAGCAGATTTGGGTGAATCGAAGATGCTTGGGCCCTTGGCTTCGACGCGGGTTGGTGAACTAAAAGAAAGAAGATCATCCCTCTGGTTCCGTCTTCTGTCCGCCCTTTCGTGTTGATGCATGTACCATGGTGGGGGTGTAGTGATGTTGATGGTGATTGGTGCGGGGAGTTGTAGTCATGCGACGGAGGATGTCTCCAGATGGGAAGAATGGCGACTAGGGTTTGGACTGAGTTTTGGCCCTTGGGTTAGGGACCTATTGGGTTTCGCTCCTCTGTTGGGGCCTTGAGTTTGATTTGTCCAAACCTTTCTTGTTGGTCTATTTATATCTTTTACTCTTTTCCATCTCAATAAAATAATGTCTATTTTTTTATCCAAATTTTTTTTCAGATTCTTTATATTATCTAAACCTATCAAAATACTAAGAATTATCCAAATGTTAACTTTTAGTTAGCAATTTTGTTAGTAATATTGACTTGAAAACATGATACTGACTTGGAAGAGACATATGAAGGTCAACATTGCAAAATTTTAGTATTTTAACTAAGAAAAGAGTAACAAAATTATTAAGGATAACGTAAAAATGGCTAATATTTTGATGCATTACAAAAGATTTGGTTAATTAATAGCATTTTAATAGGTTTGAATAATATAAAAGAATCCGAAAAAAATTTGGATAAAAAATAGACATTACCCTTAAGTTTATAACACCCTAGTTTTTTTAAATTTGTCGCCCAAACTTGGTAATTTGACGTTTTTGCCCCAAAAAATTCCTAAACCCTAACAAATTTTTGCCCTAGGATTAACGCCCGTCGCCATGGGAGTCTTCGTCGTCGCCAAGTGTTGCCGTCACCGCCGCCACGACAAGGCCCTTCTGAGTGTTGCTGTCACCGGCGGCAACTAGGATCCCTCCACCTCGTCGACGCCGCCATCGCCCCAATCCCGATTTTTCTCTAAAAACGGGTACCGATTTTGGTGTGCAGTGATACCGGGGCCGGAACCACCATTTTCCTTTCCAACCTCGACATGATGGCGATTTTCCTCCCAACCCGACCTGCAAAACTGTACCCGACCGTGATTTTCTTTCCCCTCTGTCGACGAGCTGCTGCTGGTACCAGTGCGACGGGCGATGGCGACAGACGCCCCGGGAGCAGCAGTAGAAGCGGAGACCTCTCTCCTTCCTTAACTTCCAATGGGCGGAGTAGCAGCAGTCAGCTGCTTCGCCCTTCCCTCTCCTTCCTCAACGGCGACAGGCGCCTCCATTCTCAAGGCGACGGGGCGAAGCAGCAACAAAGATAATTTCGCTGGCGACAGGATAGATGGAGAAGGGAACGCCCCTGAGAGGGATTGTCGTCGACGATTGACGAGATGGGCCATTCTGGGTTAGGGATTTATCGCCGGCGACCGACGAGATTGGCAATTTTGGGTGCGGGATTTAGGGCAATGGGGCAAAGGGGTTTGGGATGGGATGACCGTTTTAGGGATTGGGGGTAACCGTTTTAACCGGTACTATTTGGATAATTTGGTTTGGTTAATTTGGATAATTGGTTTGGTTTGGTTAAAGTTTTTAGCTTGTTTGGTTTAGGTGGTTTGGTTTCAGACACTCCTAACAAACCAAATTAACCAGTTAAGTAATTAGTCATATATCTAACATATATTATATACACATACTTAATACTTTGCATAACCACTCAAGAGTTAACGTTCATCCCTTTTAGACTCATAAAATATAAAGCTCAATATTGCTCATTAAGTGAATATTTGTATATGTAAAGTGTAGACCACAACATATAGACACCTAATTTAGATAAATTTCATACATTATGATGGATGAAAACTTGAAAGGAAGGTCATTTCCAGCCTATGATAATTGCTAAGAGATTAGGTCAATTTACACAAACACAACAATTCATTAACCCATACCAATGTCATAAATTTTTGTTAGGTGAATACTTCTATACTAATTGTAAGATAATTGTCTTAGTTGCATGTATTTTTGTTAAGGGTCAACTATAACTACGTGTTGATTGTTATGTTTTATTCATTATATAAATTACGAATTGTTGCATTAACCGGAAAATTTTCATCGTCAATGATAATGCGATTTTATATTGGTTAATCTGGTTAACCAATTAACCAAACCGATTAAACTTTAGTTTGGTTAATTTGATTGTTGTATTAGTTTGGACGAACCAATTAACCAAACCGATTAAACTTTAGTTTGGTTAATTTGGTTGTTGTATTAGTTTGGACGGTTTAGTTATGATATTGTATTTCATGATTAACGAATTTTAGCCTTATTTGATTTGGTTATAACCATGGTAACCATTTGAACACCTCTAAAATAACTCATCCAAATAATACATCAATTATTTTTTTGAAAAGGAGGACCATATATATTTTTAACTTGAGGGTATTTCTGGAAATATACGTAGCCTCTTTCTTTTTAGCGCCAAATCAAATGTAGCGCCAGTCGCTCACCACTCCCAAACCCTAGCTCACTGAACCAGTAAAACTACCCACGATATCTCTCTCCCTCTCGCTCTTCGTACCATTTCAGTATCTGCGGGGACTGAGAATCTGTACGTCGCCCTCCCTCTCTCTCTCCCACGCTGCCTCTCCTTCAATTTTGCGCCATTTTTGCTACTCTGGTGTTTCAGAGTTTCGATTTCGGCATAGGTCCTTTCAGGTATTAGTCAAAGTAGCTCACACCCAACAACGTAATCAAACGCTTTCTGCCAAGCTATAGCTCTATGAGATTTCCCTTCAACCGAATTGATTTCCTATGTTGTTCTGGGATTTCTATATTCGTTCTTGGTTATCCGAATCGGTAGTTATTAGCTGATAACAATCTATCTGTTTATGCAGGATGAAGAGGGTGGGTCAGTACACTGCTGATAGAATCACCAACCTTCCTGCCGATGTGATACAGCGCATTCTTGTGTCCTTGCCCATCAAAGATGCCGCCAAAACTAGTATCTTGTCAAGCAAATGGAGGCATCAGTGGAGAAGTATTCCTCAACTTGTCTTTGATAAGCGTTTTGCTCAAATAGATACCGAGGCTGAATTGGAATCAAAGGTGGCGAGGAGTAAGCTTACAATGTTGAACATCTACAAGGCCCTCTTTCTTCATGATGGGCCAATAACCAAGTTTGAATTTTATGTCCCTGGATTGGTGTCCTGCGATGATGAGATGGACCTCATCGTTCTTTGCCTTTCTAATAAAGGCGTCCAAGACTTTACGGTCCAGTTCGACAGTCTTGACCGTAAGTTTGATTATCCGATGCATTCTTCGCTATTTTCTGCGCCTCACCTGAAATCCCTGGAACTTCAGGGTTGTGAATTTACACAACCATCTTGGTTTGAAGGCTTTAGTAAGCTTACCCATCTTGGAATAAGAGAATGTACTTTGCCCTTTGATTTCTACGAGAATTTCCTTGCCAAGTGCCCAATGCTTGAATATTTGAGGGTTGTCGATTATGATGGTCCTCCTGATAAGCTTCAAATCATGTCTCCATCTCTCAAATCCTTCCACTTTGCGGGTCCCCTCAAGGGCATAAGCTTCAAGGGTACTCCCTGTTTGTCATTTGTCGCACTCTTTATGTATGAGACCAGGATGCATGACATGGTAGCTATTTTCGTTTCTATTCCGACAATCCAAGTGCTATGGACTAATGGTGGATTCCTGAAAGTAAGTCACTTTTTTCACTATCAATTTCGATTCTTGTGAAAACTCCTTCTGGGTTGCTTTACGCATTCATGCTGTGCATTGTGCCTGGTTTTCTCAGCACCTTACTGCAGGTAATAGAAGTTTCCCCACCAGGCTTCCTTCTCCTCTTCACCAGTTAGAAGACCTCAATATAATTGAGCTTGACTTTGATAGCCTGGAGCAGGAGCAAGTTTTTGTTTGTTTGATAATGAGTTCTCCAAACCTGCGTCGGCTCAAAATTGAGGTTGGTTGTGTTTGCCAACTGTGCTTTCTGTTTGCAGGATCTGTGAGGTGTATAATTTTTTGTAATCTAACTCTGGTTCCTTCACAATTGTTCTTGTAGCTGGATCCTAACATGCTAGACCTAGAAGATAAGCCCACAAAGACTGAAGTTAGCAGCATAGGGAGGTTGTTGGAAGCAGAGGACTGCACTAGACCTTCTAATTGCCTTCAACATCTTAGAGAGTTCACAATTGAGGATAGCTGTGGTACACAGGTTGAGCTGGACCTTGTGAGGTTCGTCTTAGGCACTGCCCCTCTATTTACATCACAGCTGCATATAATTTGAGCTCTAAAAAGGTTATGAAATTTTCGATGGAGGCATTGAGGTATAAGCGTGTTTCTAAAGAAGCAGAGTTTATATATCCCTGGGTTGATAAGGATATATGACTGGGAGTCTGGGATGATGATGATCGACACTATGTGTGGCTTTTCCCTGCTGAAATCAGAACCCCTGACCTTCTCGTTCACAATTGCAGTGTTGGTTGAGGTATGTGAGGATGCATCTAGCTGTAAAGTGTGAAACCTACTTTCTTGATCAACAAGTAATGTTAGTTCCAATAGAAAACATAAAGAGTTGCTACTGTATCCATTTTTCTCATGTCTTTGTGAGTGGGTTTTCCATGAACCACTGGTCGACTGGCCAACTAACTGGCTATACTAGCTAAAGAGCATAGAGTATTCTGCTGTTGGGGGGAAAGATAGAAGAGTTTTAGGAATGTGGTGTCCCTTCAATGTCGTTCATTTTGACCCAAACACTATTTGATTCATAATTACTGGCGACATTTCTCTGTATTTCACTTGTAGTAAGACAAACCAGAGTACAAAGTCTGAATGAATGTTAGAAGAAGTAGAAGAAACGCAGCTAAAAGAGAGAGAGAAGCGCCCAAGGGCTGGTGAAATAGTCGTGCCTCAGCTTTGCCACCCATCTGTACCACTTCTTGTCACAGTGTTTGTTCACTTTCTCAAAACACATCGGAATAAGTGAAGTAGCCATGATGAACGACAACTTGGTTCCCAAGTCTTTTGACGACCTAAATTGTTGGGATGAACAAGGTCCCATCTTTGAACTGGACATCCAACAAGGTTTGCCGTCCTCCACCCGCCACAGCGCTTCTTAACTCGACTCCGGCTTGTCTCAGCTTTGTGGCACAAACTATGCGGTTTGCATCCTGGTCTGAGCCTTTTGTCCTGCTGTGGTATCTTTCTCCAGTTGGGAGGAGCCCAATATTCATGTACCAAGCTTAATATGTGCATCTTTCCATAACAACCCTCACTGTCAATTTCAATGAAGCCAAGCCCCAGCGGCTTCTTGCTAACAAACTCGCCCACCATGGATACGAAATCCCTCGATTCATTCGGCTGCTTTGTTAGCTGAAACAAGTTCAAGCGGACGAACAACGGGACCTGATTCTCCAGCAGCAGAACGTCACGAACTATGGCGACAAAGTTGGATGGAACAGCAAAGATAGGGTCGTGATCGTCCGCCAACCCTTCCATTGCGCAACACTTTCGAATCAGCTCAACAAGGAAACAGCCATCGAGAAGCATCATTTCAACGAAGTCGTCGGAGTCGAGAGGTATGGGATCCGCATAGCATTCGCGAGCTCTTTCTTCCAGTGCCTTCATGGCTGAGACGTATCTGTTCAGTTCATCGTCATGATGATCAACTGCATCCTTTGTCCTGTGAAGCAGTAGTCGCAGGTAGTGTATTTTGTGTCTCTCCATGTGATGCAAGTCAGCTTTACCATGATGGTAAGGGCCAATTGCAATCATCTGTGGTTCATACCCCTGCTCGTTTACTCTGCGTAGTTGCCTCGGCACCCTGAAAATGCTGAACTCGGAGGAGATGGAGGGCGATTTGCGAAGCTTTTCGGTGATTCTCATCGATACGACAGAACCACAAGCTTCACTTTCCATTTTGATGAACAAATACCAAAACTCCTTGCCAATAGTCGACGATTGTGTGGAATCGAAAGGAGAAGGAGATGGCAATAAACCAATCGGTACAAGGCGAAGGATTCCAGGTGAACTTACTTGATTTTGATCGAAGTGTTTGCTAAGTGAGAGAGAAGCAGAGGATGAGGATAATGAATGATATGATGATATTATTATGTGGGGAGAAAAAAAGGAAGCCAGGAGGTGAGGATTTTTCTCAAATAATACAAGATTTCCTATAAAAAAATACCCACAATGTTACACATACACTAAAATTTCATAAAATGTTGAAGTTTGGTGCGGTTTTCAACCGATTTAGGTAGTATTTCGTTGAAGTAGAAAGTAAACTTGTTTGGATCGCCGCCAATAAAAGGAACGAGATTCGAACTATTTTGAATTGGGAGACACCGAAGCAATCCACCCAGATCGTCGACGAATCCAATGAATTTGTCCCAAAGATCGCTAGAAACTACTGTTGATTATCTTTACAGTACGGGAATTGAAATGAAGTCGGACACGGATTTACGTGGTATCTCTGGATATCCAGGACTAATCCACGAAAGAGTTTGAACACTCTTCGGCTACTGTTCTTACTGATGATGATCGTTAATAGTACAGGAGAGACAAGCTTAACTTAAATACCCTCTAATGGCCGAACCCTAGCACCACAAGTTCAGCTTCTCTACGTGCGTGGGCTAGATGTGGTTGCATGGGCCTAACGTAAACTACAAACTCTATTGGGCCATACTTACGTACTAATACAACACATGACAGTCTACACATATATTCAATAGCCTCCCCAAATTAATGCCGTTTCACGAGCATCAATTTGTTAGACAGGAAACTGTGTCTGCTTGTTGAGAATGACTTGGTGAGCAAATCAACAACCTGGTCCTCAGTACGTATGTAGTGTAGAGCAATCGATCCATCTCTTACCTCATCTCGAATGTAATGCACATGAATCTCAATGTGCTTTGTACGATCATGCAACACTGGGTTCTCCGCTATTCGAATTGCACTGGTATTATCAACAAACAAATCCATGGGGCTCGCACTATCCACACTCATATCACTAAGCAGTCGTCGCAGCCATGTCAGCTCAGAAGTCACATCGGACATCGCCATGTATTCAGCTTCGGTGGATGATTTTGAGACTTTATCCTGCTTCTTGCACCGCCATGAAACAAAGGAGTTTCCAACTGGACACACCAACCTGTAGTAGACCGTCTGGTGTCTATGCACCCTGCATAATCCGAGTCTGAATAGGCTCTCAGAGTGGCCGAACCTATAGAAGGAAAAAATAAACTCACGTCCTGATTTCCCTGCAAGTATCGGAGAACAAAGTGACTCAATTTTTTTTGTTCGAAAATATATCAAAGTGGATATCATTTTGAAGAGCACAATTAATCTGATCTAACTGTGCAAAAAAAATTAAATTTCGACTTAAAACGAGTGAGAAATCGTCCGTCAAAGATTAAGGAGGGGGAAATTAAAGGCTTTCCGGGAGAGAGGGATGCTGATGTCATGCTGATGTGGACAGGTTACTCATGGTTACTCACCATAAGATTACTGACCTGGTCTGTTCCACTTTATTCTTGTTGCTGATTCCACTTTCCTATTCTTCTTCCGACATATTGCAATCAGTTTCTATGGCAAGGAGATTTGATAGCAGTTCGATTTTGAGATCGCCGTTGTAACTCATTTGTTCACGATATGTTTTAGATTTGAATTTCCTACACATCAATACTTCCGATAAAGTTAAACTACCCACAAGGTTTTTTGTGAGTAGATATTTACATGGCTCAAATGTGTAAAGAAAAAAGAGAAGTGATGGCACATTAAATTCCCAACCACCTTTAACTCTCTAACCCTCTTTTTCTCTCTCATTTCTTTCTTTGTTTTTCCGCCTGTAATGGATATTGGTCAGTGATAGATTTTTTTTAATGTACTGATATTAGTATGTGAATTGTGATGATAGAATATAATGATGTTCATGCGATGGATATTAGTTTGTGAAGTAATGGCTATTGTGTCTTCCATCAAAACTAAAACACTATCAAATCCTAACACGTAATGCTTGTAACCTTAGTTAGGGCTGCCCACCGAGGGCCCATGGGCCTTCGGGCCATGAAACAACAATATTTGTTTGCAATGAATGGATATTAGTTTAGGTACGTGGTTCGGATATGTGTAGTTGGTATTAGTTTGCGATGGACAGATATTAATCCGTGTGGTGGGTATCAGTTTACGATGGTCAGATATTAATCTGTTCATCGTGGGTATTTGTCTGCGATTTTCAGATATTAGTCTGTGTGAGGTGGGTATTAGTCTCTATGGTGAGGATATTAATTATGAGCTGACTAGATATTGGTCTTAGTTTGTTATGGTGAACGGATATTATTCTGGGTGGTTTGGATATTTGTTTTGTGTGGATGTGTTATTCTGACGAAGTGATGGAAAGAGAGGAGGAGACTCGCAGGTGTTTTTTTTTTTAATTTGTGGGCCCCTTTTCTCTGTAGCTGGATAGTGAGAATGAGTCAGCTTTTTTAATTTGTGTGCCTCCTTTTCTCTGTCCCTGTGAGTATATACTCACAACTTACCTTGTGAGTATGCTAATAATGGAAATATATAAACATATTGATAATGGCCCTCATACTATTACTGACGAGTGTATATATATATTATGAATGCATAGCTGTGTATTATACTACTCTCATTGTCAATTGTATTGGCTAAGGCATTTTGATATTATCAGTTTTACTAATGTCATTATCAATTTATTGATACAAATGAACACAAATTTGACCATTTCCCTTTAAAAGTTTAAAGAACCAATGCACCTAAATTCATATGTAACTTTATCAGTAAGTCAATTTCGACTACCGACAAAAAGATTAATAACGTCGTGTTAAATATTAAAATTTATCAAAAAATAGGTTAATACGGAGCACGTTACGAGTTAATAATGTATATTTTTGAAACGTTAATACCCGCTGAAGAAATATTAATAACGTCGGGCTAAAACGCTTCAACGTTAATTCAACAGATTGGGAAAAGATATTGACCATCGTCAGTGAACGGGATCCTTGGAAGGCGACGAAGATTACCTTAAACGCCGCCGAGGAGAGAGAAGGGATCGACGACAAACTGACCGGGATAGACGACGGACTGAAGCAAAGCCGGGAATGGATTTTGGGGAAAGAGCGAGGACCAGACAGGAAACTGGGGCGAACAGGAAGTTGGGGTGCCGACGGCGCCGATGGCCGGAGACTGCTAATGAAGGGACGTCCGGATAAATAATAAAGACAAAGATTTCCGACGACGGAGACGGAGACGACTGGAGACTGCTCTCGAAGAGACGGGTTAACACAAAACCTGTTACGCTGGGAGGGAGAAAAACCAACGAGACGTGGGTTTGAAAATTAGTATGATTTATTATTTAATTTTTATATTATTTATAATTCCCAACATACCCTTGACAACTAATAACTCCTCACTAACTAATAACTCCTTACTAACTACCTAAAACCAAATCAACCAATCACAACGCTTTAAGATCCTCCTTAAAAAAGGAGGCTTAAGGACCAGAACTCAGACCTTCAAGGTATCACCGACCTATTTATTCTGGAATTATTAGTGCTAAGGAATGGGAGCAGATCCGGTGAGTACCTTGTGGTGAGTAACCCCATGCATAACCCAATAAGAATCTGTCACATCAGCGCCTCTTTCTCTCTCCTGGAAAAATCATTAATTTTTTCCCCTTAATCTTTAACGGACGATTTCTCACTCGTTTTAACTCGGAATTTAATTTTTTTTCACAGTTAGATCAGATTAATTGTGCTCTTCAAAATTATATCCATTTTGATATTTTTTGGAACAAAAAAAATTTGCCAGTTATTACTAGTCTTATACCATATGGTATTGACTGGTATTAAATAACAGCATACCATATGGTATGAAAAATACCAGTCAATATCATATGTTGTTATTTAATACCAGTAAATACCATATGGTATTAAATAACAGCATACCATATGGTATGAAAAATACCACCTCATACCAGGGTGGTATGAAGTTGGTAATGAGAGGTTTGAAATTTTTTCCCCCAGAAAATTTTGAAATCCAATAGATCATGATTAAATCGTTCCTTTTCTGCAAAAATTTCCGAAAATGACTAAACAACGAAGGAGATACCATATTGTATGGAGTTGGTAACGAGAGGGATGAAAAAAAATTTCTCAAAAAATATTGAAAATGGATATCATTTGTAGAGCACAGCGAACTCGTTACATCTGTGTAAAAAAAATTGAAATCCGAGTTAGAATGAAGAAGATATGATCCAATTAAGAAAATTAGGGAAATTAAATTCCTTTAATTCTCCACCCTTAGATCTGCAGTCACTTAAAAAGAAGGGTCCAGATTTGGTTACTCATTGTTACTCACCTTTAGGTTACTCATCCTATATTGAGTCCTAAGAAATTTTATGCAGTGGTGTTTGAACCATGGTTTTTCTGTTTTGAATTTTTGTGGAGATTGTCAATTGGTTATTGGTCAACTGTCAACCGTCGTGCTTGGTTCATTACTTTCATAATATATACGACGGTATGACTATTCTCCTTAATTATTAGATGATTTTGGTTTTAAACACACCCCACACACACACAAAACGTTACAAATTTTGCATTTAACATTTAATTATAAACCCCCCAAAACTTGGGCGTTCTTAGAAATCATCCGGTACAATCATGGGTCATTTGTTATTTAATTAATCAGACATTTGATTTGTTCCATTCATAGCAGACGTCATAAGCTTTAGTCACATCATTAAACCTACATGGACTAAGTGATTTCACAATCCACTGACAGTCCTTGCAAACTGAGTAATCCCTATTTTGCTTGTAAATATCGAACCAGTGGATCCCGTCGCCGTCCGGCCACTCGAACGAGCAGTAGAACCGAGTCGTGAAAAATATGTTGGCCCTGAAGTGAAACCCGAACTCCTGGTTGTAACTCAGCACCTTCACCCCGATGTCGTCGTCCTTGGACTTGCAATGCACCGTCAGCTCCGCCTGGCTCTCCAGCCTGTTGGTGATCGTCACCGTCGTCTTCTTCGGCAGGAACCCCGCTGGTTCTACCTCGCCCTCCTCTGCTTTGGCGACGGCGGCCACCAGGGAGATGGCGATCGCCACCGCCGCCCTCGTTAGCATTGTTATGTTGCTCGACTTCATTGTGGGTGAATAAATACGTATGGTAACTTAGTTTCTGGTGTGTATGTATATATAGAGAGGGATTAGCGATATAGATAGGAAAACAATAAATGGTGTTACGTTTTTTGGGTTAATGTTATTATGGGTGTGATATGCAAATATTAGATGTGTTTCCATGTATACTTTTGGGAAACTTGAATGCTGGTGGACGTTATTTAATTAATTTCCCTTCCGCACATGTAGGGGGTGTTCAAATGGTTACCGTGACAATAACCAAACCAATTAAGTCGGCTAAATTACACGTTTGGTCACTCTAATTATACAAATCTTTCACATTTGCCACCCGAATTACTTTTCTTTCTTATTCGCCACTACCTTTATGAATTGTTTCACCATAGCCACCGTCCGTCCAATTCCGTTAAATCATCCTATGTGTAGGGGTGTTCAAACGGTGTGGTTACCATGGTAACCGTTTTAACCAGTACTATTTGGATAATTTGGTTTGGTTAATTTGGATAATTGGTTTGGTTTGGTTAAAGTTTTTACCTTGTTTGGTTTAGGTGGTTTGGTTTGGTTTCAGACATTCCTAACCAGCCAAACCAAATTAACCAGATAAATAATTAGCCATATATCTAATATATACACATACTTAATACTTTGAATAACCACTCAAGAGTTGAACGTTCATTCTTTTAGACTCATAAAATATAAAGCTTGATATTGTTCATATAATGTATATTTGTATATGTAGAGTGTAGACCACAACATATGAACGCCTAATTTAGATAAATCTCATACATTATGTTGGATGAAAACTTGAAAGCAAGGTTCTTTTCAGCCTATGAAAATTGCTAAAAAAACTAAGTCAATTCAAACAAACACAACAATTCATTAACCCATACCATTGTGATAAATTTTTGTTTGGTGGATACTTCTATACTAACCGTAAGATAATTTTCTTAGTTGCATGTATTTATGTTAAGGGTCAACTATAACTATGTGTTGATTGTTATGTTTTATTCATTATATAAATTGCGAATTGATAAATTAACCAAAAAATTTCTCACTTAATGATAATATGATTTTATATTGGTTAATCTGGTTAACCAATTAACCAAACCGATTAAACTTCAGTTTGGTTAATTTGGTTGTTGTATTAGTTTGGACGGTTTGGTTATGATATTGTATTCCATGGTTAATGAAATTTAGCCTTATTTGGTTTGGTAATAACCATGGTAACCATTTGAACACTCCTACCTATGTGGCAGTCAACCAAAGGCTTTGACTGTTAGTTTGATGACGTGGCAACTAAAAAATAATATAAAAAATTAAAAAATAATATAAAAAAATCATTTTTAGTTTGCTACCAATTCCACGCTCCGACCCCAGGACCGACGTGGCGAAGTCAATCATGTCGTCTGCCGACCCACGCACCGCTTCGTCTCGCCGGGGCTCAGAGAGCGCTCAAGCTCGGTCAGCGAGTTCACGATCATGACCTCCATCATCGAGTTGTCGGCTGTGTGGAAGATCTGCTTTAGCTCGCCCATTTGGGATGCGGTGAAAGGCGGTATGGTCTAGGGCAGGAACGGCCTTTCCGACATTCTTCTCGAGGCTGGGGGACAAATGGGGTAAGTAAAGGAGCCTGGCAGCTAGGGGTGGTAATCGGTAAACCGATATTCGATATTATCGGATAGCGTACCAGATACCGACGGTATCCGGTATACCGAATACCGACGGTATCGGTATTCGATGGTGTTATTTGGCATAACGGTATACCGGATAATACCCAGTAATATACCGACGGCAATCCGGTATACCGGAATACCGAATAGCATATATAAAAGTGTTGATTTTGGGATTTGATCTTGGCATTTGGTGTTGTTTGTTTAATTGGTGGGATATATAATTGGATGGTAATTGGGCAATTGGTTTTGGAAATGAAATTGGAGGGAGCAGGGAGAGCTTGTCGGCAGGTAGAGAGAAGAACAAGGGAAGAAAGTTTTCTTTCTTACCTTACAACAATATATCCACGTCTAGTCTTTACATAAGCCTTTAATCAACAAAATATCTAGACCAATTATGCACTGCCCTTGAATTGTGCATATTATAAAATCACAAACTTTAAATTCAGATCTCCTCTTGTCTTCTCTGTATCTTCTTATAGCATCTTCATGTCAGCACTACAAGCAAGCAACGTGTGAGGAAGGTGTCATCTCACGTGTTCGGTATACCGGAGGTATACCGAACACGTGAGATGACACCTTCCTCACACGTTGCTTGCTTGTAGTGCTGACATGATACTCCGGTATACCGAATACGTACAAATCAAACCATGTACAAATAAAAAGAATAAAAAACGACCAGACTTCGCATGCAATGAGAATGCATCATCACCATCTAAACTTCACAAGGTGTAGAGAGAGAGCATACAAGCTCTACATATTCCATCTTTGGACATTTCTCTACATATTAAAAAGTATTGCAATTTGAAAGGTTTATTTTCAGTGAATTTAGAACTCACAATTCAATGACAGCAGTTTTGAAAGAAAACGATCTACCCGGTATACCGGTTAAAATACCGGTAATCGACTATCCGGTATACCGGATAATTTTCGGTATCGGTATTCGGTGGAAGAATTTCAATTGCCGGTATACCGAATACCGGCTATTCGGTATCCGGTATACCGGATACCGACCGATTACCACCCCTACGTGGCAGCGAAGCAAAACGCCGGGAGCTAAGTGGCGAGGACATTTCTGGGAGATAAGCTAGGCAAAAGTGGCGGACTGGGAGAAGCATTGGAGAGTAGGAATTGGAAATTTGGGAGGCCACTCCGGATCTCCATGTTCCAGTAACGAGCCAGATCCATCCAATTCATCGCTCCCGCTCCAATCGTCGACCCGACCAAGATGATATTCCTCACGCGACGCTTCGTTCTCATCTGAGACCGACAAATCTAAAATTGACCCAGTGGATTAGAGGAAGTGCTCCTCGACAAGCTGAAGAGTCCACAAGTGTTCGAAATTGAAGAGGCCTCAATTTCTCTTCGGCAAAAAAAAAAAAAAAAAAAAAAACCAGGGCCAAAGAAGAGGCTTCCGTCAATCTCTGCACTCTAGAGATTCTCTCCGCCTTGCGAACACTAATTTAATCCAGGTACACGAACATTCAGGTGAACGTCGTCGCTTCTCTAGTCAACCTCTCATTGCAAAAGCAAAAAAGGGGAAGATTATACGATCGAGGCTTCTCCCACCATTGATTGATATGTTGAAGGCTGGGTTTCCCGAAGCGCAGAATCACACCGCCGGAGCGAGTTCCAGCTTGGCTCTTCACGATCACAATAAGACAACGATCAGTGTTTAGAGTGCATTGCCACCACTCTTGAATTTGCTCCAGTCAGGGACTGAGCGGGATATGGATAAGCTCTAGCTCTGTATCAAGAAGGGGCGGAAGGAATTGCCATTAGAATAGGAATTAATATTTATTATATTATTATTTAATTTGAAAAATATATATTAATATTTTTTAATTGCCACATCATCAAACTGATGGTCAAAGGATTTGGTTGACTGCCACGTAGGATGTTTTTAACGGAATTGGACGGCGGGTGACTAATGGTGAAACGATTCGTAAAGTTAGTGGCGAATAAGAAAGAAAAGTAATTCGGTTGGCAAACGTGAAAGATTTGTATAATTTGACTGGCCAAATGTGTAATTTAGCCCAATTAAGCCTAAATTTCATTAACCATGGAATAAAATATCTTAACCAAACCGTCCAAATTAACACGAAAACCAAAGTTTAATTAGTTTGGTTAATCGGATAATCGGATTAACCAAATAACATAACATTACATGAAATCAATTTTGTTAATGAATAAAAATAATTATATGTTGTTACTATCATAAACTATCATTATATATAAGCAATAATAATAAGACTAACCATCCAAGATTATCAATTTATCATCGTCATTTAAGTTAATACATCATTCGTCATCTTTGCACCTAATATAGTAAGATTACAACAAATTCCTTAACACAAAAACATACCAATACCCTTGATCAGGAAGTTAAAGCTCTCTTACAAAACACTTAAACTATTCATAGTTTGAAGTGACTGTCATTGTACTGTACGTAATCCTAAAGTCTAGTAGTTGTCCAAAATGTTTTGGTTTAGTAAATAGACAGACCCATTTAATTTTAGACCCATAATGTTTTGGTATGTTGTGCACATGGAAATAAATAGGGAATCACGAAAATCTGGTTTGGTTGGTTGCATGGAAGTATAAATAATTTTGTATATTAGGTGTATCATTAATTGGTTAATTGGTTTCATTGGTTAGTAGTGTTGAAACCAAACCAAACCACCTAAACCAAATAAGCTAAATTGGTTAACCAAACCAAACCAATTATCCAAATTACCCAAACCAAATTAACTGAGTACTACCGGTTAATATGGTTACCACGGTAACCAATCCGTTTGAACACCCCTACGCACATGGGTGGAAACAAAACTTCATGTCCATATTTATAAACAAGTTTAACTTGCGTCGTAGCTATCAGTAACGTTTCTTTACCAGTTATTAACGTTACTTAATATTAACGTTTCAACACTGCTTTATTAACGTTTCTTCAGCAGTTATAACGTTTCACGACTACATTATTAATATATAACACGGCGCTATCAATAATGTTCTCATTATTAACTATTCGTTACCAATTATTAATATTTAACACGACACTATCTACAAGTCCAAATTGATCCCTTTTTCTGATGCTATTTTCACGAAATTGATTCACTGATAAAGTTCATTATAAATTTAGGTCGCACTTATTTTAAAATTTTTTAAGGGCAATGGTCAATGTTTTTCCCCTTTTAACAATATTAGCTTATATTTGTACCTTTCTTATCGCGCTATCACTTTGGTTAAAAAACATATCGCGCCATCAACAAGCATGTATTATTGGGAAATTTTTTCTTACGACCAGTATACAATCATTATAAAAAAATTAATACATTTATTTTTACGACCAGTGTATGTGTGTGACTTTGTAAAATAGCATTATGAATGTTTTGTTTTTGTTATTATATTTAAAAATGCCAAGAATTTCTTAATAATGAATTCGTAATTTGTTTTAAATTATGTAGAAAATATTAATAATGATATTGTATATTATAACAATACTCAGCTGAAAAGTTGATAATAGCGTCACTTAAATGTTTACAACACAAGTAAATCGTGATTCAATTTGATTGAGAAAATTAATAATAGCGTCACTAAAAATGTTAATAATGCAAGCGAAAACACTAATATAAACTGTTAAAACGTTGACAACTCAATTACGTTGCTTTAAAAACCTCAAATTAGAAGCTAATCTTATTGTGACGGCATTTTAGTTACTGGTTAATAATTCCGATGATCTAATTAATAATAATAATGTGGTAGGTTAATAATGTTTACAATACGATCGATAATCGCGTTTCAAATTTGATTGAGAACGTTAATAATAGCATCACGGAAAAATGTTAATAACGTATGTGAAAAAACTAATATGTATTGTCGATAACATTGACAACTCCGTTACGTTGCTCTAAAAATCTCAAATCAGAGGCTCCCCTTATTGTCACATGGTTTTAGTTACCTGTTAATAATTTCAGTAATGTAATTAATAATAGAGTCGCGGAGGTTAACAATGTTGACAACACGACCATCAAATCACCTTTTGTATTGATAACTATAGTAGCGTCAATAAAAAATGTTAATAATGTAAGCCAAATCACTAATATGTAAGGTTGAAAATGTTGACAATTCCGTTACATTATCTCGAAAACCTCAATCCATCAGCTCCTCAATCCACAGGCTCCTCCGTCACGTTGACAATTCCGTCGCGTTTCTTTTCGATGGCAAGCAACGGATGTAGCGGGCCGATAACAAGTTTGTTCTTACATATCTTGGATTGTGGCATATCGTGTAGCACTACAAAAAGATTGATAATGGCATTCAAAATATTACTAATGCTGAAAAACGCTAATAATAAACAAAGATTGTTAATACTGCACGTTAATTTAACCGACAAATTAATAATGGCACACTAGTAAAAAATATTACCAATGGATGAAGAAACGTTAACAATAAACTAAGATTGATAATATTATACGTAATCTCAGCAGACAAATTAATAATAGCACACGCTTAATAATAAGACGAGTCATTATCAAATCATGCACGATTGACGATATCACTTCCAAATATTACAAATTACTATGAACTAAATTCATAATAAACAATATTAGTGAATCAATACCGATTTCCAACAAATTGGTAAAATAATTACAAAACGACAATAAAAAGTTAATAGCACAACCTAACATAATTAATAGGCCTATTAGACAACATTCACAATACGACAAACATTGACTATTGACCGGGTAAAAATATTGACCATAGCCCTTCAAAAGATTACAAATCATGGCGATGTAAATTGATCATAAACTGTATTAGTGGAAAACCCCCAACACACATTATTAGTTTTAACAATCTTTGTAATGCAGGATAAGAAAAGTACAAGAAATAATTGATAATGAGATTAGTAAAATTGATAATGAAGCTGATATTATTAATAAAGAATGTATATATGCTAATTATGGAAATATATAAAGATATTGATAATGGCCTTCATACTATTACTGACGAGTGTATATATATTATGAATGCATACCTGTGTATCATACTACTCTCATTGTCAATTATATTGGCTAAGGCATTTTGATATTATCAGTTTTACTAATGTCATTATAAATTTATTGATACAAATGAACACAAATTTAACCATCGCCCTTTGAAAGTTTAAAGAACCAGTGCACCTAAATTCATAAGTAACTTTGTCAGTAAGCCAATTTCGGCTACTGACAAAAAGATTAACAACGTCGTGTTAAATATTAAAATTTATCAAAAAAATTGGTTAAAACGGAGCACGTTACTAGTTAATAATGTATATTTTTGAACGTTAATACACGCTGAAGAAACATTAATAATGTCGGGCTAAAACTCAACGTTAATTCAACAGATTGGGAAAAGATATTGACCATCGTCAGTGAACGGGATCCTTGGAAGGCGACGAAGATTACCTTGAACGCCGCCGAGGAGAGAGCAGGGATCGACGACAGACCGAACGGGATAGACAACGGACTGAAGCAAAGTCGAGAATGGATTTTGGTGACAGAGCGAGGACCGGACAGGAAACTGGGGCGAACAGGAAGTCGGGGCGCCGATGGCCGGAGACTGCTAACGAAGGGACGCCCAGATAATAAAGACAAAGATTCCCGACGACTGGAGACTGCTTTCGAAGAGACGGGTTAACACAAAACCTGTTACGCTAGGAGGGAGAAAAACCAACGAGACGTGGGTTTGAAAATTAGTAGGATTTATTATTCAGTTTTTATATTATATATAATTCCCAACATACCCTTGACAACTAATAACTCCTCACTAACTAATAACTCCTTATTAACTACCTAAAACCAAATCAACCAATCAAAAACGCTTTAAGATCCTCCTTAAAAATGGAGGCTTAAGGACCTGAACTCAGGACGGCAAAATGTGATTTTATAAACAGAAGCAGAGCAGGGTAATGGTTGTTACAATAAAAAGCTACAACAGAATTGCCAACCTTGCAGACCTCCTGCAGCTCTATCATAATCAAAGATATATGACCTCTGCATCTTTGATATACGCTTATATCGCTCAATCTTTTTCAAGAAGTTGAGACCCTTTTCACAACCCCATTCATCTTCACAACCCAATTCATCTGAAGGATTAATGACAACCCTGCGGAGTAAATAGGCATTTGCTAACACAAACTTCACCAGGTCCAGCTCAAGCTGTGAGCCATGGCTGCCTAAAATCTTCAGTTGTTGAAGACACTGTAAACAACTATCTCCTTCAGGTTGGCTCTCTGACTCAGCAGACTTCAACAGCCTCGGAACAACAACTGCCTCTCCTCCAGATTCCATCAACAATAAAAAAAAAAATGAATTTAACGAAGAGGGACAAGATCCAAACTCTAAACTAGTTTCAAAGGAAGATTCGAGATTCTAAGGACGAACCTGCATTGTTAGTGTATGCAAGTTTGGGGTGTTCCTGACTAGAAAAAAACAGGACTCTCTTCGCTAGCGAACCATCATAATGGGGAAAAGAACATGAACGTTCATCGAGGAATTTCAAGTGGCAAAGAGCGGTTGGAAGTCTGTCGGGGACAAAACCTGTAGCTAAGCTAGGGCTAACTACACACCAACATCCTAGCCCTTTCTTATTGTGATTATCGATGGAGAATGCCTTTGTGTATATGATTGAACAAGTGATCTTGGAGATCAAAGTATAAGGAAGTAGCACATAACACACAATTCCGCCTCACACTTTAAAATGAACATTGTTCTCAATAAACTAAATAATCGTGAGCTATAAAAAGGTTGGAACAGGTTACCTCATTTGTCGTACTAATTTCGAATGGATTATGGAGAACAACTAGTTCAACCCCTTGGTTGTAATAGGAAGACTCGAAATGATAGTCCATAACAAACAAAAACCAAAGATAGATAATTGGTTGTAATAGGAAGACTCGAAATGATAGTCCATAACAAACAAAAACCAAAGATAGATAATGGATACAAGTGCTTAGCAACAATATCTTTTTAAGTTTTGATGTTATTGATAGCCTCGATGTTAATATTGATTAGTAATTTAGTATGTGCTCCCAGCGGGAGAGCAACCAGGGGCGGACCCACGGGTGTTTAGGGGTGTCCCCGGACACTCCTAAATTTTGGGAAAGCGATTATCCAACCCCCGGTAGTAATTTACGTATTGACAAAAAAATTATAATTGATAGTCGGGGACACCCCTAAATTTAAAAAAGTGATTATCCTACTCTCATCTTTTAGTTTGAGTATGAGAATATAAGTCGTAGTTTGGGTAATTCAAACCTATGACACTTTTATTATTAATAAATATAATTTTCATTAGGCTACAACTCATATGTTATTCGATTTTAAACATTGTGTAATAGTATAATGTCATTCTCTATCTCTAATTATTTTCAAAATCTAACAATTAAACAAATTTCAAGCTACCCTTAATTTGTATTGATTTATCGTTGGACAACAAGTATTGAAAGAGTCTTTTCAGCTTTGGATTACATCAAGAACAAGTTTAGAAATTGAATATGTGATCAGTTCGTGAATGATTGTCTAATATGATATACAGAGACAATTTTTTTTAATAGTGTAGACTCCAAGTATGTTCTACAATCATTTTTTAATATGAAAAGTGAAAACACATTGTGAATTTTTTCAAACTCTATGAGTAAAGTATTTCTTATTTAAATATTATTTATTAATTATTTGTATTTAATTTATTTTTTAAAAGAGGACACCCCTATGTAAAATTTCTGGGTCCGCCACTGAGAGCAACCCCACCAGAAACCTAGTCATTGGCCATATTCCGTTAGAGTTATTGAGACAATGAAGGGAAAGAATTCCCAAAAATGAGACTGTACCTCGTATATATCAACCGTCCAAATTTCGCAGAAGTTAATATGCTAACTACTCATAGGGCCGGATTTTCGGCCACGTCGGCCCATGTTTCATCCAATAGAGGAGAGACGGGCTCGTTGGTGGCTCACTTAAGTGAGCTGGAGATGGGCTTCGAGGTACATGCCGGCCAAGCGTGTGGCGCAGAAAGCGAGCCGAGGAAGTGGCTTTGTGGGCCCGCTTCAGTTTGGGCGGAATTTTGGAGGAGTGGAAAGAGAGAACGAAATTGTGGGCCCGCAAACCATGTGATATTTATGTATGTTTGTTTGTGTGGATATTTATTTGTTTTCAGTCGATATTATTCTGTGTTGTGTTGATATTACTTTGCATCATTGTTGAAATGAACTAGTATTCTTCCTTCGCAAACCAATATCCATCATTAAACTAATATTTACCAAACCCCAAAATAACCCAACCACCCGAAACTGATTACACCAATTTAGAGTTTAAGTTTTAGGGTTTAGGGTTCGGGTTTTCAATTTGTGAAGGATTGAAATATTGTTTCTTACATCAAATTAAACACACTAGGAAGTCCTAACACATACGGCTTGCAACCTTAGTTAGGGCTGCCCGCCGAAGGCCCATTAAATAATAATAGTTTTATGGTTTAGGGTTTGTGTTACGGTTTAGGGTCTACCTTAGGTTTTAATTGATATTAGTTCATATTTTTGGAAATTTTCTTGGACTTTTGGATATTCTAGTAGGGCACTTTTGGTAACTATTAAGATGTTTTCCAACATTTATTTAAACATCTAGCACTTTTGGTAACTATTTTGGATTAGTGTACAACTATCATATATTAGTCAGTGTGCGGTGGATATTAATCAGTATATGGTGGATATTATTTAGTGTGTGGTGGATGTTAGTTGTTGTGGATATTAGTCTGTTATATTTACAATATTATTTAGGTGTCACTAGATATTTGTCTGAGACGTTTGGATATTGTTCTGTAGGGTTTGTGTTAAGGTTTAGGGTTTAGGGTTTAATGGTTTAGTTTTGAGGGTTTAGTTTTGGTTTGAATTGATATTAGTTCATGCTTTTGTATATTTGACTGGGACGTTTGGATATTCTAATGAGGCACTTTTGGTAACTGCCCATTAAATAATAATAGTTTTTATGGGAAGATCCAACTTTCCTAACAATGATATCCACACATGTGCGTGTACAATTTTCAAGTTGCCAGAATAATATCCACATATGATATAACAAACATAGATTTCACTGAAATATCCAAATGCATAAAAATAATATCCAAACCTCACAAACCAGTATTTATAACTGAAAATCAAACAAGTTGATATCCTAATGAAACCAACCAATATTCCAGAACAACAAACTAAAATCCAAATATTTTCCAAAGCCATTCCAACATGGCAACTTAAGAAAAAGTACAACCCCCGAAAAAAGAACGAAAAACAATAGATCAAATTCACTCTTGCTATTCCAAATTCTCGACAATCGTTTGGACCTTGTCCCATCGAGCCACCCACTTTTCAATCTTGCTCTCAGTCATTTCCTTCAATCCCTTAAGCTACACATATGTTGTGAAATATTTAGGTTACTATATGCATCCAAGTCTAACAATGCACTATCTTAAGTAGGGAGGAAAAGAACATTTTACCTGCTTTAGCTGAAGGCTAGTCAAATCTTCAGTCTCCCACCATTCTGTGGTGGGCATCGGTGCACGAGCTGGAGGAGGAGCTGAACTACTGGCCGCTGTTGCACTAGTACCCTCAGTAGCCGCTGGCTGGAGCTGGTTGCGAGAGGCGATTTCTTCCCTAATCATCAAATCGGCAGCTAGGTCATATCTTCCCCCGGTTAAGGGGATAGATGTGCTTGCCCTCTCCACATTTTGCTTCCACCAAAACCGGCAGTTAGGGATGGTCTTTGTGTGCAACCCGCGTAGGCTTAGGGAGTCCAACAGATGGAGCTGTAAACAAAATTACAGTTAATAAATGTTAAGCGTCATTTATAGCAATTTAATCAAGGAATATCGAGAGTCACCACAAAAAGTATCCTATGTGACTAAAATGATATCCACAGACCATTTGAAGCTGATTTTTTGCAATTTCACCAACAAGCATCGAGATTCAAAACAAGTGTATCCTATGTGACTAAAATGATACCCAGATAACATTATAACCAAGAAATATCGTAATTCATAATAAACAGTATCCGAGCTAAACCAACAAGTATCTAAAAAGGTTAGAACTTACTGTCAAGAAGTAGCAATCTCTGAGAACCCACACGCATGGCTTGCCTTTGGCCCTTGCAACATGTTCTTTTTTCTTCGCAACAATCAACTCTACCTTAAGTTCACGGACATTAAAGGTACACCAATCGTACACCCTAACGTCCTCAATACTCCCACCTATGTATGGGGCAAAGTCCAGCTTGCACCTCCGAGCAAATGTTGGCACGAGCAACGAACCAGAGGCTAGCAACAAGAATTGCTTGACAGCCATTACAACAGGTGGTCTAGGACCTTCGGCTGGAATGGCCAACTGCCGCAGAGCCTTGATAGGAACATTGCGGCTCTTGTTAGGAATCATGCCGATTTCCTCGCTGAAACTGTCGAGCATCCCCCCCCCCCTCAGTGTACTTCAGATCAATCACAGCCCCACCGAGAGGAAGGTCGTACACACGTGCCACATCCTCAGGTGTGAATTCGAACACCTTCTTCGAGTCTCCTTCCCTGAAAACAAAAATACTTGTTGAGATGTCATAAGCAGCCATCAAGTCGTCCATGAAGACATTGGGAATTTTCGGCATTCGAAGGTCCAATAGGCCTCCGAATCCTGCCTTCTCGACTTCTTTCTTGCATGGTCCACAGTATCCACCATCTTGTTTCCAGTAGCTTATCACTTTGAATATAGAATAGGTGGAGCCGCGGAATCTGAAGTATGAGCCGCAAGGTCCCTCCTCATCTTCTTCCTCAACTTCTGGTTGTTGTCTAGCATGCGGCTGCCTTGATCCTTCTCCTTCACGAGAACTCAGTGCAACCATTTTGGATCTCTTCCTCATGGGTTGTTCCTGAAATACAGTTATATAATAAGAAAAATATCCAAACTCCCAAGACAAATAACTAAAACACACAGAACATTATCCATCCTAACAAAACTAATATCGACACATCATAGTAGTAGTTTTTAGCCAATATATCCAATTATTATCGTAGTAAAGCAATAGTGTATCCAATAACTGATAAATGATATCCATGTAAACAAAGGAAAAAATTCAAAACTACCACTGTTTTAAAAAAAAATTACAAAAATACCACCCATTCCCAACAATTTCCAAAAATACCACCCTTTATTTCAAACAAACCGCTCCTCCTAGCAGCGGTTTAAACTATAACCGCCACGTCAGCCAGAGTTTTAATTTTTCAGATAAAACCGCGCCTCAGAGGAGCGGTTTATATGCCAACCCTACCACAAAACGCTTGGGGAGTAAGCGTTTTAGTGTCGGCATGATAAACCGCCCCTGCAGGGCGCGGTTTACCTTACCCATACACAAAATGCTGCCTAAAGGCGCGTTTTATTGTCGGCAGCAGACATAAATCGCCGCCCTAAGGCGCGGTTTGTGTCTGGTCACCCGACAACAGACATGTCGGCATGCAGTGGGTGGGGTGCATGGCAGACCTAAAACCGCTCCCCCCACCCGCGGTTTGTGGTCCAAAATTCGCCTATAAAAGGCTGATTCAGAGAACTCAAATTCATCACACTCCTCCTCTTCCTTCTTCAAATTCCAGTTTTGCACCTTTAAATTATTTAGTTTTTGCGATTAACGTTAATTCGTAAGTTTGTTTTGTATTACTTTTCATTGCCCTTTGTGATATTATGTTAGTAACTTTTCATTGCCCTTTGTGATTTTATGTTAGTAACTTAATTACTTTTCATTGTCCTTTTTGATTTTATGTTAGTAACTGATTTACTTTTCATTGTCCTTTGTGATTTTATGTTAGTAACTTAATTACTTTTCATTGTCATATCCCTCTTGTATTACTTTTCATTGTCGTTTGTGATTTTATGTTAGTAACTTAATTACAGTTTTATTGCAGATGGCATTCCAAAGGTTCACGCTTGGATTGCGGTGGAACGGTTACACGGAAGAGACCGAAAAGATTGTAAGTTACGTCGGTGGCAATTTTCATAAAATGAAGGTCCGTACAAGACCGACGCTTGAAGAGTGAGGAGTTAGAGGAAGAGAGGGGGATTGTGTGTTGGTGTGCAGAAAATGGGAAGGGGGGGGGGGGTTATAGGGCCGAAAACGCGTCAGGGAGGGGCGGTTTCGTCCTTTTACCCCGCGTAAAACCGCCCCTCAAAGGCGCGGTTTACGTTTCTCAAACAGTCAAACCGCCTCTCAAAGGCGCGGTTTACGTTTCCCAAACAGTCAAACCGCTTCCCCGAGGAGCGGTTATCGTATCCCCAACAGTCAACGGAGATTCGACGCGGATCGCCCCGCTGGCGCGCGGTTTAGCCGTCGGATCGCTCCTCCATCCGGCGATTGCATGTAACGCCACGTGGCAACGCGGTTTGACAATCAGGTAGACTGAAACCGCGCCTTGGAGGCGCGTTTTGCTCTGTAACCGCGCCTGGGAGGTGCGTTTTGTTTGTTAACCGCTCCTTCGGGGCGCGTTTTGTATTAAAGGGTGGTATTTTTGGAAATTGTTGGGAATGGGTGGTATTTTTGTAAATTTTTTTTTAAAACAGTGGTACTTTTGGATTTTTTCCGTAAACAAATATCCATAATCCCCGGACAAATAACTAAAACGTACAGTTAAATATCCACCCTATCCGAACTGATATCCACACATCATAGTAGTTTTTTTATCCAATTATTATCGTATTAAAGCAAGAGTGTATCCAATAGCTGATAAATGATATCCATGTAAACAAATATTCATAATCCCCAGACAAATAACTAAAACGTACAGTTAAATATCTACCCTATCTGAACTGATATCCACACACCAGAGTAGTTTTATTTAGCCAATATATCCATGAAAAGGTATCGGAAACAATATATAATCGAGAAACGAAGTGAGAAATGAAACATGTGGTGGTTGTTCATCCGGCGGATGTTGTGATGATCTATCTCCTTGACGAGATCTTGGAGCAACCATCTTGGATCTCTTCTTCACGGGTTGTTCCTGTAACACAGTTATATATTAAGAAAAATATCCATATTCTCCAGAAAAATAACTAAAACGCACAAAACAATATCCACCCTAAGAAAACTAATATCGAAACATCAGAGTAGTAGTTTTTAGCCAATATATCCAATTATTATCGTAGTAAAGCAAGAGTGTATCCAAACGGAGATAAATGATATCCATGTAAACAAATATCCATAATCCCCAGACAAATAACTAAAACGTACAGTTAAATATCCACCCTAACCGAACTGATATCCACAAATCATAGTAGTTCTTTATCCAATTTTTATCGTAGTAAAGCAAGAGTGTATCCAAACGGAGATAAATGATATCCATAAACAAATATCCATAATACCCAGACAAATAACTAAGACGTACAGTTGAATATCCACACATCAGAGTATTATTTTTTTAGCCAATATATTCATGAAAGGGTATCGGAAACAATAACTAATCGAGAAATGAAGTGAGAAATGAAACCTCTAGTGGTTGTTCAGCAGCCGATTTCTTTGATGATCCTACTCCCTCATTGTTGGGCTTTGCATTCTTTTTCGGTCCCCCATTAACTGAACCAATATCCACAATGACCAGAATAAGTATCGGAGATGACAAAACTGATATCCATGTAACTTTTAATCAAGGAATCGACAAACGATACCCAGATTCCCCAAAATCGAATCCAACAAATCTTAAATCAGATAATCTAGAAACAATATCAAGAACCCCAAAATGGAATTCGAGAAACCCTAAATCTGGTACCTAGAAAAAAATCCACAACCACAAAATCGAATCCAAGAAACCCTAAATCTACAAATCGAGACGAAACCCAAAACCCCCAAATTCGAATCCCGCGAACCCTAAATCTGGTAATCTAGAAACAAAACCTTAAACACCCATATTCGAATCCATGGAACCCGAAATCTACAAATCGAGAAACGAAACCCTGAACCCCATAAGTCGAATATGAACCCTAAGTTTTGAAATCGATAAACGAAACCCAGATCTCCGCAAAAATAAAAATCCATGTAACCCTAACTTAAGGGCCGTTTAGTATTGTTTCTTGTTTTTGTTTCCTGTTGTGTTTTAAGAAATTTGGAAAACCAAGAAAAAAAATCGTGTTTAGTTGGGTTTTTATTTTTTGTTGTGAATCAGAGTTGCACAACAAGGCCCAAATATGAGAAACAACAATTTATAGCTTTGGATCTGATTCTTAAACATGTTGCACACGGGATTCCTACTGGTTGGGCGCTTGATTTCATTAAAACAGACCAGTTTTCGAATCCCCACATAAGCAAAAAAAATTTCTTTTTTTTTAACACATACCACCCCCAAACCCTACTTACTTTCAGCTGCCCCCAACCCCTCCATTTTCTATCGAACGAGAGGCAGCACTCTCCCCAGCCGGCGCGGCCACCTCCGCCCTCCCGACCCTCCTCCACCACCCTCCTGACCCTCCGCCTCCGCGCCGCGTTGTACCAAGCCCTGCTCAACAGCCGCCGCCGCGAGCCCCGTCTGCCCAGCCGCCACCACTCCCTTGTCGCCGGCTTCATCTTTCCCTCGCGAGCTCTCCTCTCTTCGGCGGGCACAGAGCTGACGCTCACTCTTCCGCGCGACAACACAGTCGGTCACTCGTCCCTCGCCCTCGCCCTGGCCCGCCCCCTCTGTCCTCTCCACCGCCCTCTTTGCTCCATCGATCGAATACACGTCTTTACCTTCTCGGGTGGAGTTGTGTTGGCCGCGGATGCCGGCGGAGGAGGAGGAGTCGCTGCTCACCAGAGATTAAAGCCGGCAAATTATTTCCTGTTTATCCATTTGTTTCTCAAGGAAAACCATCTTCCAATTCTTCAGAATAGTTCTTTTAATTGAAGCATATCATTTTGAGAAATGGTCTTTTGATCTCAGCAGCTCAATCCATGTTTCCTTTGCTGTATATTGAGAAATGTTCTTATGATTTTTCGTTACAAAGAACTAAACGTGTTTCTGTTTTTTGTTGTCTATTTCTATGATATGTCATAGTTACCAACTAAACATGTTTTTGTTTTCTATTTTTATGTTGTTGTGGTTTCTCTTGTGTTACACAACCATACTACAACCACAACAACAACAAAACTATACTAAACGGGCCCTTAGTATCCACAAACAAAATAAACAATAAAGAGAGGAGAAGACGCCAACCTGAACCAAAGCATCCTCCTTGCAGTCGCCTCCTACCTCCCACTATCGGCGGCGGTGGCGCCTTCCTTCTTCGTCGGCGACGTCGTCTTCTTCTTTCTTCAAGGACGGCGAAAACCTTCCAAAAACTTCTTCCTCATCGGGATAGCTTCAACGTCGTCGTCGGCGTGGACTCAAACAAGCCGTCTCCAACCTCGCACCCTTCGTCGCTGTCGCAGACGTCGCTCAGATTTGTTGGTGGTGGTTTTCGAGAGAAGAAGAAACGGAGAGGGAGAGGCTTCGAAAACTTTTTTGGAGAGAGTGGGCAGAATGGATAACGCGGGTTGAGGGAGAGAAGAGCGTTTGGGTTTGAAATTTTGGGTTTTTCTTAACTGTGGGCCCACTTCTCCCAAAAAATGGCTCGACTTGGGCCTGTCTACTCTTCCCCTCACACGACGGCACCGGTAAGCCCACTCCCTCCGATTGTGGGTCGACGACATGGACGAGGATCCCACCGTGTTAGTATCTACTAACCACTTAAAGGGTTAGCAGAATAACGCTATTGTCCAAATTTGTATTCGCAACAATGGGAAAACAGACTCTGGAATATCTAAACTATGCTAAATCAGACATAACCACATCTCTCAAGTCTCAACCAGCATTACAATGGTGAAAGTAAGAAGTAGTTCGAGGGGAGATGATCACGAGGGCAGCAGCACAGGTAAAGCTGGAAAGGTTGTCACTGTCAATCCTCCTCCGCATCATTCCAATCATATATAACCTCTGCCTTTTTAGAGACACGCCTACATTTCATCACCTCTTTCTTGAATTTGATAACCTTCTTGGAGCTCAACTGATAAAAAGGCGTAATGTGAATCAACCGAAGTCTTGGGGCAGTGACTAGTACGAAAGTCACAAGGTCCAGCTCAAGCGGACCACAGAGGCTATCCTCAATCCTTAACTCACTAAGATGCTGAAGGACATCAGTGCAGTTCTCTGCTTCCAGCACCCTCTGTATGCTGTTAACCCGATCATTTGTGGGCTGATCATCATGTAGTTGGCTAGTCTCCAGCTGCAAGCACATTTGTGAAGCAAAGTCAGGCTACAGAAGCCAAAATTTATGACCATAAATCCTGCAAACAGGAACTCATTTTGCAAACACACCCAACCTTAATGGCGAGCCTACGCAAGTTGGGGAGCGTCATGATCGCTAGAACAATACTGTGTTCCATCTCCCAACTATCAAAGACAAGATGATTCATGTTGAGGACTTCTGCCTTTGAAAATGGATCATCACCTGGAAAAAGACACTAAGAGGAAAACAAATACAGTACACCGCATCTATGAGTTGCAGCAACTTGTCAAGTGTTTTTGCAAGAACCGAAATTGGTAGTGACAAAACTTACTTCTTCGAGGAAAGAATCTTGGAGCTCACGGTGAGTTGAGGGAGAAGCAAACCAAGATATCATTGAGGGATTGCCAGTATCAAGTGGATACAATGAGACAAGTAGTGGAAGTGTACTACACTTGATGAAGACATCCTTGGACCCCACAAAAATGAAGTCCTTGAGATATGGAGCCATGATTTGAAGCTCACCAGCAGGACCGTCACAACACACAACTACCAGATGTTCAAGCATCGGGCACTTGGGAAGGAAATTCTCGAAAAAATCATAGGGCAATGTAACACCTACCAATTGAAGATTGGTAAGCTTACTAAACCCAACAGACCAAGATGGTGGTGTAATTTCACAACACCCAAGTTCCAGGGTTTCCAGGTGAAGAGCAGAAAATAGGGAAGAATGCACCTTATAAAGTTCAGTGGACAGCTGAAGCACCAACTCTTTGATACCTTTGTTAGAAAGGTAAAGAATGATATGGTTAAGATCAGTGCAGGGGGGTAATCTAGGGATTGACAGCACAAACTTGGTTATTGTCCTCCCATCATGAACAAGCAGGGAATTGTAAATGTTCAACATTATATGCTTTCTCATGGCGTTCAGTTCAGATGCAGACAGATCTTCAGGAATTTGAGCAAACCCATCATCGAAAACAAGTTCAGGAATACCTCTCCACTGATGCCTCCATTTTCTTGACAAGATACTAGTTTTGGCGGCATCTTTAATGGGCAAGAACACGAGAATGCGCTGTATCACATCGGCAGGAAGGTCGGTGATTCTATCACCACTGTACTCGCAGACCTGCTCCATCATGTTGACTACTCTACACAAAGTTAAAGCAAGAAAACCCATTTCATACAAGCTCACAAGCATAGATATCAGTTCAGGAGAAGGCTTCCAAGACCGGTAATTTGGCAGAAAAGGATTGATTACCTCGATGATGAGGACGAGGAGGGGAATGGAGGCGAGTCGGATGGAAATGAGAGGGACGGCGAGTAGCCAAGAGCGATTGAGAGTCGTTGCTGGTTTACAGTGAGCTAAGGGCTTGGGAGACTGCCGACGGGAAGACGCAAACAGACTGGACGGAAACGCATTTATAAGAGACGTTGTCATTCATTCCGATTGCGTTTCTTTTGTTACGGTTCGTTCTAATCCGTGAGTCATTGCCCGGTCCTATATAGTTTATGACTAGTCCTAGAACAACTGAGAGTTTGCAAACTGGTCCTATACAAGTGCACCAAATAATCTGCCTAGGATTTGGATCATAATGAGAAGAGGATTATGACTTTAAGCTCCAAATTTCGTATTCACTTTTATAGGCTTTGCTCATCAATTTGCAAAAGCTGAGTTGATGAGGTGAATCAATTTCGAGCTAAATTGATATACGTGTTTAACATAATGGGTTAACTCCGAAGATGGATTTAACGAGAGTTCTTCTAGAGGCACATTTGTTACGCTCCATTTGATTTTTACGGCAAACCAGTTTCACGCAACAAACCAGATTCAGGCCAATCATCGTCTTTAAATTCTTACATTACTACTGCTCTACTGGCCTCGATGAAACTCTCGTATGAGGGTAGTGTTATAGAAGTGGGTTAAGGTCTCATTCCATTGAGACGGAGAAGGAAACAGATTTTCAAGAAAAAGACAATCAGTCCCACACACGATCTTCCAAACTGGTGTTCTCTAACAGATCTTCTCAGCAGAAACCAAATAGGAAGTGAATTACACAAGAGAAGAGAAACATAGAATCTGGAAGATCTATACTAGGCTACAACAGACATCCATTACATCTCTCAACCACTGTTACAATGGCGAAAGTGATATTTTCTAGGGAAGCTGATTACGAGGGTGGGTCACAGTCTCACAGATAAAGCTATAACAAGACTGTCAATCCCAGAAACACTTATATCTAATCACTATTGCATTCTGCATAAGAAAACCTTTCTGTAGACTTTAACAAAACAAACCAACCTCAATTGTGAGCTCAAGCAAATTGGGGGAACTCATGATTAGACAAACAAAATCACGCGCCTTCTTCAAGCTGCAGCCCAAGTCAAGGTAACAGATGTGGAGGAATTTTAACTGGTGAAGTGGAGTAGGAAGCCCGGTGGAGAGATTATCAACGCCTGCAGCAAGGCACTAATTAAGAGAAACACCCCAAATGAGTACCTAGAAACCCATCTTTTTGCAAGAATTGGTAAAAGGAGAAACGATCAAACTTACTTCCAAGATTTTGAAGTCAATAGCAACCCGTTTGAGTGCTGGGAGAGTAGCAAATAAAGCCACCATATCTGCAGGCTTATCTACTTTTTCGTGCACACTAAGAATACTAACTACCTCCAGAAGTGGAGTACACTTGAAGTGGAGTTTCTGTGAGCCCCCAAAGAAGAAGAATTTTTTGAGACACGGAACAACAATTTCATGATTACTTGGACCTTCACAACTAGTGAGCGACAAATTTTGAACCATCGGGCACTTGATGAGGAAGCTCTCAAAGAAATCAGAGGGTAGGGTTACTTGTACCAAACAAAGACGGGTAAGCTTACTAAAACCCACAGCCCACGATGGTTGTCTAAATTCACAATACGAAAGACTCAGGCTGTTCAAGTGAAGAGAATAGAACAGGGAAGAATGCAACAATCAGAAAAGCCTAGGGAGAGTTCTTGGAGACCTCTGTTAGAAAGATAATAAATGATTTGATCAATCCCATCACAGGACATCAACCCATCAATGGAGAGCTGGAACTTTGCTATTGGACCATCATGAACTAGCAGCACTTTGTGAATGTTTGAAATCAACTTGGTTGCTATCTCATTCGATCTAGATCGATGTTTTTTTAGAACGTTCTCATAGAATGCAATAGATCGAACCTTTTTTAGAACGTTCTCATAGAATGCAAACTGAAGTTGAGGAATAGTTCTCCAATGGCCCCTCCACTTTGTAGACAATGTTGCCATTTTGGCAGCATCTTTGGTGGTTAGCAACACCAGAATCCGGTGTATGACATCAACAGGAAGGTTGGTAATTCTATCGGCACCCGGTTCGCACACCCGCTTCATCCCTTCAGTGCCTAATGCCTATATATACTAACACCACACACACAAAAAAGCTCCAAACAATCAAACCATAACCAACTGTTCATACAATTAATCAAACATAACTCTACCTACAACTACCGATCGACATAGCTCGCTTCTAAACTCTGCAACTAGCTTTCAACGAGTATGTACATAGATTGATAATTACCTTCTTTAACAAGGAGAGGGTTTCTCTGCAAGACCCAAAAGGCTGAAATCGCCAAGGGTGGGGAGATGATGAAACCCCTTCGCTTTCTTCGTGCTTGCGAGCTGCGATATTGACAATTGACTGAAACGAATTCCAAGAAACGAGACTTCGGTTGTGTTCTCTGTCTGTCGAGGGGAGGATGGTGCGGGCCCATGGCCCATTTTGTTTTGGTGATGGACTAGGTGATTTGCATGGATGGATTTTTCTATTGGGCCAAAATTGACTGGCGGTGGCGGGCCTGATGTCATTGACCAAAAGGATTCATCGGAAGCCTTTAAAGTTTAAACACTTTTGTGTCCACTTCCGAACACGTGTCAAATCACGATCCGATTCATTGGTCCGAACCGAATCCGTCCATACAAATAAAAAATGAGTTGAATGCGATTGACTTGTAGGTCTAGGGTCGGGTTGGATGGGTTATAGTGGTCGATCCTCTAGACCCCATCTCAGTTCATATGTCATTCTCAAAATGATAAAATCACTTATAATTTAATGAGATGTTTAAGAAATTCACAAGCATTTGAAAGACAAGTTTGAAGTGCAAGGATAATCAAACATAATTTTTTTCTTGTAATAGTATTACTTTCATAATTGTTTATTACCCATTTGTACAATTTGTATTTCTTTTTATTTGCACAGAAGTATGCGAGCATTTGTTATTTACATGTGCTATAGAAACTACTTGTCATATATATATATATATATATATATATATATATGTGCAAAAATTTGTATTCTTTAAAAATTTGTGAAGCATGTTTGATATTGTTTCTCATAACACTCATAAACATGAAATGACCCAGAATTTGATCCGAAACCTGATGGGTCAGGTCAATATTTGAATCGAAATCATCGAACCCAACTTGACCCGACCGGATTGAAGCAAGTTAGATGCTCTGCATTTGAATCTTGGCTTGTCAACCTAGTTTAGTGGTATGATCCGAATGATGGTACAACCGAATTATGACAGTTTATGGTTTGGTAAAACATGTAGAGAAGCGGAAACCATTAATGATAATCGAATTTAAGCATATATATACATATTTGAAGACAATCATAGTTGATCAGAAATGGACATTAAACTCAAAGTATAACGTCCCAAACCTTAGCAGCTCTTACATATGTAATGTAAACAAAACAAACTATACTGTGTATCCCTGTACTAATTACTATATGCTGGAGCATCAGGTTATTCTTTAGAGATTCGTTGTTGATATTGAAGCGGTTAGTAATTAGCAGCACTGCTATTTTGCTGGAGATGCAGGCTTAATTGGATTCAGCTACATATAATTTTTCGTAATAATCATAACACAGAGACTATTAAAGAACCAAAACAGAAACTATCAGAATCTCTAAGCTATCAACAGTTTTCAACATCCAAATGATAATTGTAGTAATCTGAATTAGGGGATGAAAGCTTGACCCGGAAGACCCACTGGCCCGTCCCTAAGGGTCGGGACGGGTCAGTTTGTATACAGGGACGATTAGGGATGGGTCATTTGTTGACCCTGTGAGGGTCGGGACGGGTCACGTTTTGACCATGTGATCCTTAGCAACAACAAATATCTCACACCACATTGGACTTTTTTGTAATGTTTTAAAAGTTTAGGTACTAACTTGTAAAAATAAAAAATTTGGGTACCAAAATGTAATTTTACCATCAAATTTACTGAATTGCTATTCGTCGCCCTAAAATTCAAATTTTATCGCCCTATAACACAACAAATTGACATATATACCCTCAACTCAATTATAATTCTAACCCTGCCACCTGCTCTAGCTGCTACTACTCGAGTGCGGAGGGATGGAGGAAGCCGGCTGCCCTGCTCCTGCCTGACGCCGATCTGCCTCCCGTCGCCACCGTGGCTGCAGAGGAAGGAAGAGTTCCTACTCGATTAGTAGATAAAGTTGGTGACTTGGTGCTTTTTGACTACTCAAATTTGCTCGATGAATTTAAGAGTACCAATATATTTCTTATTCTCACTGATTCAAAGTCAAGTTGCTAATTTCAGTTGAACCCAGTTTATATATATCAGCAATACAAAAAAAAAAAAAAAACACAGCATTCTAGCAAGGGTGGAACTGAGGTCAAGGGCATTGATCATATGGCCATAGAAAGGTTGCCACCGTCGCTGAGTTTATTTTGAGGTTTATTTTGTTGTTTCTTTCCTTATATTTTGTTAATTTTGGTGCAATATATGAGTTTAAGTTGGGATAAGTGTTTGAAAGAAAAATAAATGATTTAAGGACATTAAAGTAAATTTGACTGAATTAGGGCGACGAATAAGAAATTTTAGGGCGACGAATAGCAATGCCCCAAATTTATGGGCTTCTTTGTAAAAAAATAAATTTTAGGTACTAAATTGGAAGAAAAAATAATTTTGGGTACCAAAATGTAATTAATAAAAAAGTAGTGTGTTGATTAGGGTCGACCCACTGACCCGACCCGTCTCGTCCCAACCCTTAAGGGTCAGACAGGGTCAAGAAGGAGACACGGACGGGACGGGTCAGTTATACATCTTGACCCTTCAGAGACGGGTCAGGGACGGGACAGACAAATTTTCAGCCTAGCCTAATCTGAATATTTATAGTACCATCCTAAAAAGCTTTGGATTCAAGAACGAACATCTTTCTTACCTTCAACTGTGTATAGCCAGCGAACACAGAACACTGGAAATTAAGTAGCTTACTGCAGGGCATCTCCAGTCCAGTTCTGCTGCCATTCCCCTCCAAATATACTGCAAGTGTTCAAACCATAACAGCCTCCGACAATATTCCTCCTCTTCATCAGTTTTGTGTTCACCCTCATAAGGACATGACAAGCATCTAATTTGCTCTACATCGTTGACGGAAAGGATTCATCAGAGCCTTTTAAGCCTTGACCACCCACAGGACAGAACTAGAAGCAAAAGTAAACCAATAAGAAAACGGAACTTAAACAAAGTCAGAACCAGACTTCCCTAAAATGTCTCCATAAGCATTTCCTTTTCAAAATGATGTATATAGAAAGATGACTGGTGGTGACTGATAACTAAACCTACAAAAACGTCAAGCTTCTTGTTTCCCTGCGTATATGACCTCTGCTACTTGAGAAACACGCTTGTACTGCATCACCTCCTCCATGCATTCAGCGGCATTTCTGTCTTCCAATTTGTCATTGGTGGCAATGTGAACCTTCTCCAGGAGCGGGGCCGTGGCTAATATGAACCTCACGAGATTCAGCTCAGCCTGTATCCCATGCATTTTCTCGAGTCTGAGCACTTTAAGGTGCTGTAAACAACAACCGGTATCGTTGCGGTCTTCTGCTTCCAACAATGTTCCTATGTTTGGTACTGCTGCATTACTGTTTGTCGGCTGATCCAGTTGCTTAGTATCCAGCTACAAGAACGAACGTCAAGGAACCAAGTAAGCACATGCTCCAAAATTTATATAGCCCAGATATAGATACTTACTACTATGTACTTCCAATTGAACTTTTCAGTAGAAAGGGAGGCAAACAAACCTTAATTGTGAGCGCATGCAAGTTGGGGGAACTCATGATCAGACGAGCAACAGGGCGCGCCTTCTTCAAGCAACCCATGTCAAGATGATCGATGGTTAAGAATTTTAACCGTTCGAGAGGATTAGGAAGCCTGATGGGGGCATTATTATCACCTGCAACAACGTACTGATGAAGAGGCAAAATCCAAATGAGTATCATAAAGAAACCAAACAAGATTGGCAAAAAGGTTGCAAGTCGAAAACTAAGACAAACTTACTTGTAGGAATTGGAAGCCAACATATAACCGTTCAAGCGCTGGGAGGGAAGCAGAGAAGTCTACTGTATCTACAACCTCGCTGAGCTTTCCGTACCATCGAAGACGAGCTGTCGATAACCGAGGAGTGCATTTGAAGCAGATTTTCTGTAACTTGTAGCAGAGGAAGTCGAACTCTTCAAGACAAGGCGCCACGATTTCAAGATTACCAACACCTTCACAATATATAGCGCTCAACTTTTTAAGCATTGGGCAGTACTTGGAAAGGAAATTCCCAAAGAAATCCGCGGGGAGGATGACGTGCCCCAGTTCAAGAACCCTGAGCTTATTAAAACCCAGAAACCATGGTGGGTGTCTAATAAATTCACAGAACCAAAGCCTCATGTAGTTCAGGTGAACGCAAGCAAACAGAGTGGAATGCACTTTGTAAATACGACTACGATTATAGTAATCAAGGCAGAGTTCCTGGAGACCTGTATTAGAAAGATGAATAAGAATCTGATCCATCTCATGGGGCTTTGAACCAGGAACTGAAAGCTCGAGCCTCCTTATCGGCCCATCGCGAACAAGCAGGATTTTGTGAATGATAGACATCAACTTATTCATCATCTCATTCGATTCCCATCCACCGTGTTCGTTAGCAAACCAAAGATCAAACACAAGTTGAGGAGTGCACCTCCAATGGTGCCTCCACTTGGTTGAAAGTATACTAGTTTTGGCAGCATCTTTGATGGGTAAGAACACCAGAATCCGATGTATCACATCCGCAGGAAGGGTGGTAATCCTATCGGCAGTGAGTTCACACATCCTCTCCGTCCCTAAACATATATATTCGCACAAAATTTCAATCAATGCATCCCAAATTAATTACAGATGTGGCTTCTTTACCAAAGAACAATGCACCGAAAGACGACAGTTCCTACTAAAGGAATTGGTGCATACCCTTTTCTTTTTTCAGCAAGTTTTGTCTTCTGCAGAGGCTGATACCGCCCTTAATCACTTTCTATTTCTTCGGGCTAGGGCATGTGACCGCCACCGCCAGCAGAGAAGTACGGCGCCTGCGCGATGCGTCTATTACAGTAGTACACAAAACAGAGAAGAGAAGTGATGATGAATTATTAACTGCTTTCTTGGGCTCTCTTAGCGGGCCAAACTCGGCAAATGTGGGTGGGCCTGACAAACTTCAAACTCTGATCTCAATGCGCTAGTGGTGGGTCGTCATTCCTTTCGATTTTCAAATAGGGATGGCAACAAAACCTGAACCCACGGGTACCCACCCGATCCAACCCGGTCAACGCGGGTAAAATTCGTGTTGACGGGTTTGGGTTTAAACTCGTTCACTATTCACCGGGTTGGATTGGGTTTGGGTTTAGGTAAACCCGCCCCATGGGTACCCGCTCACTCCCATATAATTAATTTTCTCGGTATATTTAATATTCTAAACAACTAATCTTATTTATGTTTGTGAAGACATGTATAATTTTTTCTTTCTAATTGTGTAGAATAAAGTTGATGTTATCGAGTGGAGAGTGAACAAACTTAATTGAAAGAAAGAAACTTTCAATTAATCATGTTATTTATGAATAATTTGTGATTTGCCTTAATTTTCTTGAGTTTTCTAGGTTGGTGATGAACAATTTGTATAGTTAATTTGTGATTTGCTTGAATTTTCTAGAATGATGTTTTATATATGGATAATTTGTATTAAGAGATTGATATTTGACTTTAATTTTGATAGGAACTTGTTATTATAATTTTTTTTACGACAAAAACCCGTGGGTACCCATGAACCCGCGGATACCCAACGGGTTGGGTTGGGTTTGAGTTTTTCAAACCCAGTGGGTTTTACCCCGGGTTTTTTTCACGGATAAACCCATGGGTTTGGGTTTGGGTTTGGCAAAACCCGACCCAACCCGACCCATTACCATCTCTACTTTCAAAGCCCGTTCTTCCACGTGGGACGCCGGTTGACCCAGGACTGTAGAATGTACTTCGGATGAGTAGCTTAACTATGAAGCTCACAAGATCAAGCTCAGCCTGAGTATGCTCAACTATGAACTCCCTAGATGCTGAAGCCAATCAGAAAAATCCACTGGAGAAGGTAACAGGAGTTGCTGGTATATCTTGGACCTGGTTTTGATAATTCAGCTAATCTGACAGCTGAAAGAGGAATGTCAACTCCCTGAGATGATGCTTAAATAGCAAAGCAATTCCCTGCATATAGCTGGACTATTACACTATGTTCGAAGCAGGGCTGTCTGATCACGCCTCCTCGGAGTGCAAGATTGAGCTAGCAGTGACACTAGACTTCGAGGAAGCAGCAGAGGTTCAAGCACCAAACCAAGACTTCGATCGGTCGTTTGTTACAGTTTGTATCTTTACTACTCTACTGGTTTCTTTGCCACAGTAGTCTATGTTTTCTTTGGTGTGTTCTTCCTAGAGATGTTTAGTTCTTGTATAATTTCCTATTTAAAATAATGCTATATCACCATTATAAAAACAATAGGTGATGCTCCTGCTTCCAACAACATCCATATATTGCTAACTTCTTGTGTGAGGGCTGATCAACTACAACTACAAGCTAGGGCATTTTTGAACGAATCAAAGGCAGTCTACATAATTAAAAAATTAATCCGTCGTAAATCCTGCTAACAGAAATTCAGTCTGCCTGCAACACAACCAACCTCGATCTTACAAGAAGATGGACTTTTGCCGGACCATATACCATAAACCAAGACAAGGCGCTAAAGAGAGCTAATAACAAACAGGTTTATGAAAAGAATGGACGTTAATTCTCCAACAGGCATCTTTGCAGGTTCCAGAGAACATTCATTTCCTTCACGAGACAAAGTTGATGTATAGAAGATGATGCTGGAATTACCAGTAAACAATTGTTAATGCTACAAAGATATTAAAGTTCATAACTCCCACCCTATAAGGCCTCAGCTTTTTTTTTCTAGTTCCTGATGGGTAATGATATGACCTTTGCCTTTTCAGAAACAGGTTTATATTTCCTAACCTTCTTCATGAATTTGGAAGCCTTCCTGGAGTCCAAATTGGCAGCAGGTGTAATGTAAATCATTTGTAGTATCGGGGCAGTGGCTAGTATGAATCTCAAAAGGTCCAGCTCAACCTGCATCCCAAGGCTGCCCACAATCTTAAACATTGTAAGATGCTGCAAACAGCAACCGAATCCATGGCGGTTCTCTGCTTCCAATAAGCTTCCTATGCTTGCTACCACGTTGTTACTCACGGGATGATTTAGTTGCTTAGGATTCAGCTACAAGAGCATTGGTCAAGGAACCAAGTGAGGACATATATTAGATTTTATAAAACCCCATACAGACACTACTATATACTATTCAGTAGCAGGCAACATGATAAACCAACCTCGATTATGACCTCGTACAAATTGGGGGAACTCATGATGAGACAAAGAAAAGCACGAGCATTCTTCAAGCTACCCAGGTCGGGAATACAGATGTAGAGGGCTTTTAATTGGTGAAGAGGAGTAGGAAGCCTGATGGGAAGATTAGCATCACCTGCAACAAGGTACTAAAAAGAGAAACCACCGAAGTGAGTAACAGGAACCTGTCATTTTGCAGAATGGGGAAAAAAGGAGAAACTATCAAACTTACTTCTAAAAGTTGGATGTCAACAACACACAGTTGGAGTAATGGGAGAGAGGCAAATAAAGCCACCATATCTGCAGGCTTCTCCACTTCTTGGCGCCCATTCAAAATCTGAACTTCGTTCAGAAGTGGAGTACACTTGAAGTAGAGCTTCCGTGAGTCCCCAAAGAAGAAGAAATGGGTGAGACGTGGAGCAACAATTTCAAGGTTACTTGGACACGGACAAAAAAGCAGCTCCAACAATTTAAGACTTGGGCACTTGGGAAGGAAGTTGCTAAGGAAATCAGAGGGTAGGGTTACTTCTATCAAACGAAGAGCTGTAAGGTTACTAAACCCCACAAACCATGATGGCTGCCTAATAAATTCACAAAACCAAAGAACCAGAGAGTTCAAGTGAAGATATGAAAACAGGGAAGAATGCAACTTGTAAACATGATTAGGAGAAAAGCCAAGGGCGAATTCTTGGAGACCTCTGTTAGAAAGATGAAGAATCATTTGATCCACCCCATTACAGGGCTTCAGTCCATGAACCCAAAGCTGGAACTTTGTTATGGGACCATCATGAGCCAGCAGGATTTTGTGAATGCTGGAAATCAACTTGGCCATCATCTTATTCGATTTCAATCTGCCATTTTCACCGCCATAAAACACAAGTTGAGGAATACTTCTCCAGTAGCGCCTCCACTTTGTTGATAATGTGGCCGCCTTGCCTGCATGTTTGATGGGTAACAACACCAGAATCTGCTGTATCACATCCTCGGGAAGGTCAGTGATTCTATCGGTACCCAGATCGCACAGCGCGTTCATCTATTCGCAGCCTGTATATATGCATTATGCAACACCAAAAAGAAAAGAAAAAAACAGTCAACACCTAACCAATCGTTCATACCATTACACTGAATCATTGATCGAGATAGTTCGATTCTTAGTTCTGCAACCAGCTATCAACAAGTATGTATTGCACAGATTGATTATTACCTTTTTCCCGGAGGGTGTAATGGTTAGGATCGGAGTGCTTTTCTCTGCAAGACGCTGAAACGGCCAATGCCCACAACTTTTCTTGGCGTTTCTTCACTATTCACGGCCGGAACATGAGTGCTACAGCTTGGTATCTGAGGTGGGTCAGTTCCCGGCGAATGATAGGATAGAAGAGAAGTGAGGAATGGCGGAGAAGAACAGAGAAAGAGAGAGAGGAAGGAAGAATGAAAAAAAAGGTACATTTTGCGTGAGAGTTGTCATTGTGCTCGCATGCCCTTCTTGGCTCCATGGAGCGTGTTTTATTTGTGCAGTTATTGTTTGCAGTGATCATTGTGAATTGTGATCATTGGGTGGAATGGACGATGAGGCTCTGTTTTCTTCAGCTAGGGCAGTAGGTGCTTCCAGAAAAAGATGATTTGGGTTTGGACGAGGGTTTCGGGTCTGTTCAGGATATTATGGGCCAGGGCCCATTTTGTTAACTACAGCTATCATATCAGGCTTTCGACAGCCTTCACTAGCTCCTGCCCCAAACTGTCACTGACTCCATCGTGTTGGGACATACAGAGGAAACTTCATTGAACCTAAATATCAAAACTAGAAGCGAAAGTAAACCAAGAACAGAAAAGAGTTTGGAAAGTAAAACAAGCATCTACATATCTAACTCAAAACAAAGCTATAAATAGACATCCTCACATGTCTTCCCAGAGCATTCCTCCCTGGAGAAGTAGATATATATTTATGCAGAAGATGATGCTGCTGCAGTGACCAGTGAATTGACAGTTAAAGCTACAGTATTAATTAACCCTCGTATCTCCCTGCATATATGACCTCTGCTTCTTTAGAAGCACGCTTATATTGCATCACCTCTTTCATGAACCCGAAAACCTTTCCGGGTTCCAACCTGCCAACAGGGGTTATGTGAACCTTCTCAAGTAGCGGGGCAGAGGCCAGTACGAACCCCACGAGGTCTAGCTCAACCCGAACCCCATGGATTTCCCTAAATTCAAACTCTTTAAGACGCTGCAAATAACAACGGGATCCACCATGGTGTTCAGCTTCCAACAAGGTCGGTATCGCGTCACTAGCTGCGGGCTAATCTAGCTACAAGAGCAGTTGTAAAAAGGAACCCAAGTTAAAGAAGATGAAGCAAAACTTTACTTTTGACATGAATTCATAGAGAAAGAACTGTTTGGCAGAGCAGCAAATAAAAACCAAACCTTAATTCTGAGCTCGACCAGGTTGGGGGAGCTCATAATCAGGCAACTAAAAACACGAACATTCATCAAACTGCCAAGGTAAAGCTTATTGAGCTCGAGGGATTTTAACTGGTGCAGAGGATTAGGAAGCCTGATGGGGATGTTATTAGCAGCACCTGCAGCTGCAAGGTACTGATTAGGAGACAAAAAAACCACCCCACAAAAATGAGTATCAGGAACTCTGTCATTCATTCATCAAGGCTCAAGAATATGGGGGACAAAGGTTACGAACAACGAAACAATTAGACTTACTCCTATGAGATATCCCTCAGCAGAGAACCGTTGGAGTGCTGGCAGAGAAGCAAAGAAAGCTGCCATATCCTGAGGATTCTCGACGTATACACTACGTTTATGAATCGAAACTAGCTTCAGAAGTGGAGTGGACTTGAAGCAGATTCTCTTGAAACACCCGGAGAAGCAGAACTCTTGGAGGCATGGGGTCGCGATTTCGAGATTACTTGGAGTGCCAGGACAAACTGAAACCTTCAGGGTTTCAAGCACGGGGCACTTGTGAAGGAAATTCTCAAAGAAATCAGCCGGCAGGGTTACTGTTGACAGTTCAAGAACCCTGAGCTTGCTAAACCCCACAAACCATGATGGCTGTCTGAGCTCACAATGGCTAAGCCTCAGCCTGCTGATGTGAAGACAAGAAAACAAGGCAGAATGCAACTTGTAAACCTGAGCAGCAAGGGAGACAAGGGATAACTCACTGAGACTGAGACCTCTATGATCAGAAAGATGGAGGATGATCTGATCCATCGCATTCTGGTGGCTGGGACCAATAAAAAATCGAGAAATCGAAAGCTCGAACTTTGTTATTGGCCCATTATGAAGCATCAGAACTTTGTAAATGTTCGGTAGTAGTGACTCGTCAATCATCGTAATCGCCTGAGTTGGTTGAGACGGACAACCCTTTTGAACAGCGAAATTGTCATCGATCACGAGATGAGGAATGCTTTTCCATTCCCGCCTCCACTTTGTTGACAATGTGGCCGTTTTGATAGCATCTTTGATGGGTAACAACACCAGAATCCGCTGCAACACATCAGCAGGAAGGTTGGTGATCCTATCGCCGCTCGATTCACACACCCGCTTCATTCCTGGCTGCAGAAACAGGGAAACAAGTTCCAATGTACACAAATTTTCAAGCATCTATATACATTAAATCGATATATTATTAGTACTTACCTTGTACAGGAAGGAAGGGTTATTTTCTGCAAGAGAGCGGGAAGGCTGAAACCGAGAAGCCCCTTGATTTGTTTTTCTGGGTTGCTTTAGTGCATTTATATGCAAAGGAAGGACAAGAAGTAAAGTATGGAGCATAATCTCAATTCTCTTCCTACTAGGAAAAAGTATTCCTATTGCAAAAAATTATTTTTTACGTGTATAGTAAAATTTCTTCCTATTTAGAATTTTTCTATGGTTTAAAAAAATTATTTGAAATACCACGGTTTAGGAAATATTTTCCAGTCGACTGTAGTAAAAAGTGAATTGGGGCATGCAATTCAATTGGATTTTAGCGAAGGTTAAAAGAAAAATTGGGACATGCCGCCTTAATCATGTTGTTTGTACTCCCAATTGAGGCGGACATGTCTCAATGGTGTTATTTTCACCTCTATTTGTGTTCCAATGTACATAAAATTTCCAACTTATCAAGCATGAAGTAGAACTCTTGGAAGGCTTCCCCTGCACACATGCCGCCTAGATGCCTCGTGCGGAGTGTGGCTCGCCTTGCGGTGGGTCCCTCCTCCACCAGCTAAATTTGACTCTTTCAGCAAAATGGGTGTCAAATTTGGCTTTCGAGTATCTGATACCCATTTTTAGCTCCCAAAATGTAAATGATTGGAGTGCAAAAAAGAGCTAAAAGTCCATGTATCAATTTTTGATTCCCAAAAGTGCTTTGTTTGGGCTGTCCTTGTGGGCCAAACCCGACAAGTGGTTGGTAGGCCGGACGGAATTCCCTCTTTAATGAGTTTGCGGTTGACTAAGGATTAGATCGCGTGACTAGGGGTCCCTTAGTAATGTAATTAGGTTAATCTCAATCTTTTATTTAAGTTTTAATTTAATGATTCTAACTCATTTAATGAATGATGAAATGGTAATTGCTTGGAGTTTTTATTTATTAATTAAAATAATACAAAGATTAGTAATGGTCCCGCTTGATAATTTACCCTCCCGAGGTCGACATTCCTCCTCCATTTCACTGTGTGGGGATGGGATACGGTGACAACCCCCTAGGGTTGTCGGATTGACAACCAAAGGTATTTTGGGTATGATAAAAAGGAATATATTAATTACCTTTTTTGTATTAACCAGATTGGAAATTAAAAACCCATATTAAAAATAAATTATTTTTGAAATTTAAATCCTATACATTAATATCTCTCTCTCTTCCTTTCTCCTGCGGCCACTCCGCTTTGATGGACAGACTTTTTCTCCGGCGAATTCTCTCCGGCAGACTCCCTCCGGCAACCTGAAAAAATGTACCAGTGCGTTAAAAAATGTACCAATCCGTTAGTCTACTGATAATTAATATATCAGTGCTAGTGGTACGCTAATAGTGCGTTAAAAAATGTACCAGTGCTAGTAGTACGCTACCAGTACTAGTGGTACGCTACCAGTGCTAGTGGTACGGTACCATCACCACTTGTAGCGGTACCATTAGCAGTACCAGTACCACTGGTAGCGGTACCATTGCCACTGGTAGCGTACCACTAGAGACTAGCACAAAAAAAATCAGATCTGAAATATGAAAAATCACATATCTGGAAAAAAAATCAGGGATGACGAAAGGGGGAGGCAGGGGAGAGGCGGTGACCTCGTGGCGACGGTGGTGGTGGGAGACAGAGGGCGACGGGAGGGTTGCGACGACGATGGTGGTGGGAGGAGGAGGCCGCGATGGCTGCGGGGCGGTGGTGGGAGGAGGACGAGGCGATGGCTGCGGGGCGGTGGTGGGAGGAGGATGGCGCGACGACGGGAGGGCTGTAGCAGTGATGAGAGGCGGAGGGCTTGGCGGGTCGGCAGGACGGCTGCGACGACGGTGGTGGCAACCGATAGAGAGAGGGAAGAGATGGGAGGAATAAGAAGAATAGGAAGAAGAAATATGACGTGAGAGAGAGAGAGAGAGGAAAGAGAGAATGTAGGGTTTTAGGTATTAATAGGGGTAATAATCTAGTGTGGTCAATTTTTTCGTCCAAAAATACCCTTAATCCAATTTGTACCATTGATTTGAAAAAAGAAGAAAGAGACAAGAGAGAGAATAGATCTTATGGTTATAAAATGAGTTGTCAATCTCACAACTCCCTAATGGATTTGTCACCATATCTCATCCCCACTGTGTGGCGTCGCCTTCTGCCAACCCTTTTGCACGAAGAGGTTCCTATTTTCCTAGAATTGCCAGCCAGCTATTGGGGGTTTTATACAATGAGTCAATGAGAGAGGATTTTTAGGCAACTAATTTGTACCTTATTATTGTAAGTTAACAAATATATTCCTTTAATAGTGTGTATATTATTTAGAGATAATAGTATTTTGTACTCTTTATTATGATAAGTTAATAAAATTTACCCTTCTATAATATTTTTGCACAAACATACCCTTAAACTATGAACATGTAACAAATATGTCCTTCTGTTAATTTTTCTGTTATTTGAGCGTTCAGGAGGAAATGAATGACAAGTTTACCCCTCACTTATTATCTAATTATTTTCAACCAAAAAAATAATTTCTTAATTATTCTTAATTAGTTTTCCTTCGGACCTGTCCGGTGAAGTAAAAAAGGCTTTGCGCTACTTCTCTTTCCCTCAAAAGTTACCCGACTTCAGGAACTGTACGCTAGCACCATCTGCCTTCAGGGGATGAGTTAGGATGGTTACTAATTTTTTAGTTGCCATCGTGGCTACCTACATCTCCACCCTTCATTCTCAGTATTTTTAAACCGACCATCATGATTAAATAAGGATAATTTTGGGGAAAAAATAATAACCACACTAGATTATTCTCCTTAAAATATAACTTTCTATATATTATCCCAAATCCTAAATAATTATTTCAAACCCTACTCCCTCCTTCCCTCTCCAACATAATTTATCACCGTCGATCGTCCTCCCTCCTCCCCCTCTCCGCCTCCTTCTCCCACCTTCCGCTATCTCTCTCTCCCACTCCCTCCCCACCGCCACCCTCCTGCACTTCCCTCCCTCCGTGCACCCACCCTATTGCCATTCTCCCCAACCCACTGTCACCTCTCTCTCTCTCTCTCTCTCTCTCTCTCTCTCTCTCTCTCTCTCTCTCTCTCTCTCTCTCTCTCTCTCTCTCTCTCTCTCTCTCTCTCTCTCTCTCTCAACCCTACCCCCACCAAGTTTGCCGCCCTTCTCCTCTCCTTCCCTCCCTCCTCGGCGAGTACGGGACAACAGAGGTTCTCAAAGCAATCTACGATGATGGCCATCCATTTATCTTCGACTCTCTCGCCTCAATGGTATTGTTTTTGTCGCATTGGTATTAATTTTATTATATTGGTATAGTTTTTGTCGCATTGGTATTAATTTGCATGTATTGGTATTGATTAAATATGCAATGGTATTGATTATTTGTGAAATGGTATAGATTTATATTGGTACATTGTTTATATTGGTAGTTTTCGTGTAATGGTATAGATTTATTTCTGCAATGGTATTGATATTTTTTTAAAAATGGTAGTGGTTGTCTAATGGATTGGTAGTGATTTCTTGTTTTTTTCCTTTTGCATAAATATTGAGAAAAATAAGGAAATGAGATATAGCTGGAAATTATGAGAGTGAGAGAAAGAAAGAGTATTGTAATTAATATATTTTTGTAACTGACTAAAATGTAATTTATTAAAAAATTTAATTAATGTAATTTATTTATGTTTTCATACTCAATTTACTTTTAGTAACCATGGTGATTACTACTTTCTAGTATTCACCGTAGCCGCTGCCCCATCTTCGGTGGCACTCCAACTTCCTCTTCTTTAAACTTCAGAGAAGACCTCAAAATCCAATCCCTTTGTGTCCCCGAATCTTCTTCACTCTTTCATCACTCACTAAAGGCCCCTCTATTCAAACAACGACTCAATTTCAACTCTGCCCAATCCCCAAATCACCAACCCTCGCCAAACCCTAACTCTGCCTCTAGAGAGATCCCTTTGATTGATCACCCAATCGAGGTGATTGGCCGTATCAGGAATCTTCCCGACCGTAAGTGAACCCTGTTCGTTAGAGGATGGTGGAGCTAGAGGAAGAAGCTGCAAGGTGGGAGATTCCGTCGCTATTAGATTCGGCTGCCGTCAGAGGGCCGCCGGAGGGAGGTATAGGATTGCCGGTAAAGATATTGGTGCTAACAATTTTACATTTGCTTGACAGTAAAATTGATCTTGCTGCATCTTTGATGTGTAGCAAGCAGCAACATGAGGATCTGATGTATTACATTCCCCGGAAGTTGGCTAATTAATCCCTCGTCATTACTCAGACTCGGAAACCCGCTTGAATGGCTCCTTACCTAAAGCACTGAAAGGGCTTTTCACCAGATTCATTGAGTTGAGACTTGAGAGTTGAGGCACACAGAGAAATGAACACAATTAGGTCAAATATCCAAAGTAGAAACAAAAGACGACTAATGACGAACAAAGACTCCCTGGTCGACACATCTAAATATCACAGTGCCGATCTTCCTTCTCACCTGACGCCACTTCAGCTTGTCATTACTGGCTTCTCGGCGTTGAGAGCTGCGATGCAGATTCAAATGAACTCTTCCAGGACAAATAACCAAGTTAGAAACAGAAAAAAGAAAGCCACGGGACAAACAAAAACTCAAGAACATACAACAGTATTCTCACAAATACTAACACTACAACGCCTTGCACATTTCATGTTCCTTCATAGATAATTTGACACTAGTCATTAACACGTTAAAACAACGGGCATTAGGACCCAGCTAGTTGTCAAATTTTTCGTTCCAAACTTATAACTACTTGCATTCAAGGTCAAGGATACAGAACTAATATTAAACACTGAAGGCTGGTAAACCAATAAAAAAAGTTTCCGGGAAGAAAAACAATCTACCCATCTGACTTCAACCAAGCTACAACAGAGATTCCAACATGTCTCCCAGAGCATTCCTTCCCAGAGTTTATATGCAGAAGATGATATAGCAATGACCGCTGAATGACAATTAACGTAACAGTGCCAAGTAAGTCTCTGCATATATGACCTCAGCTTCTTTAGAAGCACGCTTATACTGCATCATCGTCTTTATGAATTTAAAAGCCTTTCTGAGCTTCAACTTGCGGCGATCGGGGAAAATATGAACCCTCTCAAGTAGTGGGGCAGTGGCTAGTATGAACCTTACGAGCTCCAACTCAACCTGTGTCCCACGAACAAGAGTGACCTCGAGCACTTTAAGGCGATGTAAACAACAACCGGATCCACCGCAGTGTTCTGCTTCCAACAAGGTTACTAAGCTTGGTACCGCATCATTAGTTGCGGGCTGATTTAGCTCAGTGTCGATCTACAAGAAAATTTGAAAAGGAACCAAGTAAGAAAATGAACTATATTTTATAGAACCCCATATATAGATACTTATTACATTCTTTGAAAATAACTTTTAAGTAGATTGACAACACAAACCAACCTGAATCTTGAGCTCATACAAATTGGGGGAACTCATAATCAGACAAACAATAGCACGCACATTCCTCAAGCTGCCAAAGTCAAAATTATAGATCTGGAGGATTTTTAACTTGTGCCGAGGAGCAGGAAGCCTGGTGGGGACGTTGTTATAACCTGCAGCAAGGTACTAATTTGGGGACAAACCCAGATGAGTAACAGAAACCCAATTTTTTAAAGAACCGGGAAAAAGTTATAAACAGGAAACAATCAGACTTACTTCTAAGAACTTAAAGTCAGCAGAAAATTCTTGGAGTGTTGGCAGAGAAGCAAAGAAAGCTACCATATCTGAAGTCGTCTCGACGTTTTCGTTGTGTTTATAGTCACAAATATTAACTTCCTTCAGACGTGGAGTACCCTTGAAGCAGATTCTCTGAAACTCCCCGTAGAAAACGATACTTTGGAGACATGAATTCACAATCTCAAGATTACATGGGATACCACGGCAATACATAAGACAGAAGTTTTTTAGCATCGGGCACACGGGAAGGAAATTGTCAAAGAAATCAGTGGGCAGGGTAACTCGAATAAAAAAAAGATGGGTAAGCTTACTAAACCCCAGAAATCGTGATGGTTGTCTAAATTCGCAATTGGTGAGCCACAGGTCGTTTAGGTGAAGACAAGAAAACAAGGCAGAATGTAACTTGTAAATCACACTGTCAGGGGAATGAAAGCTAAAGGTGAACTCACGGAGACCTCTATCAGAAAGATAGATGATGATTTGATCAATCTCATTGTGTAAGCAGGGGCTTATTCCACCAAACACAAGCCGAAAATTTGTTATTGGCCCATCATGAAGCAAGAGAACTTTGTATACGGTGAACATAAACTTGTTCATCATCATCTCGTCTTGATCAGCTGAGTTGGCAGCCAAGAACTCAAGTCGAGGGATACTTCTCCAATGGCGCCTCCACTTTGTTGACAAGGTGGCCATTCGGGCAGCAAGTGGGGTGGGCAACAATAACTGAATCCGCTGAATCACCTCCACAGGAAGGTTGGTAATTCTATCGGCACTTGCTTCGGACAGTCCGCTCATCCCTACCACTATATATATATATATATATATATATATATATATATGCTTCTACATAAAGATCCAAGCAAGTGACCCCAAACCAACATATCAGCCAATGAGGTGATTCAAGCATATACTTACTGACAGACATATGCAAGCTTCTCCTGAGTTCTAGCAATTAACCATCAGCGTATATCATATACCAAATCAGATAAGAGTAGTAATTACCTTCTTGTTCACGAAAAGGCGGGAGCGAAAATGCTGAAACCGCCGAGACCCTCGATTTTTCTCTGCGTTGCTTTACTATAACAGGAGGAGGGCGAAGGCATGAGCTCGCACGAGTAGTGGACAGGATCCTTGGTGCAGCAGAGCTTCAAGTTAGGGCTTGGGATTCAGTTCCAGAACCAAATTGGGGACGAGATTGGTCGCCGAAACCACACCGCAGACTGTTGTTGGGCGAACACAAACCTCACGGTTTTTAGCTCACTGAAAGAGGCAATTTAACGACTGCTGAAGGGAGTTTCTAGGTTACTGCAATACTTCCCAAGGAAGTTTTGTGGAGTGGGGGTTTTCTTTTCTGTAGCTTGAGATGACCAGTACCTGCCAGGCGCAATGCCCAATGGCGGTGATAATCATCACCTTTTACACTCGATTATAGTCAGAAGGAGAGAGGGTGAGAACTGAGAGGCGCCAATTAGAAGCCTTTTTCTTATTTCTCCGCAAACTATTTTCCTTTCTTTCCCATCCCTTCTTTGTTCTTCGATTTCTCATTTCTCTCTTTTTCTCAGCTGAGGTTTGGAATCAGTTCGCCAATGGAGTCTCTGGTTCTTGGGAGAATGAGTGCAGTGCTATTCTGCAGTTTTAGAGGCGGCAATGTGGCAGATTTCGTGAATCGTGGGATCAATATGGACCAAATTTCATCAATATGGACCAAATTCCTTTTTTTTATCCAACCTATTCTTTTTTTTATTGAAAAACCCCATGATTGATTTTATTTCTGTGTATTGTTTGGTTGGGGTATTTTATCCAACCTATTTTTTTTTAATGAATTCTGTGAATGTTTATGTGGAAAAAAATTCAAAATACACATGTTTTTAAAATGAATTCTCAAAATACACACGTTATAAAAAAAATTCTCAAAATACACATGTTTGGGCATCACCGTTGTTGTCAACCGCTGTGAATTAGGGATGGCAACAAAACTCGAACCCACGGGTACCCACCCGGTCAACGCGGGTAAAATCCGTGTTGAATGGTTTTGGGCCAGGTTTGGGTTTAAACCCGTTCACTATTAACTGGGATGGGTTGGGTTTGGGTTTAGGTAAACCCGACCCATGGGTACCCGCCCACACCCATATAGTTAATTTTCTCGGTATATTTAATATTCTAAACAACTAATCTTATTTATGTTTGTGGAGACATGTCTAATTTTTTCTTTCAAATTGTGTAGAATGAAGTTGATGTTATCGAGTGGAGAGCGAAGAAACTTAATTGAAAGGAAGAAGCTTTCAATTAATCATGTTATTTATGAATAATTTGTGATTTGCTTGAATTTTCTTGAGTTTTCTATATTGGTGTTGAACAATTTGTATACTTAATTTGTGATTTGCTTGAATTTTCTAGAATGATGTTTTATATATGGATAATTTGTATTGAGAGATTGATATTTGACTTTAATTTTGATAGGAACTTGTTATTGTAAATTTTTTACGACAAAAACCCATGGGTGCCCATGAACCCACGGATACCCAGCGGGTTGGGTTTGAGTTTTTCAAACCCTGTGGGTTTTACCCCGGTTTTTTTCACGGATAAACCCATGAGTTTGGTTTTGGGTTTGGCAAAACCCTACCCATTGACATCCCTACTGTGAATGCATTCACCGTGGCAGACCAAAGCGGTGAATGCATCACCGCGGCATACCAAAGCGGTGAATGCATCACCGCGGTTACAGCCACGGTGAATGTCTAACGTTACACTGAAACTTCAAACAAACGTAACTTTGCGCTCGGTTATCCGATTGTAGCGAATTTATTTTTATTCCACATAACTTTTCAAGATCTTTCAATCTAAAATAGACTTCATCCCAAAAAAAAATCATTTGCTACCCCGAACGAGCAATTTTTTGATTTGGACAAACTTTGGAAGATCATAACTTTGTGCTCCACAATGCAAATGTCATGAAACTTTTTTTGATTTTGCATAACTTTTGAAGTAAAGACAAAGTTATTTCCAAAATCCTGTATACCCAAAAATACTTCTTTTAAAAAAAATTATTTCCTAGTAAAAGTTGTAGTTCTTAAAAATTTATGCGCAATAAAAAAAACTTTACGACGTTCGGATTGAGGAGCTAAAATTTATGTCCTTCCAAAGTTTGGCAAAATTGAAAAATTGCTCGTTCGGGGTAACAAACGACATTTTTTTAGATGAAGTCTTCTTGCAGATTGAAAGATCTTGAAAAGTTATATGGAATAAAGTTTTTTGGCTGCAATCGGATAACCGAGCGCAAAGTTACGTTTGTTTGAAGTTTCAGTGTTAAGTCAGGCATTCCCCTCGGCCGTCAACCGCGGTGATGCATTCATCGCTTTGGTCTGCCGCAGTGAATGCATTCACTACGGTTGACAAGCTCGGTGATGCCCAAACATGTGTATTTTGGGAATTTTTTTATAACGTGTGTATTTTGAGAATTTTTTTTAAAACATGTGTATTTTGGAAATTCGTCGTGTTCCTGTATAGTGAACTGGTGCTATTATAATTTAATTAAAAATTAGGTGTAATACTGTATGATATCTAATTTCTCTTTTGAATTAGAAATGATACATATTTATTCACGTACTCAATTTTTTTTTGTTCGATGTACTCAAAATTTTAAACATCATACGGTGATAGAATCTCTCAAAACTATGAATTATCAACAATACAAATCATAATATATACACGGTGGCTTATTTAGTGTACTCATACAAATGAGTGCATTCAATGCACCTAATTTTAAAGGTAGTTTTAACAAATTGAATTTTAATTTTAATTGATAGCACAATAAATTCATGCATTACGCTAAGCCCAAAACCTTCAATTCTGAACCCTAACTCTAAACCCCAAATTGTAAACCCTAAACCTAAAATCATAATGTAAGAAACACGCTTCTTCGAGTTCCTTACGATTCACATGACCAGATAGAATAGAAAGAGATTTAGCGATTGAGAGAAAGAATTAGGGATTAAGGATGAGAATTGAGAAGAATTGGGATAGGAAGAACAAATTTGGGGATTGAGAGGAAATTAGGAGAAAATGAGAGAAACAAACTAAATAGGGTCTGATTATTGATTTTTGCTTAATTCCGAATGAAGGTTCCAATACATATTTATAGAGAAATACTGGAATAAACCTGATAATAATCCTAATACTACTCGAATACTACTAACCCCTCTAATAAATACCATACCATAACTAAATAGAGAAACCCGTGGAAAGTGTATTTCTAACACATAAACTCTAAATCCTTCAAATTAAAGTAAATCTTTTTGGTGCAAATTCATTTGTTCTCTTGTCCATCAAATGAAAATTGGATCATTTTGACATGAATTGCCTGATTAGAACGGCATTTATGAGACAAGTGAATTGAAAGTATAAAAAAAGTGAGTGCACCGAAGACAAATTATTCGAGTGTATTACTGTGTATAACAAGGGTCAGAGATTAAGCATACATAGCAGCAATAACAACCAAGCAAAAATGTCAAGGCAGAACAACAAACTCACTGAACCAACAACTGAAATTGCAAATGAAGTTAAAGGAATGTAGGTGGTATGAAATTATTGAGTGAAATACTCTTTGCAGTCTTGCTAAGTATGCCGATTTGACAATGAGAACCACTTATGAAATTGCTAAGTAATTACATGATGAGATGTTCTATATATGGATCCAGTTGCTGCACTGGTGGCACTCGTCTGCCACATTCTTGGCACTAAACTCTCGAACGGTCAGAGCTACTACAATAACAAACAAAACAAAAAACAAAACAAAACATGTATCTTTGAAAGCCTTCATGTTGCAGGAAGCTTGATAGAAGATGAGGAGGCAAAAATGGTGGTGCATCATAGGCAGCAACTACAGAGGTGGGAGTGGTTCTCTTCACTGTAATCATATAGGACCTGCGCTTCTTTAGATATACGCTTATATCGCATCACCTCCTTCATAAATTCGAAAACCTTTCTGGAGCATAATAGAGAAGACGGCTTAATCTCAATCCTCAAAAGATTTGGGGCTGTGGCAAGTATGATCCTGACAAGTTCCAACTCAAGCGGTGCCCCAAGGCCGTCTTCAATTGCAAACACTCTGAGATGCTGCAAACACGGTCCACGACGGAGTGCTGCTTCTAACAAGGTTCCTATGCTAGTCGCCAAGTTATCTGCAAGCTGATTTCGCCGGCGAACCATGCACTGCAAGAGCATTTAACAAGGAACAAGGCAATTAGCCTGAGTAGGTTAAAAAAAATTGTTTTTACAGGATTTTTGCAGCTTTCAAACACACAAACCGCGACCTGAATCACGAGTTTATGCAAGTTGGGAGCACTCGAGATTAGGAAAACAAGAATGCGCTCCCCCAAACTAGTAATGACATTAAGATAGATGTGGAGTCTTTTCAGCCGGCAATGAGGGGAAGGAAGCCTGGTGGAGACATGACCAGCTTTACCAAGTACCTGCAACAGGACCATACACATACACACAATAGGGAAAATGTCGTGATGAACTTACTTCTAAAGATTCTGATGCTACAGCAAACCGCTCAAGTACCCGGAGAGAAGCTAATAAAGCTGCCAAATCAGGGTTCCACAACCCGCCATATACAGAAAGTCGCAGTACTGACAGACGTGGAGTACGCTTGAAGCATAGTTTCTGCAATTCCCCCTCAAAGTTGAACAGCTTGAGCCGTGGAGCATCTAGCTCAAGCTTTTCAAGGCCAGTGCAGGAGGCTATAAGCATACTTGTAAGCAATGGGCACTTGGGAAGGAAATTCTCAAAGAAGTCTGATGGCACGTTTACTTTCATTAGACGGAGTTTTTTAAGCTGACCGAACCCAACAAACCACGGTGGTACCACGAACAAACAACGTTTCAGTTTCAGATAATTCAGTCGAAGAGCAGCAAACAAGGAGGATGGCAGCCTGTACCAGCTGTGAGAGTCTTTACTGGAAAGGACAAGGGTGAAATGCTGGAGGACACCGCAGCCAGAAAGATGCACAATGATGTGATCAATCTCGTGGCAGGGGTTCAATCCGGGAACTGCAAGCACGAACTTGGTCACCGGCCCATCGCAAGCCAGCAGAGACTTGTAGATGTTCGGAATCAACTTATCGTTCGGTTCAATCGGAGCAAAACCATCGTCGAACACAAGTTGAGGAATGCTTCTCCAGTGACGCCTCCAGGTGCTTGACGAGAGAGCTGTTCTGGCTGCATCTTTGATGGGCAACAACATGAGGATGTTATGTATCACATTCTCAGGAAGCCGGCTAATTAGTTCGTTTTCGTCACTAGGCTCGCCAACCCACTCCATTGATCTTTCTGCCTAGCTATTAAAATTTCTAGCAGACAGAGTCCGCCCTGCAACTAAAAATAACCTAAAAGTTCTTTAGTTCTCGTAAGTTGCAGCTAGCCGTCAACACCCATATATGACAAAGACAAGGGGGAAGTTACCTGATTCACGAAGGGTTATTTACTTATGTTCCAGCAAGAACGGAGAGGCTGTAAACTGCCGAGGCTAGGGCATGAGTTCGCCAGTCGCCATATATTTACAGAACAAAGGGATCATAAGCAGTGGCGGACCAAGAAATTTTACATAGGGGTGTCTTTTTAAAAAAAATAAATTAAATACAAATAATTCTAAAATAATTAATAAAAAATATATAATATTTAAATAAGAAATACTTTACTCATACCGTTTGAAAAAATTCACAATGTGTTTTCATATTAAAAAATGATTGTAGAACACACTTGGGATCTACACTATTAAAAAAAATTGTCTCTATATATCATATTAGACAATCATTCACGAACTGATCACATATTCAATTTCTAAACTTGTTCTTGATGTAATCTAAAGCTGAAAAGACTCTTTCAATACTTGTTGTACAACCATAAATCAATACAAATTAAGGGTAGCTTGAAATTTGTTTAATTGTTAGATTTTGAAAATAATTAGAGATAGAGAATGACATTATACTATTACACAGTGTTTAAAATCGAATAACATATGAGTTGTAGCCTAATGAAAATTATGTTTATTAATAATAAAAGTGTCCTAGGTTTGAATTACCCAAACTACGACTTATATTCTCATACTCAAACTAAAAGATGAGAGTAGCATAATCACTTTTTTAAATTTAGGGGTGTCCCCGACTATCAATTATAATTTTTTTGTCAATACGTAAATTACTACCGGGGGTTGGATAATCGTTTTCCCAAAATTTAGGGGTGTCCAGTCCAGGGACACCCATAAACAGCCGTGGGTCCGCCCTTGATCATAAGACGTGAAGTATGGGGCATCTGGAATGTTAGACCTAGACTCTTTTGTACTGTTTACTCTTTGGTTGGTGTTTTTTTTTTTGTAATTGTCCTTATTTACGAGTGTGTCATGTGGTATATGGTATTAGAGTTTGATTTGTCCTTGAGGCCACGTGTTCAATTTCTCATGACCTTTAATATTAACCGTTGTGTTTAAAGCACATGGTATGGCGGATCTGTGCAAATTTCAAGCCCATGAGTTGGCTTTGTTTTTCTTGGAGTTTTTCCTCAAATATTATACTATAAAAAAGTATTATCCAAAATATTGTGGTTGTAAAAATATTTCTAAATCTATTGTTCATAGTAGGGATGGCAAAAATATCCGTAACCGTGGATATCCACCCGAATCCGACCTAATCGGGTAGGGTAAAACCCGAATCCGAAGCATTTTTCGTGGTTACGGGTAAAACCCGAACCCGAATATTGCGGATAATGGGTGAGCATGGTTATCTCACTATCTAACCCGAACCCGTCCGATTATACACATGCATATGTATTTTGTCTAGAAATAATCATTATGTTTCTCTAGAATATTTTATATTTAGCATATAAATATAATATTTTTCATGAAATTATGTTGTTTTAATTAATTTTCGTCATTCTAGTGAATTATTGTCGTACTTTTCCTCTTACGTAAAATGAGTATACGTGTGAATGTTAACATATTGGTTGGAATTATAAGGAGAAATTATTACCCATGGATAACCGTGGATACCCGAAATCCGAATGGGTATGGGCATGGTTTTTATTTTCTACCCGTTTCTCGAGTGGGTACGGGCATGGGTAAAACCCGAACTACATTGGGTAGGGTAACGGATATGCACTATCCGCCCCCGACCCGACCCATTGCCATCCCTAGTTCATAGAAGTAAGTCGAATTGACTGTAAAGTCCAATTGTTAGGTATTACTTAAAATATTACAACTGTTTAGTAATCTCCTTGTAAGATTTTTTGTTTTTTTATTAATTTTGAGGTGAGACTTTTAAGCTAACTCTAAAGGGGGAAAAAGCAAGAACGAGACCACATCTAGGTCATTTTAAAAGAAATACTTGTTAAGTAATATGATATGATGATAGAAATCAATTATGAAATTGCGAAGTAATTGCAAGAATATAATGATATTATATCATGAGTCATGACTCAATGCATTGGTGCCACATTGTTAGCTCTATAGTCCTAGACTATTGAATGGTCTTTTCCGGTCTCGTCTTCCATGACTCGCTTAAACGATCGCAATCTCGGAGTTAATACATACCCACCATAGCCACACGTGAAGCAACCACTAGCTAAACAACCGACTGCAATCAGCAATCAGCATGTGTTCTTGTGGTGGAGAATTATGTGTTGTTTTTACGTTTAATTTATAATGTTTACCAAATTCAAGTCGTTTTTAAGAAGATAATGATGATTCTTGAAGTGTTCATTCAACAAATCCAAATTTTCTACAGCAGGCGAGATACACACTTGAAACAGCTACTCACCTGAAGTATTAATACTACAAAAGAAACGAACACTTTCAAGCCAAATATCCAAAATAGAAACAAAAGAAAGCCAACGACGCATAAAAACTCGAACAATAAAGGAAAAGGTATCCTACAGATCCAGCGCTTAACATATATTCCCGTCAGGCTAAATTACATGTTTGGTCACTCAAATTACATTTATGTTTCACGTTTGCCACTCAAATTACTTTTCTTTCTTATTCGCCACTAACTTTATGAATCGTTTCACCGTTAGTCACCTGCCGTTACACTCCGTTAGGTTTGTCCTATGTGGCAGTCAACAGTAAAGTTTGACCGTTAACCAGATGACATGGAAATTAGAAAAAAAAATAAAAAATAAAACAATTTTCCACATCATCATTCCCATTTACTTTATCTATATTAATAATTCAATAAAAGTTAATTAAACTACAAAAATTATGTGTTCATCCTCCGGAACGTTGCAGAATTTCGAACACCCCTAGAGAATCTAAAGCTCTTGAACCTCAGCTTCAACTACTTCAATGGCGAGATCCCTCCCTCGTTCCAGCGATTCCCGCTCCATTCCTACTGCGGCAACGCCTTGCTCTGCGGCCAGATGCTCAAGCGCTGCTCGACGGCGGATTCCGCACCGCCTCTTCCACATCCCCCTTCGTATCAGCTCCCAACCTCCAATTCCACTAGGAAGAGGAAGCTGAGCAGGAATTTCATCATCACGGTATCAATTGCAGGGACGGCGATTCTTTTGATGGCGGTTCTGTTAGCGGTGGCGTCGGAGGAAAAATGGGAAACGGAAAGGCGAAGGAGGAAACAGCAACGCCAAAACGAAGTCGTTTGGGAGCAGAGTGCAAGGTGCGGAGAAGAACAAGCTCTTCTTGTTCGAAGGTAGTGGCCGAGTGAGAATGGGTACAGTTTTGATTTGGAATATATGCTGAGGGCGTCAGCGGAAGTTTTGGGGAAAGGGAGCTTGGGGGCGACGAACAAGGCGGCGCTGGAGGACGGAAGCTGCGTGGCGGTGATTGGTGAAGCGGCTGAGAAGGCTCCCGTCCGAATGTGGTTCCTCTGAAAGCTTACTGTTATTCCAAAGATGAGAAGCTCTTGGTTTATAATTACTTTCCCGTCGGTAGCTTCTCCTCCCTCTTACAATGTAAGTAGATAATAGATCACTCAGATCTTACTTTCAATTGATAACATTGGGTATTTGCTTTAGCCTCAACCGAATGGAATTAGGATTGCCAACATATTCTAGAACGTTAATGGAGAAGGAATGAGAAGGCCGCTAGAGTGGGAACCAAGAATGAAGATCGTCATCGGAGCAGCGAGAGGAATCACGCTCATTCATTCCCAATTCGACGGAGCAGCGAGAGTAATCACCCACAATCAGCCCGTCTCTTGTGGCCGCACAATGATTTTTCTTCCTCGCCGGAAAAAGCTAGTGCTCTGTTTCAGCTATTAAATCTTCCCGGCCGCTGTTATTTAATTTTTGTAATTTATTTAAATTTTATTAAATGATTAATATGATAATTATATAGACAAAGTAAGTGGGATTATGAGGTGGAAAATTAAATTTTTTTATTTTTTATTTTTTTAAATTTACACGTCATCTAGTTAACGGTCAAATTTTAAAGTTGACTGCCACGTAGGAAAAATTTAACGGAGTGTAACGGCCGGTGACTAACGGTGAAACGATTCGTAAAGTTAGTGGCGAATAAAGAAGAAAAGTAATTCGAATGGCAAATGTGAAATATTTGTGTAATTTGAGTGACCAAACGTGTAATTTAGCCATTCCCATCATATCCGCGAAAGCATTCATTTCCAAGACAACGAAGCAAAATGGCAAATGGCGGTGTCAATCCTGCTCGTCATTCCAGTCATAAAAGACTTGTGCTTCTCTGGAAATACGCTTGTACTGCATTACTTCCTTCATGAATTTGATGACCAATTTGGGGCACAGCTGTTGAAAAGGCTTTATTCGAATCCTCAACAGTAGTGGGGCCGTGGCTAGGACGAACCTCACTAGCTCAAGATCAACTCCTTTACCAAGGGTATCATCAATTTCAAACAATTTAAGACGCTGCAAACAGCAACCGGTTTGGGGCCAAGCGACAGTTTCCAACAAGCTCTGCCTGCTACATTGTCCGGAAGAGCAGCGCTGCAAGAGCATTTGACAAAGAACGATATCAGGCCGGACACCAGACACAATACTTTCATGTTCAATAAATCACCAAGTCCGCAACCAGACTTTCGCACATTGAGAGAACAGAAAGGAACCTTAATTGAGAGCTCACGCAAGTTGGGGGAAGTATTGATTAGGTAAATAAGAACACGCTTCATCTCCAAATCACTATAGATAAAAGAAGTTAAATTGATAAATATCAACTCCTGAAGGGGGAGCATGATAGGGACATCACCACCTTTAGCAATTACCTGAGAGAAGACCATACAAGAACGAATCATATATTGATCAGCTGCTTCATTCAAAGTAGAGAAACCCAGATGGTTATTTTGGAAATAACAGCAAAATGTCATGAGTAACTTACTTCAGGACTTCAGATGATACACACAAACGCTGAAGTACCGGGGTAGAAGCAAATAAATCTACCATTTCAGGGCATCCAAACAAATACACCATAAGTTTTAGTTCGGACAGAAGTGGCATATGTTTGAAGCACAGTTTCTCTAAATTCCCTTCAAAGACGAACACTTCGAGTCGTGGAGCATCCAGTTCAAAAATTACAGGGCCGTCGCAAAACAATATTTTCTAAGTCTTTATCATTGGGCACTTGGGAAGAAAACTCTCAAAGAAATCAGATGGCAGGCCTACTTCTAGTAAGAAAAGATATGTAAGCTTACTAAATCCAACAAACCAGGTCGGCGCCATCAACAAACAATTTTGCAGTTCCAGACGATTCAGTAGAGGAGCAGTAAACAAGGAGGAAGGCAGCTTGTAACTGACAAAACCTACGGAAAACTCAAGGGTTAATTCTTGGATACCTCTTCCAGAAAGATGAACAATGATGTGATCAATCCCATCACAGGGGGTTAATCCAGGAATTGCAAGCACAAACTTGGTCACCGGCCCATCGTGAACCAGCAAAGATTGGTAAATGCTTAGAATTAACTTGTTCAGCATGCCAGGACCACTGATTTGTGCGAAACCATTACAAAATACAAGTTGAGGAACACTTCTCCAATGGCCCCGCCAGTTTGTTGACATGATGGCTGTTCTTGCTGCATCTTTTATTGGCAGCAGCATCAGAATGTGATGTATAACACTTTGAGGAAGCTGACAAATTCTGCCATTGCTCGACTCGCCAACCCCATTCATCCTATTGCTATGCTCTGCATAAAGTTCATTGAAACAGGAGCATTCATCAATAATCAGTTATACGGATGCATATAGAGGAAGGAGTGGTTAGTGCTTGTTTACCTTCTTGATTTCACTTACTAGTAAGTTGCAACGGTGCCACGGACCCTTCTGTGCTGATTTTCAATTACAGGACAGAAAATGATCAAAGGCCCCATCTATATACTGAACAGAGGGAGAAGAAGTGGGAAAAAGGCTGGCGGCTGATGCAAGATCTTAGGGGAGTGGAAAAGACTTATAGGGCATTAAACACACTTTGATTCTATACAATTCATATAAATGGAATGCAGCCTTCTGGCATTCCCAAGAGAGCATGGTAGAAGGAATTTGGACTGTCCATCTGAATACGCCTTGTAGTTTTTGGTATTCGACCATGCATGCATGATGCATCAGATCCTTTGGACTTCACTCCAAGAGTCGTGGTTCCAAATTATTGGTGAAACATTTATGATTTACAACGGTCCTCCTATCAATAAAGATGGAATACGTTTAATTGTTTGACAACTACTGCTAGATCTAGAGAAAGCAGACAGAGACTGAGTCTGGATCAGGCAAAAGGATCGCAAGAAATTCTCGTTCAGTATCACAAGAAAGGTTATGACCCTAGCCTTTTCCTGAAATGCCATGACAGTCTCCTATGCCCTTCATTCACAATCACAAAATGGAATAGTGAAAAAGGTTGATCTCATCTCGCTAACCCTTCAAATGGTATGGTACTACACCTCGCTTGTTTAGGCAGGTCAATCTTCTCCTATGCATCAACCCCAACATAATCTCCTTGGCTAAATAAACTTATAACGCAAGTTAATTTCATGCATCACAAGCATGCTTGATGTTTCTGAGACCAGATAATTGTTTCTTTGCTATTGTCCACAATATCGGTTGAGTTCATCAATCAAGACACCAATGGAGCATCTAGTATGCTGATTTCTCCTGACTTGCTCGTTCAGAGGAAATTCGGAGATTAAGCATACATAGCAGCAATAACAAACAAATAAAATGTTCAGGCAAAAAAAAAAAAAAAAAAAACTGAAACCTTTGGAAGCATGCTCACAGTGTGTCGCCTCCTTACTGAAATTGACAGCCGTTAGAATTTTCGGGATTCGATTTCAGCTTGATCACAACTTCACCATCTCCAGCTCGATCTGAGTACCTCGAGTTCTCATGAACTTTTCAATGAACTGAAAACAAGTTGCAGGAATGTCCATCTGAATACGGCTTGGAAAGCATCAGATGCTTTGAATTTCACTTCAAGAGACGTGGTTCCAAATAATTTCACTACAAACCTACTAGGGGTGTTCATAACAGACCTAATGACATGAAATCGCCACCGAACCCACTTCACTCAATCCCAAGAAAAAGCTTCCACCATTTCAATGCATAATGACTTGTTCCAAACAACTGGAATAATTCTACCATTCTACTTACTAACTTGTCATGCTGCAGGTTTGATGGATTCCACAAATCCACTGCTGAGCAGCCGCTCAACGTACTTGCCCAGAATGTCCACCTCCAAGTTCACCTTCTGCCCAACATTCTTGAAAGGGATCACAACCTTCTGCTGCGTATAAGCCACGAGCATGAAATTGAAGCAGCTCTCCTCATCAAACACATCAACCACCGTCAGACTCGTCCCGTCCACCGCGATAAACCCTTTCGGAACAACATACTTCAGCAGCCCTCTGTCCACCTTCACCTTCACCCACAGCGAATCCCCTTCTGGATCCTTGCCAACTATCTCCCCCGTCCCGTCCACGTGTCCCTGCACGAAATGCCCGCCCATCCGGCTCGTGGGCTGAACCGCCCGCTCCAAGTTCACCGCCGAACCGGCCTCGAGCTCTATCAGGGACGTCTTCCGAAGAGTCTCAGGGGATAAGCCCACGGTGAAGTCTTCGTCGGTGAACTCGGTCACCGTGAGGCAGGTGTCGTTGACGGCGATGCTGTCGCCAAGATGGACGCCCTCGAGGACGGTGCTGGCTCGGATCTTGAGGTCGAATCCGCCGTCGGCGGTGTTGCCCAGGTGCTTGACTTGCCCCATTTCTTCGACGATTCCAGTGAAGAGCGATCGGATGGTCGAGGAGGGAAATCGGGTTTGGGGCAGGGATTTAGGGGTTCTGGTAAAGAAGAGAGATCGTGTGCTGGGATTCGAAATTGAAGTGGAGAATTTGAGATTGGACTTTTGTGGGAGTAGATTCAGTACTGTGATTGCAGTTGGAGATGATGGGCGGCTTCTCATGGGACAGCAAATCCTACTGGGAGCTTTGACCATAGATGAGAAAGAAGAACAGACTGCCATTTCTGTCTTCTTCTGGATACAGTCGAGTGAGACGCTCCAAAAGGATACCCTATTTTGCGGCTGTGGAATCAATTTGGGACGATTGGAAAAGGAATTGGAGAAGCAGATGGGAAGAAAGATTCTGCAAAAAAAAATCCTCAGGTGGAGATGTTTGTTTTTGCCCTAGGCTAGGCAGATTTTTTTTTTTTTTTTTTGACAATAAGGTTCAACTTTTATTCCATCACCAATACGAAGACAGAGGTTACAAACTTTAAAGGAAGTCAGAAATTAGATCAAGAACACTAATCCAGTCATCTGGGAGAGAAGATCTAGCAAGTGATCGCGCAACCCAATCTGCTCTAACATTAAATTTACGCGCAACCGCCTTGACCTTGATTTGAGGGTTTGCTCTCAGGATTGAAACCATGGTTCCAATCCAGGCTGCTCCTCGCCATGGCCAACTTCTAGAATCTTGATTAAGAGCTTTCACTAACGTCTGGCAGTCAGACTGGACAACACATTCAGTGCCATATTCTTGAGCTAATTTGAGACCTTCCAAAAGAGCTTTTGTTTCGGCTTCGAACGGGGTGGAACAAAGGAGGGTGTCAGCTCGCCCGTCACACACTTGCCCATGATGGTTAATGACAACAACACCATATGCCGCCGGCTGGGAGTCGTTTAAGAACGACCCATCACAGTGAATCACAAAATTATGATTGCTTGGCGGTGGAGAAGTGAGCGAGTGGGCTCCCCTGAGCTGAGGAGAAGGAGAGCAAAGGAGGGGCATCCTCGGACAGGTCGTCCATTCAGTAAGATCCTTGTATGTTCTCATAATCACATTCGGATGCCAAGGGATCCGATTCTTGAACACACACTCATTTCTTGCCTTCCAAATATTCCAGCAGAGGAAGATAACATGGAACATGGCTCTTGCGTGGATAACATCCTTTAAAGAGTACAACCAGTCAAGGAAGGCAGTAGACTGGGCAGGAATTGGGAGGGATGGGAAGATAGTGGTCCAAGATTCTCTTGCATGGTCACACAAGAAAAGGCAGTGGACGAGAGACTCAATGGGGCATTGGCATACTTGACATATCGAGTTAGGAGAGCATTTCCTTTGAAAGAGTTTCTCTTTTGTTGCAAGCCCGTTCTTAGCGCACCTCCAAACGAAGAACTTAAGTTTTGGAGGGATATCCAGGTTCCACATCCATTTCCACTTTTCCATATTGGCAATCGTTTGGGGTTCCGTTGAGGCTAAGTGTACCGCATGGTATGCTGTTTTGACAGTGAAGACACCAATCTCATTCAATTTCCACGCCCAGAAGTCCTTAGAATCCATTTCCCCAATGGGAATTCTCAAAATTGCGTCCATTTCCGAAGAAGACACTTGCCCTTGGATCATATCATAATTCCACTTCCTCCCCTCCTGATCGATCCAAGAATTGACACGAATATGATCTTGAGGTCCACTCTGAATGCTTGCCTTATGGAGGGAGGGGACCCAAGGATCTTGATCAATCCATGAGTCGTCTCCAGACCCAATCACTCTCACTGCTCCCAAATTGACAACTTTTCTGGATTCCCAGAGGCTAGCCCAGATCCACGATGGTTTGCTTCCTTTTTTCGCTGTGAGGAAGTTACCTCTAGGGAAGTAGAGACCTTTGAGGAGTCGGCTCCAAAGGGCATTAGGGGTGGTCAGGAGTCGCCAGGCTTGCTTTGCCAGAAGGGCCAGATTAAAATCTCTAAAGCTTCGAAAACCCAGACCTCCTTCTGACTTCGGGGCACAAAGTATTTCCTTACTACACCAGTGTAGGCTGCTCTTTTGCATCGACCCTGACCAGAAGAAGTTACTGAGGAGAGAATCCATCTTCTTTGTTAGAGAAACTGGTAGGAGGAAGAGGCACATAATGAAAGATGGAATAGCCTGGATCACAGCTTTAAGGAGCACCTCCTTCCCTCCATGGGAAAGGAGGAGGCTCTTCCATGCTTCCCCCATCTTTTCCATCCTTTGGATGAGGAAGTAGAAAGTCTCCTTCTTTGAGTTTCCCCATTCGGTTGGGACTCCTAGATATTTGGAGTGACAGTTGGTAGGGGCAAACCCAATGTGAGTGATAATGTCGTTCTTTTCCTCCGTTGGAACATTCGCACTGAAGAAAACAGACGACTTGTTGATATTGACCTCTTGACCAGTGATTGCTCCATACTTATTGATGATCTCCACGATTCTACCTGCCTCCTGAGTATTAGCTTTTCCAAAAATGACTGTGTCATCTGCAAAAAGACAATGGGTGAGGATGGGACATCTAGTGTTAAGCTTAATCCCCTTAATGCGATCTTCCGACACAGCCTTGTCAACAAGGAAAGTGAGAGCATTAGACATAAGGATGAAGAGGAATGGGGACAATGGGTCTCCCTGTCTAATGCCTCTAGATGGACAGAAGGTCTCCGATGCTTCACCATTGAACAACACGGAAAATCTAACAGTTCGGATACAACTGCTAACCCATCTGCACCACTTATCATTAAAACCGTATCTTCTCAGAAGAGTTTCCAGGCATTCCCAATCAACCATGTCATATGCCTTCTTCATATCCAGTTTCAGCATCATATCTCTCCTGTTGCCCAATTTGTGGTTCTTGAAATGATGTAATACTTCGTGAACAATAATGATATTGTCCTGGATGAGACGACCGCTTGTGAATGCTGTTTGAAGCTCAGAGACAATGGACGGGGTCCATTTCTTCAATCTGGTCGCCATGATCTTTGATATGATTTTGTACCTGAAGTTGCAGCAACTAATGGGGCGGAATTGCCCAATGTTTTCCGGATGGTCAACCTTTGGTACCATCACAATGTGAGTGTCATTCCAACCTTCCGGCATAGATGCAGTCTCAAAAAAATCCTTTATTTCTCTGCAAAGTGTTTCACCAATAGTATCCCAGTACTTCCTGTAGAATTTTCCTGAGAACCCATCCGGACCAGGAGCTTTTCGGGCTCCTAAAGAGAACACTGCCTTCCTAATCTCCTCATCGCTAATAGTCGCAGTGAGGTCTTCATTCATCTCTCCTGTAACCATCGTTGGAAAGCCTTGAAGGAGATGGTGGAAAGCAATAGGAGATCTTGCCTTGAAAAGACCTTTGAAAAACCCCACTGACATACCCTTAAGCCTTGCTTCATCTTCCACCCAATTCCCCAGATCATCCATTAGGCGAAGGATTTTGTTTTTGTGTTTCCTGAAAATTGTGCTGGAATGGAAGAAGGAAGTATTTTGGTCCCCTTTTTGTAGCCAATTGACTCTGGAGCATTGGCTCCAAAAGCTTTCCTCTTCCAGCCAAATTTTATTCAGTTCTTCTGTGAGGTTCTTTTCCTCCTCCACATTTTCCTGCACCCTTGGAGGTTGGTGGAGGACATCCAACCTATTCACAATTTCATTTTCCCTAAGAATCCTATTCTTATGGAAATCTTTTGACCACGCCTTCAGTTCTCTCTCGCATTTGCTCAGCTGGTTGCTAGATTGCCCACTCGGATCCCATTCTCTACAAACAATCTCCTTACATTCTTCTTTCTCCAACCATCTCTCATCTATTCTGAACGGATTTCTTCTTCTGCTTCCTTGATAGTGTAGGTCGATCCTAATTGGACAGTGGTCTGAGCTCACCATTTTTTCATGAAACACAACCGCTTCACCAAACTGCGCTCTCCATGATGGTGAACACAACACTCGGTCCAGCCTTACTCTGACTAAGTTTGCTCCCGTCCGCTTATTTGACCAAGTGAATGGGCTTCCTTTGAACCCAATATCGATGAGGGCATTGTCAAAGATGAACCTTTTGAAAGGTTCTACATTCTCGTATCTAAGCGGGCATCTCCCCTCCTTTTCATTCTCATAAACCGCAGCATTAAAATCACCTACAATGACCCAGTTGTCTCCCCTACTACTCCGAAGGGAACTTAAGTGCTCCCAAAAATCCCTTCTACTAACAGCTGTAGTCGGGGCATGAACAAAAGTACAAAAGAACTTCTTCCCCATGTCAATGCTAACATCAACATAATACCTATCACTGCTGATTACATCAATACTAATACCCGCCTTCCACCAAATTGCGAAGCCCCTTGACGAGTTGATCGGATCGACATACTCTCGATTGGGGAAAATCTTGATACTTCTTCTATGTTCCTCCATGAATTCTTCACTGTTGCAAGTTTCCATAAGAAAAACAATAGAAGGGCCATGACGCCTAATAAGACGCTTAGCATAATTTCTTGTAAGGGATTGGCCAAATCCCCTACAATTCCAACTCACTATACTCATGGAAGGTGAGGTGGCTTATGGCGAACCACCGCTGCCGACATTTCGCTTTGTCCTTCCCCGATGCTCTCACTAGTTGACTGGGCCTTGTTCTTGTGGGCCTTCTTCTTTCTATTGCCTCCACTCTTCCCACCTGCAAAAACAGAACTTGTTGGGCTTAAATTAAAGCAGGCCCCTTCATTAAATCCAACCTCCCTTCCTTCTGGGGCTTGGGCCGACAGCCCCTTCCTTTTTTTTATTTTTCGGCCCGCCTCCCCTTCCAATTCTGCTTGGACATGTTGGTAGAGATAGAAGAGCGCTTTCGTCGTGGAGCTTTGTCTCTCGAGCTGCCTGCAACAGAGTCGCCAATTCCCTAGCCGATTTGTTTATTGGGCTGCATCAATTGGTATCTTGGATAGTCAGGGCCCATCTTCTGTTCTGACTTTAATTAGATGATATAATGGGCCCTTAATGGCCCTCTTTTACTAATGAGTCAGGTTTACATGGAAATGTTATCCAATTACATGAAAAGAAACTATACAATTTTTTTTTTTAATTTCATCCATGAACTATCTATGATAAAAAAAAATTCATAAAAATAGGATACTGTTTCAAAAATGAAACTAAAATAAAATTTGGGACACGATTGTTTATAGCAAGGTTGTCAACCCACGGGTTGACCCACTTTGACCCTGACTTGGTGAGAAAAATGGGCCGCACGCACCCGATGGGTCGACCGCTATAAGGTACCGGGTTGTAGGTCAAATTGTGTCATTTTTTTCTTTGTTTTGCGAAATGCGCCTATTTTCCGATTTTTCTTTTCGCCTAACTCAATCTTTGGAATTCTAAGTTGAACATTTGAATATTAATGTTATATAAGTGTGTGTGAATTTTCACTATATGTTGAATCTAAGTACGAAATGTTATTTTAATGTAATATTATATGTTATAACTCTTATGTTAGATGAGATTTGATATAATTTATCAGGATAAGTACAATATAATGACGCTTTCCATATTTCCGGGCTAAACCGGGCTAAAACGAGTGACCCATTAACCCTTGACCCACTAGCTCAACCGGGTCCGGGTCAACCCGCGGGTTGACAACCTTGGTTTATAGTGATGTGGAAGCTACATCATCAAATTATGTTGAGTCAATGATGGATCAAACTTATCCTTATATGAAACTAGTCACAGGCCCGCCCGTTGGCCAGATCAATTATATCAAGAGTATAGACAATAAGAGTAATTACCTGAATCATCTATTTAGTATCATGAAAGGACACAAATTATTCGATAACTAAAAATATAAAAAAAACATGTATCATGAGTTTTACAACATCTTAACACTCATATAAAGAAGTCCTTATTAAAAGTAAACAACAAAACTCATGCAAGTAACCGATTAATAAAAAATTTAATATTCAAAACCAACTTCAATGTACTCTTTGCTGTTAGAATTATCGCAAATTTCCTTTTGGATTTCTTTTTTATTGTTTCTCCATCAAAAGCATCTTCTCCACACATCTTCACCTTCATTAATGAAATTTTATATTCATCATAAATAGTCTCATCCTTCTTCTCCTGCATTTTATTGAAAATCAAAATTTAATTGTAAAATATTTGGAACGGTGAAAAATCTTTTCTCTGAGCCCATTAACATGCCTCTCTGTGCTAGCACCGGGCCCGCCCCCAGTTGGCGGGTATTTTACGTCTAATCATATAATTTGATTAAGGTTGAAATATAAACCCAATTGAAAATAATTTTTTTGGATAACTTTTGTAATAAAATGGTGTTTGAACAAAATTTTAGCAAAAAAATATGTGTTTATTAATACCTACGAAAGTTTCATCTAAAAATTGTTGTATGCAAGTGTTTATGGGATAAGCTGAATTTAAACTTTCTATGCGGATAGAGCCACTGAATATTTATTATGAAGATGAATTAAAAGAATTCATTTGTAATTTTACAAACAATAATAATAAGCAATAACATCTCCAATGTGTTGAAAAATGTTATATGAGATGAACAGTAAAAAAAATTAATGGGAAATAAATACTTGGGCTACCAATTCAATAGTCTGATTGATTTTCATTCCACAGAAGAATGAGTCAATACTTCACCCACCAGATTGAATGACCAGGTAAGTGGAACCAAGGCCGAAGCCTATAACTGTACTTCACCAACAATAGAACGACTTCCTTGTGGCTTCAAATCCTATCCCAGATTCTCAATAGTTCTACTTTATCTTTCCGGGTTCTCTAGTGATGATTTCTTCTAATCATATCTCTTCATCCTGACCAATATGAGAATCCCTAGCGAAAGAGCTATAGACTTGAGCTTCCTTTTGGCTACATAACCCTTGGATGCAAATCGCAATAAACCAACACTCATATCAACCTCTGGCTATAACTCCCAGTCTGATCCCCTCTGTGCTTCAAGGTACTCGTACAACCAACCAACAAACTAAACATGATAGTTATAGTAATGAGATGAAAGCTGCAAGGAAATGCTAGGAACGTGTATTTTGTTCCTTACATTAATTCACCAAATTATACTTACAATACAATAAGAGGAGTTTTTTTTTCTTTTCCAGAAGCACTTGTATTACCAAGAACAATAGATACCAATGCTTACAACCCATGCTTGAGAGGTTGTTGAAGACATTATCCATGAATAAGTAAGATAAACAATTAAACATGCACCCTATTCATAACAAATAAAAAATAATATGAAAATGAACTTTGATGAATGGTTTTTCCTACTCTGGTGCTTTCAAAGCAGGAGATATACACAAAGATAAGGTGACGCTATGGAAACACTCAATTAAATTTGTGGGAATAAAGTTCCGTGTAAAATTATTTCTATGTGCAAATATACATGTCGACCATATCATATATATTTCCAACTATTTAAATTTCCACATTTAAATCATAAGGAAGTGGTCAAATAGATTATACAAATCAAGCACCATATTCTTGATCTTTAGGATGATTCCAAGTTTCTAACCATATACAACCTTCACAGTTGACCCAAATTCTAAAATCCTCAGTCACCAAGCCATCCATAAAAGTGCTATGTAAAATAGAGAAATACTAATTAAGCAACAACTTATACAAATTCAAGTGAAAATATATTTTCCTACTGACAACTTTCTGCTTTTATTTGATCCTCTTCCTCTGCATTTTAGGGGTGGTTTGCATCTTGGATTTTTTTTTATTTGATAACCCAGGGAACCTCAGCCCCACGTGCGCTTGAGCGACGTTTGCATCTTCGATTTGAGGGATGGATTAGGGCACAAATCCATGATCATTATGGATTTAATAGAAATTCATTAATTGCTCCATCATTTTTTGGATCAAATCTGTGGGGTCCTTGAATTTTTATGTCCAACTCCGAGTGTTTTCATGATCTTGTGAATCCCAAGTGTATGATCTTGTGAATCCCAAGTGTTGATGGGAGATTTGAAATATGCTATAAATCTGTGATGAAATTTTACACATATATACTCATGAAATTTAATATGTCAAGGTTGCACTTACTTTTAGATATTTTAGATATTTTAAATTATAATTAATCAATTAATTAACAATAAATCAATAATACAATTATTTAATTAATCCGTGAATATGAGTAAGATTTTTTATGCCCTTTCTTGTGTTCTAATATTTTCCTTCTTGCTATTACTAATTTGGTATCACCTTTTATAAAAAATTGATAATTGATATATTTTACGTTAAAATTAAACGAAATTTCTCTGGTTATACAACTTTTGACGTAAAATAAAACTCTTGTTTATTATTATTATTATTGTACTTGCGGTAACATTATGCTTATTTGTACCTATTGTCCTTATTTGTGTACATATGATAAACATGGCAGACAAATAAAAAATGATAATAAGGTAATTTTGAACTTTAAGTTCTACATCTCAAATCCATAAATTTATGATCAAAACATCTCAGCAAACAAATGGTTGTTGGAAATTTATATATAATACCTAAAATCATTGATAAATCATTCAATTTTTAAATCACAAAACCCTCATTTTTAATTGCATGAAACAAATGCTAAGTTCTTTCTGGTGTTCAGCTCCACATCTCCTGCCCTATCGTTGCCCTTAGTTCATCCTTGTGGCATCCATCAAATATCTTCGGTTGCAGCACCAATCGTCACCCCCATAATCTGCCAAACTTGTAGCTTCAATTGGCAACATGGTTGTACACAATCTGCAGGCACATGAACGTCATTGCGGGCAATGCCTCAAAGAACCAATAACGACATTCCAAATAAAATGCCCAAGCCTAGACTGGGATTTGGGATCTCCAAACTACTTGGGAGAACATTCAACCTATCAACTCACCAAAATGATATACTGCAGCCTTAAATTACAAAAACGAAAAGTATGAGAATGTTAATTTGTATTGAAACTCTAAGCAGACAACTCTTACTTCAAAATCGTGTGAAGCAAAGTTCAAAGCCTCACAAAAACTCTTAGTCTGCAGATGTCCAATTGCGTACATTGGAATGGTTAACACTTCAACTTGATTCTTGCAAGATCAATAGCAGTGAATTGAAAGACAATACATATCAGAGGCCAATTATATAAGTCAATTACAACTTTTAGTCTAGAAGAATCAAATAGCATTTAACTAAACGATCTAGCTAGTAGAATCGTGCACAATCGGCCTCTTGTTAATGATGTGAATGTAGTAACAGTACCATCATTGGTGATATGCAACAGATCAAACCAAAAAGGGGGAAAACATGAACATGCGACATGATTTGTTACCTTATTGACAGAGTTGCTGAGCAGGTTATTGAACTCTAAATCAAGTTTTCTTCAGTTGTAAATTGAGAAATCGCACCGCTTGTGAGGGAGGAAGTGTGGGTCTTGTGGTGGCTCGATTGGCACCGGGGCAGAATAGAAGGGTGTATTGGAGAAGG